AGCACCTGGAATTGAAACATGCAACTCATAATCCTTTTCATGATTCAATAAATCAACAGGAGGAATAAAACTAAATGAATTGAATAAATCATCATTAAACAATCCAGTTGTTAACGAATTAGGTGTTTCCTTGGATTTGTTAGTTAATTGGTTATTTTGTTTGGCATTTTTTTTAGCCACTTGTTTATTTGATTGACGACCATAACCAGCATTTTCTAAAGCACGATTGAATTGGTTTAAATTATCATCAATTGAATCNACGAAATCCCAAAATGGCGAGTAAAAATATCCAGACATGATTAAAAGAGTATTAAAATAATATAAAATTAGTCGATTGTAAGTTAATTGTTATTGATAGTTGAGTTGATTGAGTTGATTGAGTTAATTGTGTTAATAAATAATTAAAAATTGGAGAGCTAAACATCTCAATTACCTCAAAATTATCTGTCTTTATATATCAGTCAACTTATCCTTTCAATATACTTCATATTCAAATTAAATTAACAATTTTCTCTTATTCAATGCTATTTTCTATGATTGTGAAGAAAATACTAGAATTTTAGTCATCAAAAACCATATTTTCGTAAATAAGCTTGTTTTTTCGCAATATTGTAAATAGCTTTGTACTCAGCTCAGTGCTTTTTGCGCCATTTTTTCTCCGGAAACTCATGCTTTTGTCCAGAACTTTCTGGAACGTTCCCAAAACAGATCCACTTTCTCTCATCTTCACCTATATTTTATTGAACTCTTATATTATGATTCATTTTTTGCAAAAGCTGCTTTTTAATAAAAAAGATTACAATCAGAAAAAATCAAAAAAGTTAATTTTTAAATAAATTTGAGCTAACTAATTAGAATTAACAAAGACTGTTTGATTCTATTCGGTTTATCTATTGGTGTTGGTATTGATGTGCAATTACATTTTTGTAATTGGTATCAGCTTTGTTTTATTTTTGGTTTGCAGTAGGCTTTTCTAGTTTTCTATATTTTAATTTAAAGAAAACTATTATAGCTATAAAATCTATTAATCTTGTAAATAATGTTTTGAAAAAATCGTTTCTTTGGTAAGAAAACCAACAAAGTAAAGTTTATTTGCTGAAAATATTAGTCCTTATAATCAGTAACCTATAGTTTTTTACAAAAATCATAACCAAAATATTTTTATCATTTAAATGATATGTTGAATTTGTTTGAGGAAAAAGTAACAAAAAGAAACATTAAAAATCCAACAATACAGTTTTGGGGAAAATCTACTTAGAGTATTGTAATATAGAGGGTTTGATTCCAAAACAATATTTGTATCCCAAGTATTAAAAATAATTATTAAAAGAATTTAATTGGTTTCATGGTTTCAATTTATTGCTTAATCAAAGATGTTCAAGAAGCTCGGCAAAAAACCAAACAGTACTTTGATGCAAAAATCAAAAGCAAAGAAAACTTTAATTTAAGTATTTTTTCTTCTGAAAAGATGGTACCTTATTTTCATATCAAGTTTTCAAATTGATTTATGAAAGATTGTTAATGATCCAAATTAACCGCTGTTTTCAGATTTTTGAAGAAAATTTAAAATCAATAATTTATCCCTAGTATTATATTAAAAATTGAAGCAAAAAAAGACTGAAACCGTATCAACCGGTTTAGCAAAATTGAACAGTTTACTGAAAGCAAAATTAAAGAAGTATATATGTTTTGAGAGTAAATACAATACCGTGACACTACTTAAACCACAATTTGGAGAAAAATATGAAAACTGGACCACTTGGGATATAATCCACAGCTGCTCAAAAGTCCCGTTAGTAAATACAAATCGGCTGCACTTCTATTCTTAAACCACCAATTTTTGTTTGTAATGTGTTAGCTAATGCTCGACAATCTTATTAGATAAATGGAAAGATAACACGATTTACTTTGGCTCTAGTTGTGTCATAAGTTTCCCCAAAGCATGGCCCAAGTAGGGTCCCAATACAGCTCCAGATAAGATGAAGAATCTTGTTGATTAGCAATTTTAGAATTACTAATGTAGGCTGAAACAGTAGTGCCATGCAGACTTACCTCCCATTTTTATGTGTAGAATTGCATTAAACACCTCCTGTATCAGGTGTTCCGCGAATCTCATCTCTTATCAGGAGAGAGAGTTTTCGGATTGATGTTAAATTACACAGTGATTGACCAGGTAAATGAACAATTTCCTATCAACTAAATGAACGCGGTATTTCAATTGAAACAGTGCAAGCTTATCACTGAGCCCTGCAGAAGCAGTATTATTGTTAATATATTTTGCATCTAAAAGTTAGATAAATAATAAAATCTGTAGATTTGGGATTGTAATTAAATTCATTTTATTCAACATCTTTGTAAAATAGGGATTGGTCACGTTTTAATTAATTTTTTTTGTTTAATCAAAAATTGTTGATTTACCTGGTCAACCGCTGAAATTGCACATATAACACATTTCGAGAATTTCATTAATCATCAATGTCTGGGGATATATAAACTGTATCAGTAGCTTGCTTTATTCTGTAAAATCAGATACTAAACACAAATTGCCAATTTTCATACAATTCGGCTGCTACTTTCAACCATCAACAATCATGTCTTCTCTCCAAACTTCCAATCTATTCAAGCCACTTACTGTTTCATCCTCAATTGTATTAAAACACAGACTTGTTCACGCTCCCACAACGAGATTCAGAGCCACAAAGGATCATATTCCATCCAATTTACAATTAAAATACTATGATGACAGATCGAAAACTCCGGGCTCATTAATTATCACAGAAGCAACTTTTATCTCTCCTGCCGCTGGTGGTTATTTTCATGCTCCTGGTATCTGGTCTGATAAGCAAGTTAAAGGGTGGAGAAAAATCGCTGACAAAGTCCATGAAAATGGCTCGTTTCTTGCGCTACAACTATGGGCTTTGGGGAGACAAGCCGAACCTGATATCTTAGCTGCTGAGAAGCAAAAATTTGTCTCCTCAACTGACGATATTTATCTTAGTACTCGTTCCAAAAAAGCTGCTATTAAAAATAATATACCATTGAAGGCATTAACTGTACCTGAGATTAAACAATGGACTCAAGATTATGCCACAGCTGCTAAAAATGCTATCAGTGCTGGTGCTGATATTGTTGAGCTTCATGGAGCTAATGGTTATCTTATTGACCAATTTTTGCAAGAATGTACCAACAAGAGAAGCGATGAATATGGTGGCTCAATTGAAAATAGAGCCAAGTTTTTATTAGAGATCATCGACTCAATTATTGAAAAAATTGGCGATGCCAAAAAAGTAGCTATTAGATTGTCTCCATGGTCTGAGTTTGGTGGAATGGCTGGTATCACAGAAGATCCAAATACACTTGAAACGTTCAAATATGTCTTTTCAGAATTTCAAAAGAGAGCTGATAATGGTAAAAGTCTAGCTTACATTTCTATCGTTGAGCCAAGTGTCAATGGTCATGATGATGTAGTTGATTCTGATAGCAATTCTAAATCTAACAACATTTTTCTTGATATCTGGAAGGGTACTGTTATTAGAGCAGGTGGTTATCTCTCTGATCCAGCACACAAAAGTTTGCTCAATGATGTTAACAGCAATGATAGAACTCTCATAGCTGCTGGCAGATACTTTCTTTCGAATCCTGATTTGGTTGATAGATTAAGAAACAAATGGCCGTTGACTAAATATGATAGATCAACTTTTTACGCTTTTGCCTCAAATAATGGTTATAACGTTTGGCCAACTTATAATCAAAAAATTGATATCAATGAAATTAAAGACCAAACCTCAGTCGCATTAGCTTAAATATCAAAACAGGTAACTTTTCTTGTATAAATTCACTTTTTTTTTATTTATTTGATGTCTGAAACCGGTATAGATTTACTTATTCCAAAATATACACTTATTGTCTGGAAACAATTACATAAGGTCGTACAAAAGACTCCAGTCTATCCCTATAGGTTCCTTAAGCAATTCCGGATAAAAATTTAAATTTTTTGAATCTTCAATTGGATTGTTTAATACATTTAACGTTTTTAATTGCCTTAAATTTTCTAGTTTTTTAATCGATACTAATTGATTGTGAAATAATGTAAGAATCAAAAGACTAGGTGATATAACCTTCAACCACGACATGCTCTGTATTTTATTGAAATCCAAATAAAGTTCTTTAATTTTTGGCAAGTAAAAACCATTACTTGATTCAGAAACATTGAAACAAACAAAATCAATTTTTTTTAGCTGATTACCGCTAATATTTAACTCAACCAAATTTTTGTAAGAATTTTTTTGAATCTCAAATTTGGTTAGATTGTTGTAACCCAAATGTAACGTATTAAGATTTTTAAAACCATCACAATTTGAATTAAAAACGCTGATTCGATTATATGATAGATTTAGCTCTTTCAAATTATTAAGAATTTCAAGTTTACTATCAACTTTTTCGATTTTATTTCCAGTTAATTCTAATACTTCGAGATTAGTAATTTTGGATAAATTGCCCAAATTTGAAATTTTGTTTGAGGTTAAATCTAGTTTTTTCAAATTCAAAAACTTTTCTTCATCAGAAACTAAAAATTCTTCAATTTTATTTGTTTTCAAATCTAAATACTTAAGGTACTTTAATTCTTTGGATAAATTAAATCTAACAAAATGATTATTGCTTAAAATTAGTTCGGATAAGTTATTTAAAGGATTTGAAATGACTAATTCGTTAATTTTATTATCTTCCAAAATTAAATTTCTCAAGTTTTTCAAACCATTTATATATTGATTATCAGTGAGTTCATTATTTGAAATATTCAAATAAATAAGATTATCCAAACCTGATAAGTTTTGAATTTTTTGAATTTTATTAAAGGAGAAATTTAAATAGGTTAAATTAATTAAATTTGAAATATTTTCAATTTTTTCAATTAGATTAGCAGATAAATTTAAGTATTCTAGATTAACTAAATTTGACAAATAATTAATTTTGTTAATTTTATTAAATGATAAGTTTAGGTATTTTAAATTAATTAGATTGGATAAATTGTCCATATCAGTGATATTATTGAATATTAAAGTTAAAAATGTTAAATGAGATAGATTTGTTAAATTTCCAATCTTTATGATTTGATTATCACGCAATACTAATTTGGTTAAAATTGAGCAAGAATTTTCAATTGATAAATCTGAAATATTTGTAATTGTGGTTCTGTATAGAATTAATTTTTTTAATTTAAAGCAATTATTAAACAAAACCAAATCAATATCTGAGCCAAGGCAAATATCATAAACTGGAAGATATTCAAAACTAATTAAATGGTCTGAGTTGTTTTTAACTAAAAAATCAATAAATGTTTTTATTTCAAATTTATGAGCAAATTCACTATTTGTAAAATTCAAATAAATTGATTCAAAATTTCTTTTAGAAGATAAAAGAGAATAAATTTCAGAAGATTTTAGTTGCATTATTGTTTCTGATATTTGTAGAGATAAGTGTTTAGAATACTCCAAAGTTTGAGCTTTAAACAAATGAATGTCGGTGATGGAAACAAGTAATTTGGATTTGCTTTCATAAATATAGCAATTTCTATTTGTTTTATTGTGATCAGCATCCACAATTGTCAACAAATAGAATAGTAACGATAAGGAGCAATTTTTAAAATATTCGTTATCATGTAAAGTAAATAACCAGAGTTTATCCAAGGGTAGAAATGAGAATAGATTTTTGATTATGAAAAAGGGCAAATCGAATATAGTTAATTTTAAAATTGGTTTCTTTCTGTCATTGTTATTTAAATCAGTATTTAAATCAGTATTTAAATCATTATTTGCGTCAAGAGTTGTATTATTATAGTTGTTGGATATAAGTTGAAGACCTGATTCATTGGAGCTATCTTCAGGGGACATTTTGAGTACAATGATAGAAAAATTAATTTGATTGTGATATATTATTTTTTTTGGAATGAAAATATTTTGATATAAAAGAATAATTATAACAAACTAGAAAGGATTTCAAAAGGTAAGTTTAATTATAAACACACAACATATACAGTATTCACTGTATTGTTCAACAGTGATACTTCTAGTGAAAAAAAAAATGCTTTTTCTGATTGTTAAATTTCAAAGTCGACGAAAGCGAATCAAACGTTCTAAAACACCGAGTCGTATATTTATTTAATCGTCATCACAGTACAAAAAATAAAGAAATAAGATTCAGTAAATTGAAATCGTTGAACTGGTGTATCCATTTTGTTGTAATACTAGTTTGTGTCATTGAATTCATAGAATCTTAATTTCACTGAAGTAAAATATGGTTAAAAACTCTACTGTGTATCATCGATTATATAAATATTTATACATGTATTTGTATTTGTATATTATAAACCTAAGTATTCAGGTTCTATAGTTTCAAGAGCAATGCTGTGATCTAGTCAGTTTGTAAGTGATTGTATTGAATATATGCTTGTATTATATAGATTTAAATGAGATGTATGAGTGTGTATTTACAAGAAAATGCATCGAAAAAAGTTTCCAGCTTATGAACTTATAGTTTTTCTTGTGGATAATGTTAGATGTCTAATCCTTTTTATACTCGCTTAAATTAGGCATTCTGATAATATTTCCTTCTTCGTTTTTGCTTGATTGTTGCAATAGTTTCAAAATTTTACTGTCTTTCCATTCGTCTTTTAAAGGAGTCACGTCGTAGTTTTCTGTTACCCAGTAGTATATATCCCAATCGTTTAGATCCAATAGCTTATCATACTCGACTAGCTCATCATAGGTTAGTTTGTGCAAGTACTTTTTAGCAAACTGCGATAGCAACAAGTCGGTTTCTAAAATACCTCTTTTTCTGGACTGATATAAGAGTCTAGCTCTCTTGACCTCTAAAGACTCGTTTATTCTTGGAATGGGTTCAATCTTGATTTCCACTTCACTCTTATCAGGAATGTTGTTGATGTTGATGGCGTTTCGTTTGTTGGAATCAGAACACAACCAGACAGAAGAGTGAATAAAACGTCTCGAGCAGACCAAAGACCCACGAGGAGCAAGACCACCAGAAGCTCTGAACAACAAACCAATCATACTGCTCTCTTTGGATGCCTTAATACTCTCTGGACCCTTTAAGCGCTGATAACAATGCTCCACAACTATTTTGTGTCTGGATTCGATGGCAAAAGGTTACCCGTCACCATGGCTGCGTGTGGTGAGCGTGAGCACTGCGTGAGAGACGACACTGCAGTTTACGCACTTTTCTGGAAAATATATACAGCTTTTTGATTTGTGATCCATAAATAAAACAAGAACTATGCACTGAAAAGTTGGAGTGAATGAGAAGATACAAAGAGCCAGGTTTATTTTTTCAAGATATTTTGGGATTCCACAAAGGATTCATACCCAGCTTTGTGAATTTTCATTCTGTCTTGGATCATCTGGGTTATGTCAATGTGCTTTAAATTGTTGAAGTGCGTTCTTCGTTGCATCTGGGTCTGGTCTGTATTTATAACCAAGTTTTTATTATTTATTTTATTTCCAAATATGGGACAAACTCTGATATTTCTCCAATTCGCCCATTCGGAGGTAAAGGGGTTGTCATTGGTCTTGTTATTCTGTAAACAATAAAGCCCTACTTTTGGCCATATCAATTCTTTTCTCAATTTGTCTCTTAGCTCAATTTCCTTCACACTTAAAGGCTCAGTCAAATCTAATGGTTTTCCATGCGTTTTATCGATTAAAGCCCTTGATTGCGCTCTCTTGATCCAATAATCTGCTTGTGGACAATTACCAGAACCAATAACGCCAACCATATCTTTATATATGATTCTGAAAACTGGAATCCAATTTTTATAGAAACCAGCTTTAGTGGCTCCTCTTATTAAATGACCAAATGTTTCTGAGTTTGGCCTCACTTTAAGATTTATTGTAAATGTGTTATAAATCTCAAAGCACAAATCCAATCGTTCATATGTCGCGATATGCTGTAAAAAACAGTTTAAAACAGCTCTTAAATAATTTTTCTCATTGTTCAAGTATATTTCATTTTGATAAATCATTTTTTTAAATAATACCCATGCTGCATTGAGTTTGAGATTTGGATCAACTTTAATATTTTTATCCAATATGGTTTCCAATATCAATCTTATTGTAGCTTCGTCACAAAGGTTTTTATTCAATACGAGATACTCAAAAAATTCTCTAGTTATTAAATTTTTCTCACAATAATCTTTCATTATTATCCGAAAAAACTTGGAATTAACCTTGACATTAAACTTGTTTGTAATATATCTTAAATATAATACTCTCCAGTATTTAGTGGGTAGTATCTTATAAATTGTTGAAAACGTTGTTATATCGGGTCTTATATTAAAATCCTCCATTCGAGACAAAATTTTATTCAATCTAAAATAGGCCATTTTTTTATCAAGCTCTGTTGAAAATTGCGATAAACTTAGAAGCAATAAATTGATCGTTTTTGTATTTGGTGCCAAATTTTCCATTATAAGCTGTTTATAAAGCCTATTTATTGCCTGCCATCTTTTTACTTTAAAAAAAAAATATATTGCATCATTATATGAATCTATAGTCCGGAGTTTAGTATACAAAGGATCATTGGGCTTGAAAAGATCATTGAGTATTTCGGTAATTATCCCATTGGATTCTATTACACTTTTATAATGATAATTCTTATAAGTTAACAAATAAACGTAATTCTCAAATACGTCTGTGTTTAAATGTTCTGGATTACTCGATAAAACTGGTATCTTAGAATAAGAGTCTCGATATATAGTATGTTTTTTAGGGTTTAAACCTGTCAATTGGTTTTCATAATTTATATCTGAATCTGATTCTAAACCAATATTTTCTTGTTCATTCCGATTGTTTATCTCCCTGATTAAAAGTAATCTTTTCAAACAATTTATCATCTTCACAAAATAAGCACAATTTCGAGTATAATCTTCCAAAGGCTCACCCCGCACAATAATTTGCTCTTCAGATTTACTATCTTTTTTCTTATTATCTTTGTTCGATAGAGTTGTACTATCATCAATGCTCTTTTTGATTTCATTCGCTGGGTTTTCTTTCTCATTATTAATATCCTTCATTTTCTTTTGTTTGTGATGATTCACCGGATCTTTTGAATCAATCAGGGTCTTTTTAATGTTTGCTTGTTTATTATTTTTAACCTCATTAATTTGCTCTGTATCATCAATATCTATCTTTTGAAGACTAGTTTCAAATAAATCAACATCAATCCCCGAATCTGTATCAATATCATTCTGTTTACTCTGTTTGTTCTGTTTATTCTGTTCAGCATTGTCAAAACTATGGTCATTTTTCGTTTGATTAGCTTTCGATTCTTCGATTATTTTCGAAGCCAAACAGTTCAGCGATTTATCTTGTGCAGAGAGATTTCGAGAACCAGAGAGATTGTTGAAGTGTAACAAGGGCTTGTTTATGGCAGAGAAACACGTTCTTAATCTAACCTTGCAACAGCTCCGAGAAGCAGCTTTAATCATCCCAAACATCAACCCTTTCCCTCAAACACTCTCATAATATATCCCCAACCTGAATGGATTACAGGCGATGGTTAGGGTGAAAAAAAAAAGTGAAATTCTCCAAAAAAAATAACATCCGTCGGACTGGTCTCATTTATTACCTAAATCGCTCGCTATATAATAAGATGGTATACATCGACCTTAAAGCACCACTACTTTATGCTTTATTCGATTTTCATAGCATGGAGAGTCTTCTGAATATCGGGAGGATTGCTGAGTATATTATTTGCTTTGTAAATACTTTTCCGTAAAAAAGGATCAGCATCAGCAACAGCATCCTGCGACTTTTCCATCTTGTCCATCATGGTTAGCAAAGTAGGTGGGTTTGATATTGCACCACGCTTTCGAATACTAGTGAGTAAACTATCCATTTTTCTACCAACGATAAAAGGGTTTTCCATAGGTGTCCCTATGGGCTTTTGATTTTGTGTTTCTGGAAATAGTCGTGCAAGTCTTTTACTACCTTTTGATAAGGGGATATCTATGACTTGTTCATTAAGCTCTTGGGTGCTCAGATCCTTTTTTTTATTTTGGGTTTTTTGATGAGCAGCTGTGTTTGTACTTTCCAAAGCTTTTTTGGGTATTTCTTTAACATTTTTCAGTGTTTTATTTAACACTTGTGTTTGGCTTTTGATTGCTTTTCCAGTATTTTTTACTGTTTGATCCAATGTTTGATCCAATGTTTGATCCAATGTTTGATTTCGAGGTTTATCTTTTTTAGAAATAATTCCATTTATTATTGGCTTGACTTTGATCTTGTCATTTTTAAAATCTTCTTTTAATCCCACCTTTTCTGATTTTTCTGATTTTTCTGATTTTTCTGATTTTTCTGATTTTTCTGATTTTTCTGATTTTTCTGATTCTTTTGATTTTTCTAACTCTGCTGATACCTTATTTTCATCAACTTTTGATTCTTCATTGTCTTCTTTTTTTTCACTAAAAGCAGGAGCTAGTGACAGTGAAGGTTTCAATACGATTGTATAAGATGAATATAGATCACCGTAGTTTTTAATGCTTATGGCGTGAGACTCTATAAATTCATCGGTTATCTCACGAATTTCTCCTATTAAAAGCTTTCGAGCTTTTATAAAAACAAAATCATCAGGGTTCAATGTCTTTTTCGATGTGGAGTTGATAACTATTGTAACTGTCTTTCCCTGGGTCAAAAACCTTGTTATCTCCTTTTTTTTTTGTGAATTTAAGTCAGATTTAGAAATATTCCAATCAATTCGGACAGTTTTTTCTGCACTCTTTTTTTTCTTTTTTGCCTCAAAATACTCTATCTTTTTGGCAAATTTGGGATTCAATTCTAGTAATTTTTTTTTCCCTATTTCTTGCTCAATCTTTGGTAGAAGTACTTCATTAGCAATTAATTTAAGAACGGGAATTTCTTGTTCATCATACTGGACAATTGATGGACTGGAGCCCAACTTTTTTAAATCTATATATTTTAATTGGCATAACTTGTATAAATCTGTAATAGTCATCTGAACTGTCTTGTTGTTTGATAATGGATTGATAAAGTTAATCTTTCCGGATTTATTATTTCTAAGACAAGTTTTAGTCAAATCTGCTAAATGAGAATCAATTTTTAAATTTCCAGATGTCCAGTTATATTCATCTGAAATTTGAATTTCTGCAAATTTTTGTTGTGGGGTTTTTTCGACTATATTTTTTTCTTTGCTTTTAGATAAATGATTTTTTTTCATATTATTATTATCTTTGTTTTTATTTTTGTTTTTGTTTTTGTTTTTATTTTTATTTTGATGTGAAGGTGCGCTTGGTTGTGTCTCTTTATCTGGATTTACTACTTTTCGACTTTCCAAAATATTCTTGGATTTGGGTTTGGATTTTGCAATAGAATCCATATTACTGTTTATATTACCAACAATATTAGCTTTTTTTTTACTGTCTTTTGGGTGGTTTTTCGATTTTTGGAGTTTTTTTTCAAATGATGTGATAAAATCATCAACCGCCAATTTTTTGACTTTCTGAGCTGAATTTATTGTAACATTTGAAAAAAATCTTCTCATTCTATAATTTACCAAGCAACTCTTATAAAATCTAGTGTTTAACATCTTTAAATATGGTAGTTGAATAAATATATTGTTGAGTGTGAATACATAAGGATAAAGAAACCTCCATTGATGAGAAATATTGATATCAATTCATTGGAAGAAAAAGCTCAAACTGAAAAATTTTAAAATTAGCTAGAAATACCTGAAAAAAACAACTTATTTTAGAAAAATAATGTCTTTCATACGGATATTCCCTTTAGAAATAGCATAAGCTTAAATTAAGCTATGCAAGGCCAACCACTTGGTGCTATTACCGTATTTGTAAGCACTTTTGATGTTTTTCTTTTTTGCTTCTAATAGTGAACGATTACTTCAGTGAAGATGATTTATTTATTTTATATGATAATTATAATCTAACTTTACAATTGTTATTGGAATATACAAATTTAGCGCCATTATCCTTATCCATAGAAAAACCGTTTATAAAAGAAAAGTCATTAGCTTTTAAATTTCATATTGTTTTGTAATGAGAAGTTCTTGTTAACCTGATGTCTATTTGTTTTAATGAATTTAAAATTCATAAACTCAGAGATTGAATCATCTAGGACGAAATGAAATTTCAATTCTTTATATATATTGTAAATTTCATTGGTGAATTTAATAACATTTTAATAATTTCCAAATGTTTGTGCAAAGCATGCATAAACACAATGAATCTGAGTGAGCTCGAAAAGTAGTTGACTCAAGAATTTTTCATAATGATTGAAGGTATCATTTAATAAATTCAATAATGCTCTTTTAATAGACTAAATGAATTTTGATTTTGCACTCAATGATAAATTTTCGTAAATATTTTGGTTGTATATGAATTTGAAATCAAGCCAATTCAAATTAATTCCACACTTTTCATCAAGCAACTTAACTAATTTTACTGCCCTTTCATTTTCCTCAAACCTTTGGAATACATCACAATCATTATCTACGGTTGAGCCAACATATTTGTTAAATCCGGAGTTGACGGTTATATTGGTTGGTTTTGATAGATACCAAGTAGAGTTTTTACACTTCATGTATAGCCATTATATTACAAATCGTGATAAACATTACAGATCAGAGGTGGCTTGTAAGATAAAACTGGAGTTGAATTTGATCCCAATTTTAAATCCTTTAATAGTTAATATATTTGCTTTCTCTTTGGATAGAATTTATCATTATAAGGGAAAGTGTGTATTTCCATCATCGAAAATAAATGAGAATTCTTTATTGAAATAATTTGAAATCTCATAGTAGAATAGGTTGTTGTCAGGAATATCAATACACAAAGCATCAATAAAGGATTTAGTTTCGTGATCAAGTAAACTGCGGTAACAGTTTCATATGCATTTTTTGAAATTATCAATAAAAGGAATTTAATAAATATTTCCGATCTCTATTCTCTACAGATTCAATATATTTCAAACAATATCAGTTGTAAGTTATTCTCGGCTGAAGTCAAATCTGTATTCAGCAGTAAGAAGTTTATACTGTTGAAACTGCAGAAAAGCTAAAGAGAGAAAAATATCACAGAGATGGTCTGTATGGAGAGTGAAATCGCAACCCTTTCTACAATAAGCTTTTCTTTTGTACACCACAAACCCAATGCAAACTTAACTGGTCATGTGATCTATTGTTAAATGATCACAGCGGATAAAGGCGGCATCGGCAAATCTCGGTGCTCATCGATCCAGCAAATAAGTAAATCAGGATGCATGAGAGAACATAAACTTTAAGCTGGAAGCAGTAGCAATAATTTTATTGACGTTTAGAGTAGGATGTAATATAAAGGAGGTTTTTGTGCTTTATTTTTTTTCTGATTACTCAACCAGCCAATATCTTACTTTATTATTATTATTATTGCACGCATTGCAATATTTATTCAAATTCAAACATTTACTCCTAAGATAACAATGGCTGTTCAAATTTCCAAAGATAATCTATCTTTACTATCAAATTCCGAATTAAAAGATGTGGTTTTGAATTGTATGAGCATATTAGAAGATCATACATTGCCAAAAGGTCAAACACACCATTCTTTAAACAAAAGCAACCAGAACACCTTTGATGAAACAAAAAATCAACCACATACAAACAAAGAGGTAAATCAAAATGAAAAAGACGATAATAAATCTATTGAAGAGGAATTTGAGTTTTTAGACCATCCAATGATATCACCATTTGTTACTCCTCAAATCAATCAAAACAAAAAATATCAAAAAAATTCATTATCATCAACCTTACCATCACCTATTTTCGTTCCAGAGCCAGTTCCTTTTCTAGATTCAGAAAACAAACCAAAAGAAACTCAAAACCAAATGTCAAATAAAAATCCAATGGAATATTTTATTCTCACATCTGCTAATATAAATCTTATTGATTTTTCCGTACTAAGCTCTGTTGAAGAATCAGCTCTTGGTTCAAAATTTAAATGTGAGAAATTAATCAATGGCATAAACCAAGAATCATTTGGTATAAGTGAAAACAAAAGTATAGATGAAATCAAAAAAATTGAAAATGACAATTTATATTATCATCATCATTATTCAAATACTCATTCTGTTCCTTATTCTTATGACCCCTGTTTTTCTCATCTTTTCTCTGCTCTACCACCACATATATTTTGGAAAACTAATGCAAAAGCCCAAGACTCTAATTACTATACTAATTCTTGGTGACTTACCAATATAACCGAACGCTGCCACGTATACAAGAAAGGGAAATATAAATGCCCCTTCTTCTTTCTCCTGGCTAACGTTAATAAGACGAATCATCTTTCAACAAACAGACACAAAACGTGTATTTACTTTAAACCGTACTATACATAGAGACGCATAGATATCGAAAATTTACCCAGATGTAAGGATGTACGCACTGAGAAGAAACGTGACTAACGAATGGAGAAAACATCACCAAGCTTAAAAGTGTAGTTGCTGCTTTTTACTTTCATCTATCACAATTTCTTAAGCTCTGGGAGATAATCGCTGATTTTGTGCTATTCTAAACGCTGATAACTAAAATTCAACATGGAAGTGATATCAAGTGTTCAAGCTACATTGAATGAGTTTATTGGTAGGCAATTGACTGTTTTCTTTTTTTAATTTATCTCCACAAGAGGTGAATTATCAACTAATCATCAAAATTAGACGCCTCCACTACCATCATAAAAATCTTGGATTCCAAACAGAAGTTGGTTAATGACAACGACTCATTGATATCCATTTGCCAACGAATAATTGCTCTTTTGCCTCTATCCGAATCAATTGAGAGATCAATCAGAAAGGCTGAAGTTAAAAACCCTCACAGGAAACATCAAGAGAAGAATGTAGTTTTCAACTTACAAGAATCATCATCAATTGAGGATAAAGTCCAGGATGCTATTAATAACCACCAATATAAAAATCTTGATAATTCAGTAGTTTTGTCCTTAGAGATGACTGCCTCCAAGCTATGGAATTCTTTAACCATATCCTTGAGAGACTTTGATAATGAAGATCTTAAAACCCCTGGACACAACCGTGACGAAAAAAATGTTTACATTCAGTTATGCCAGGTAAAATATTTTGCCGCAGTCTTGTTTAACATATTTGATGGATTAAATCCAACTTTTTCAAATAAATTGAGATCTTTGAAGTGCTTTTTGAAGGTTTTTAATTTATTTGTCGACGAAAACCAATTAACCCTATCTAAAAAAATTCAGGATATAACTGATCTAATAACAAGTGATATTGAAGCTAATTTTATAAGCAATGAGAATAAACCTATCTATAATAATAGTAATAATGACCTCTCTGTCTCTGATGATACACAATTGAACGATTTCAAAAAGGAATTTAATTCGATGAAAATTGAATTACTAATTATGGATATGAGATTAAATATCAATTTAAAAGATTTTGAATTAGCTAAATATTATGAAAAAAAAGCAAATATTTTAAACAATTACTCCACTCTTCAAAATCAAAACAATTCAATTATTGAATTTGCCAGATTTATATATAATTCTTGTTTCACGCATTTAGATAAAATAATCAATAGCAACAACAACATTAAAAATAACAATAAATTTGAAAATTCAAATGAGATCGAGAAAAATGATGATGATGATGATGATGATGATGATGATGATGATGACAAATTAATATTAACTGAATCTGTTTATTTCTTAAAAGTTGCCATTCAATATTTGAATTTACCAATTGTTTTTAATCCAAAAATTATTCACTTGGAATTAAAATTTAAAACACTTTTATTATTATGTCAATCTTTAATTAATTTAAGATTTTTCAATGATGCAAAATCTTATATTTCAATTCTTGAACAATTATACCCAAACAAAATTGAACCATTTAAATTATTTTTACAAATTTTAAATTTTGAAAACTCTTTGAAAATTGATAAAAATACTAACAATAATAAGCGTAAGGATAATGCTACCAATACTAATATTATAGCTGAGCAAACTTTAATGAAAATGATTATGTCAGTTTCAATTTCAAAAAATGATAATTTTAATCAAGTTATTGCCATATTAAATGATTATTCTAAAAATAATCCCATTTCTTCAATTAAATGTTTAGACTACGTTTTTCAAAATAAATTAGATCCATTCAAGAATCATGATTTTTTGGAAGTTTGTTTGACATCAAAAATTTGGATCATATCTTCAATTCAATTTGATATTCAAAATATTGACCTAAATATTACTGATGGTGAAAATAGCGATAGTTTTCAGATTGAACATATCCAAAAAATTTTGAGTTCTGCCGAAAAACGGTTTGCATCACCATTATCAAAAAAATGTTCATCTGCTTTGATTACTTTATTTTGGAATAATGGTAAAAAACTTATGAAATCTAAAAAGTATTCTTTATCAATTGAATGGTTTTATTTTGCACTTCATAGATTTGTATTATCTGAACATGATTTTTCTGAAGACGTTGGAAAAATTCAAAGATCAATTTTAAATTGCTATTTTGAAATGAAGAATTTTGATAAAATCAAAGAAATCTATAATAAAATGGTTGATAGAGACAAGATACATTTACTATCCTTATACATAATGTTTAAGGTTTACATATCAGAAAACGATAACAAAAATGCTATGAACACAATCAAATTGATTTTTGAAAATAAAACAGAGAATCATATTTCGGTTTTACTATCTTGTATTGTTGAAGCAAGAAACTATTCAAATTCAACTGTTGCAATTGAGGGAATGGTTAATGTTTTAACTAAAATGGATGATAAAGCTGAATTTTCAGACGAGATTTTGGTTCCTGTGGCATTGCGATGCACTATCCAGTTGATAATTAATGATATTAGCAAATGCAATAATATTGATTTAAAAATAAAATACATGAAAACTTGTGGTGAATTATATACTGAATGTTATAATTTTATTAAGAAAAGTTTCAATAAAATTTCTCCAAATATACTTTATGATCAAGATAAAATCGAGATTGAACAGTTGAAAAAACAGATATTATCGGTTGATGAACTTGAATGGTTAATTTGTAATGGGTACAATTTGGCAAACAAATGTTACCAAAGTAAATTTTATAAAGAAGGATTGATTTTATCCACAAAGGCAATTCAAGTATGAAGGACCTTTTTTTTTGTTTTTAATTTTTGATTATCTTATAAAAGATGTTTTTAATTAACAATATTTGTTTTTATTGGTTTAGATTGAAAATTTGATTAAAGGAGATACAGACAAAGGGAGATACAAGAAATTAGAGGTTTGGTATATTCGTACTTGTTTGTTAAGGATAATTTGTTTTAATTGTTTAATCTCACAAGAGAATAATTTAGTTGATAAAATGGATTCTTTAAAAGAAAATCGGGAAAATGTCATAAATCTAAAAGAAAAACTTAACAAACATCTAACTAATTTGATCTCGGAAGATTGTGAAGATAGTTTGATTATTGATGATATTGATCAAGTTGAAGACAAGAACTTTTGGAAAGCATGTTATTCTCAGGTAGTTTTATTTCAGTTTGAAATAGAATTGAAATTGAGCAATTGGGAAACCATTGAGACATTGATATTAGTAAGTTATTTTTATCTTAAGATTACAGAATAAGGTTAATTTAAAGCTTTTGATTTTTTTTTGATTATTATTTTACTAATATTAAACTAATAGGAGGTTAAAAAATTCTCAAGTATGTTTGAAGTGAATGAGACCGTAATCAATCTTATTTTATCGGTAAAGTGTAAAGCCAGTATAAAAACAAAAGTCTTAAGAATAATTATAGAAGATTCTTTAAACCACAGTTATACCAAATTTCCCGTTATTTTAAGATGGACACGAAATTTTATGGATATAATTGTTGATTTTGAAGATGAGAATTGTATAAGCCTACTTTCGAGAATTTATTCTAGAATTCGAGCATCAGAAAAAAAAGAAATTAATATGATTTATAATGAAATTGAGTGGTTAAGTAAGTTGGAAACCAGGTCAAATAGCTACAAGAACTGTAAAAAAAGCAAAATAGAAGAACAAGTTAACATTATACAAGTTTACTAATATGAGTTAAATGTTTAAAAAGCGACAAAATGTTGGAATGAAGGTGTCTCTTTAATAATGTGAGTAGATTTTTTATGATCTTGAGCTGAGGTGGTAAGTGTTTAAAGTGGTTTACTAACAAACTCATGGATAGGTCTGGGAAAAGTGAAGGTGGATCAGCCTGGTGCAAACAAGCTATAAAATTTTCGCCTTTCGTAAACGAAAGGCTTGAGAGTCAGGTATGTGTGAGGAAACCATATTGAAAGGAAAATATATTTCCATAAAAACTCGATCCCCATGTTTACTAACAGGTTCTCTTGACACCCAAAACCAATAAAGCTCTTAGAGTTGTGGCCCGAATTAACAAAAGCCGCTGATTGCTCAAACAACTGAGTTAGCAGTCCAACCTAAATCAGCGTATTGGAATAATTGCACGCTGACAATCGCCCAAATGATTAAAACTGGTGCAATTACTTAGCTACATAATAAGAATCATTCTTTTACTGTTAATGGCAAACAGGCTCAGGAACAGCTGTTTACAATACCAATCAGCTCGAGCCCAGGAGACCCAGGCCCATCAAAACGGGTCTGGCTCCAGACGCCGGCGTTCGTTGGCCCGACCGCTGTGTTGCTCCGCGCCGCCCGCGTGTGCAGAGGCTTGAGAGGCCTCCTCGTGGGCTGCCCCCGTTGGCCAGGCCTGAGGGCCCTTCCAGCACGGCGGCCCTGTCCAACCAGCGCCGAGAACTGCTGGGCCGAACACAAAAAGAAAGAGCTGTGCGCCTGGCCCAAAAAAGGACGAGTTTATTTTTGGAACAGAGAAACTTCACACTCTTCACTGGATGGAAATTTGCATCTTCTGGCCTCAGCAAACTGTGTGTATCATCATAATGGATAACTGACTTTTTATTTTTGTTTGAGGGCTTTTTATATAAATTGACCCCAGTTTCTTCACTCTTTTCATGTCCTCCAGCTTGTCGACATTACTTTGTTTCTCGCAACACTTGTTCATTGTTTTTTTGTTTTGCAACTTGTCCTACAGCTCGTCCTACAACTCGTTTTCATTCCTGTGCAATCTCAATCAAAATGGAAAGCAGTAGAATCCAACAGATTAAAAATGAAATATATATTCCAAAGCAGCCATTGATTCCTATACCTTCAATTACATCCCACCACCCTACTCTAATAATGCAGGATAAATTGACCGACACAACTCATCACAGCTCTTGCGGCTGTTGTGGTCCTGACTGTATTACCAAGAAAGCATGGTTTTACGGGCCCAATGGCGAAGTCAAATCCTCTTCGAGCTACACTTATTCATTAAATCGTTGATTTTTGAATTTGCTAGCATTTTCTTATCATTGTTTTATTTTGTTATGATTTTCTTTGTCTTATGGTGGTGTTTTTATTTTCAAAATTTTTTCTCGAGCTTATCTTTAATTTCTCGATTTTTATTCTCTGAAACTTTGTGGTTATCTTTTTTTACTTTATTTTTTTATCAAGTCCCCTTTTTTTGTTATCTTCTATAGTAATTCCATTTTACTCTATTATTGTCTTGAGTTAAACTTGAATGTTTATCTCTTGCAACCTCGACAATGTTGAAATCGTAGCTTGATCTTGATACCATTAAAACCATCTCTTTGGAACTCTTCACTTGACTCCAGTTAAACACCTCAACACCATTTGGGTTTGTGGAGCACACGTTTTTTCTTCAAGGGCACCTCTTTTACAATCATGCATGTAGAAGTGTGTTCCCGCGGGTTCTGCATTGCACCCACACTTTTCTACAATCAATAAATTTAAGTATTTTAGGAATATAAGTTATGAACAATCTATCTACTATTTACAAAAAGAAAGCAAATGCATTGCAAATGATAACCCTGAATTTTTCTACGTGATAGATTAGCAGACCTTCCAGTTTAAATCACTTCCATCAACTTATTGCTGTTTACAACGTAATCGTCTCCTTCTTTATTAATGATTCCCTTTGCGAAATAAGTCTCAAATGTGTGTCTTGGAACCCATCCTCCATCAATCGCAAATGGATTCTCGATTAATTTGTTTTTATAGTTTTCATAGTCTTCATAAAACTCTTCAACTTCTTGTCTTTCCCATTTAATAGGACATTCGTCATTTCCTTCTTCAATCTCTTTAGCCAATTTGCTATCCAAAAAGTTCTTCCAATATGTTGCAATCTTAATTAATGATTCCTCAACATCAAGAATATCCTCATCGGTTTTCTTATTAATCAATTTAATGTATGGACTTTTTAATTCATTAATAACTGGCGCAGTGTAATAAATTAAATCTTTATCTAATTCATTTACTTTTTTTTCCCATAAATGTTCATTTCTAGTCTTTTTGTAAAAATCTTTATAAATTCTCTTATCTAATTCGCTCAATTTATCTAGCTCAATTCCAAGTTGATTTAAATCAAAGATTTTCATTCCCTCATGTCTAATAAACAATGGATTGTTTGTGAATATAAATGGTTTAATAGTAAAATGCTCAAAATCAACAAAATATGGCTCAATTTCGCCATCCCCTTTCTCTTTTATTATAACATTTAATGGATCAATATCACCACTATACAACCTCCCCTTAAATAACTTTTCTATTTTAGGTATTGTTTTCGATTTGTTGTCGATCAAATTTGGCGCAATTTTTTTAAGTTTTTCTAAAACCTCAATTGAATTATTCAATAATTTCTCATTTTCAATACTAGCCTCAGATTTGCTTAAACTTAATCTATTTCGAATATTTTCAATCTCAATATTACATGAATCATCCACAATCTTATATGGTTCATCAATTTTCCATGGCCCCGAATAAATTTTATAAACATCACTTGAAACTAATTTTTTATTTCGGAAAAAATTTCTTTCAACTGATGGCCCAATTCTCCATCTATTTTTAAATAACAGTTCATCTGGTTTTTCTTCATTATATGGTTCTCCTCTTTCTCTTAAATTGATATCAACATCCTTATAAAAATAAATTGATCCAAATTGATTAAATTCAATTGAATTCAATTTATGTTGAAAATTCCCTAAAATATCAATAACCTCGTTTAATTTCTCCCTGGAATTTACTTCTTCATCTTCAATATTTGGATACCATTTTTTCATTAATAAATCCCCCTCAATATATTCCATTAATATATATGGTGTTCTTAATGGATTTATTTCATGTGATGAATAACTTAAAACTCTGGGAACATTTAACCCTAATTTTAATCTCGCAAAATCCATAGTAGCAACTTCGCTGTCAACTTTTCTGGAAATCGCAAAATCACTATCGATTTTATAAGGAATTCTTAAAATTAATGATTTTCCAGTATTTAAATCAATTTTATAAATCCTGTGATGTTTGCCCTCATGGTGACTTGACATTGTTCTGATTGAAAGAGATTCATTTGAGTCCTTTAAGCTTCCAAGAACATCTGGTATGATATTTTGCTTCAATGTAATTGTATTGTCAGGGTTTAAAACTGGCGATTCTAAGGTTTCAGGATTTTTATTTTCTTTGATTGCTGAGTATAAATCTTCAAGTAATTTTGCTGTGCCAGGGAACGAAAATGTTGTAATTCTTTTTTCCTTTTCTTGTTTATCATTTTTCAACCAATAACCCCAGGTGTATTGAAAGAAAGCATCCTTTTCAGGATCGTTTTCTTCGTTTAATTTAATATACTTTATGTTTTCCTTTTCATCACTATTGAGATTAGTATTCTTGCTATCAGTACTGTTAAATCTTTTAGTATAATTTGAAGAAGAGAAAGAAGGAATCGATGGTAATGAATTGTTAAAAAAATTTGAAGAGGATATTAACGATGGTTCATTAATTTTCAAAGATACACGCAAAAAATTATTCAATCTCAAAGATTTATTGTAAGATCTTAAAGTGTGTTTCAACATTTTGAATCATAAATCAATAGAAAGATCAACTAATTTACAGCAAATGAAAACTCAATTATCAAGCCCAATAATATTTTGTTAAAAAAATTGAAAAAAAATTGAATCCACAAATCCGGATTCTAATAAATGCATGATCGCGTTATTGTACATACAAACGCATATATAAAATTTAAATTAAAAAGCTGTTTTTTTGTTAAAATTACAAATAAAAAAAAAGAGAATGGATGAACAGGTATTAGTATACAAATTGAGATAGAAAGTAAAAAAAAGAGAAATTGTAGAAGTCTTTTTTTTGTCTTTAAGTTGATTTTTTAATTTTTTTGATTTGTTTCCAATCATCTATATCGATATCAATACTATCATCATCATCAATACCCAAATCTATATTCAGTGATTTTGAATGTTTTTTAACAGGTTTTTGTGTTGTGAATTCGATTTCATCATCGGATAGAGAAGTGATTGATTCAAGAAAGGAGTTTTGCTTTCGCTTGTTTTTATTTATATTAGATTTGTTTTTAGTACCATTATTGTTGTCAATTTTTATGTTGCTGGAATTGATATCGATATCGATATCGATATCGTTCAAGTAGTTTAAAACATCAGATCGATTGTGCCGTTTTAGAACTGAAAACTCGTCCATTACGTAATAGCCGTAATTGTTTGTATCGAGTAGGACTTGATATGCTTTATCTATATTTATGTTAAAGTCTTCCATTATAAATCTTGTAGCAATTTCTGGGGTTAATACAAAGAGGTTGAAGGAGTCAATGCCTAAGAAGGAGACTAATGAATTGTGCTTAGCAGTTTTGATTAGGTTGTCATTAAAGTGGTTTTTAATTATATTTGATATGACAGCTTGTCTTTTTGTGCCGAAATAGCCACAGGAAAATTTGGAAAAGTCTATTGATTGGTAGTCTTTTATGTTTAAAGTTGAGTGGGTTGAGTTTGATTTAATTTTTAGAGCATTGTTATAGAATAGGGAGGTAGATTTATTGGATTTGGAAGTGTTTAGTAGAGGTTTGATTATATGTAGATGTTTGGTTATCTTTTGAATGATCTGTGGTTTTGATAGTGGAGGAGGGAAGAGTTGGTTTAAAGGTTTGTAGAGGTTATTTTTGTATTCTATTTTTGATTGTGATTTTTTAAAAATGTCATTTTTGATTATTAGATGAGAGTTATTTCTGTAGAAGTTTGTATTTAAGTCTTCGTTTGAGAAAAAGGCATCAGTTTTTATGTTGAAAGAGTTTATGTCGATGTCAATTTCATTTTTGATTATGTTGTTTAGTTCTTTAATTTCGTTTGATATCTCTTTTTTTTTATAACTATCATTGTGGTTATTATTGTGATTATTAATATTATTTTTATCAGTTTTAGTAATATTATTAATGTTATTATTATTGGTAATAGTATTAGTATTAGTATTAGTATTAGTATTAGTATTAGTATTAATATTAATAAGATTAGGATTAGGATTATCATTTTCCAGATTAATAATTGAGCTTTTTTTAATAAAATTTGAATCATTCAAGAAATCAAGATCGAAATCTTCAAAACGATTATTAAAAACATTATCATTATTATCATCAGAGGTATCAGCTTGTGTATTACAATTAAGTTTATTTTTTTCATTAAATGAGGTATCATTATTGATGATTTGGCTAAATTCCTTTAGAAAAACCTGAGAAAAATCTTTTCTTTTGGAAAAAGAGCAAACAGAATTATGTTTGTATTCATCATCAGATAGAACATTTGACATCTTCAATTAAAAAAAAGGAAAATAAAACAAATAAACAGAAACATAAGAAAGATGAGGCAGTAATTGAAAGCCATCAGCCTGAAAAACTAAAGAAACGATCTCCTTCTATTTTCACAGTGCAGGAGCCCCATCTGGCTGGCGACACAGCATTGAACAAGAGCATGAAGCTACCAAGAGCAAAAAGTAGGAAGCAAATGTGTCTTGCTTGCGATTTTTAAAGGCTATTCTCTGTTGAGTTGTATCTGGAACATCTCTGGATGTATGAGCTGGATGATAATATAGATGCAGTATCTCTATATATTACTGTCTATGAGTGTATCTCGATACTGTATATTTGCCAAACGAAAAAAAAACCAGAGCAGATCCGTGCTCCGGTAGACAGCCACGGTCTGTAAGCTGCAGGACGAACACTATCCGGAAAGAGCATCCGCAGCATTTGCGCGGCTCGGCGTGTAAACCGCCGGTGGACAGCGGACCAATCAGGGCGCGTGCAGGGCGATGGCGCACAGTGAAAATTGTGTCAACCTGGACTGATTCAAGGCAAGCTGTGCGCGGGACAACGTCGGTATGCGCAGGACGGCGCGCTCAAGCAGCAACCCGCAACCCCTTTTTCTGAGTCACAAAGAAGAGGAGGGGTTGGGGGTGCGTGGAGGACGAGAAGCAGGAGCAGCAGGAGCAGCACAGAGGAACAAACGTGCTGGAACAGCTGCGCGGGAAAAGCGGCAGACAAGGGCGAGAAAAGGAGTCTGGAGCCTGGGAGGAGGCAGATCAGATCTTGAAACTACCCTGTGGAGCATTCTATTACACGATAATTCTCTTGTGGAATTGTTTGATCTCAGCCGAATGCATCAAAACAACCATTCGTTTGCTGGTGTTGAAGAGCTCGTAGTGTGGAACGCCTTTGGCATTTGTCTGGTGTTGCTTCACATAGCAGCTCGTTCTGACACCATTTGATAGTCAAAGTGGTCAAAGTGGCCAATCTCTGAAGCCAGGCGATATTCGACGCTCGACAATTCTCGCTCCTACATTTCTGCTGGAAATACCTTCGAAGATCGAGGCATCGGATCTCCAGGCTGCTGCCCGGAGTACTTCTGCTTCTGCCTTTGCTGCTTCTGCTTCTGTTGCTTCTGCTTCTCCTGTTGCTGGCTCTGTCTCTGCTTCCACCCCTCCCCTATTGACCTGAGTCGTCAAACTCCCTCTATGGGTGATACCTCGTCTTTATTATCGACTAATAAATAATTTGTGAAATCTTTGATCTCACTCAAAACCTTCGTGGTTTTATATCATCATAAACGCATTCTCAAATTTCAAGCTCCCATACATTGTCTTTTTGTTTCTAGGACTGTGTTTAATTAAACCCATTCTTTATAGTTTTGACTTCCTTTCTAACAGGTTTTTTTAGATCAAATAATATTAATTAATTAGTTCTTTAAAAACAGGCAAATTTTTATTGTAATTTTGTAACAATCAATCTCTTAATCACCTTAAACACAATAACATTAAATCAATACTCCCATAACTTATCCACTTCCATTTCTTCTCTCAACACCTCTCCCAATACCTCTTTACTTGATATTGCCCAATAGTTCCCAATTAATGAACCATCCCATCTCTGCTCTGCTCTGCTCTGCTCTTCTCTTGTCCTCTTTTTTTTTTCCCTCTCCTTTATATATCTTATTCTATTCTTCCCTTATTTATACATCTGCTCCAGCTTATCATATCTGATACTGTCAGATCAATTATATCTTCTTCCACTCTATTCTACTCGCCTCCACCTCTTCTTCTTCTCTCTACATCTCATCCCTTGCTCTCCTCTTACGTTAATATATCTCCTGAATCTTCGATCAAATTTTTCAATCTTCTCGATATTGCTTCGATTCCTCCCACCATCCTATATCATATCCTCCATCGCATTCTATATTATAACGCCACATTGCTTCAGTATATAATATAAGTCACTATATTATACTTAATATAAACCTATTTTTTTCCTTTTTCCTTTTCCTTTTGAATGTATCTACCCCCCTCATCATCCTCAATATCTTCAACATCTTCAACATCTTCAATACCTTCAATATCTTCAATATCTTCAATATCTTCAATATCTTTGATATCTTTGCTACTTCTTATCCTTTCAACTTAACTATACAACTAAAATGTCCATTATCGAAAAAGATCACAAAATCTCCAAAACCATTCATAATTGCTCAACAAAATTAACCAGAACTCCTTCCTCCTGGGATCCCCAAGATGACATCTTACTAAGACACTTGAAAGAAGATCAGAAATTGGGCTGGAAAGAAATTTCAACTCATTTCACAACCAGAACTCCAAATGCCTGTCAATTTAGATGGAGAAGATTAAAATCTGGCACTCTAAAATCGCAGAATAATCTCAACCATCTCAACCACCTAAATCATCTCAACCACCTTAACCACCTCAACCATCTTAACCACCTCACCCACCAAAACAATCCCAGCGTTAACGCTAACACTACTAACACTACTAACACTACTAATTCTACTAACTCTACTAACTCTACTAACTCCTCTAATCTGAACTTTCAATTCAATTATGCCTACAACCATGGCTATAATCACAACAACAAACCCATCATTAAAGACAACCTCTTTAATGGCGCCATTGCTGGTTTAAGCGCTCTAAGTAGATCAGACTCCTCTTCAAGTCTCAATCTAAAGAAATTCTCTTTAATTAATTCAAATAGTAGCACTGAATCTTTAAACTATTCTTTACCAAGTTTAAACTCAACTCTACTTTCAAACTATCAAACAATCTCTTCTAATAACACAAACTCGAGTCATACGCATACACATACGCATAATCATAATCATAATCATACTCAGAATAATAATTGGAATAACTCGTATTATTTCTCAAATCCTAGCCCCAAAACTTCCTTTTCTTCTTTATCAAATAGCGATAGCTATTTTACTACAAATAACAACATTTCTAACACTTCTAATATTAATAACTCTTTTTCATCCGCTTCTTCTTCAGCTTCTTCAGCAACTTCTTCGCCACCGGGCTCGAGGTTCAGTTTCAACTCGTTATCTTCTTCTTCTTCATTATCTTCTTCGCTGTCTCCATCTTCTCTACCTTCATCCTCTTCTTCCCCTTTCTCTTTACTCCTTAATGACCATTGGTTGTCTGAAGAAGATGAATTGATAATTACAAGAGAAAAAAATAACTTGAATTTTATCGAATTAAGTATTCTATTACCGAATAAATCCGAAGATGAAATTCTTCAAAGAATGAAATATCTAGACTCTTTTACATCAAATATTTCTGATTCTCATTCCCATTCCCATTCTCATAATAACACTACTAATATTACTAATATCACTAATATCACTAATATTTCTACAAACACTACTACTAGTAGCTCCTTTAATACTCCTTCATTACCTCAACCCGCTTTGAATTTATCCTTAAATTCAATCATCGAAGAAAAACATAATCTCATCACTGATAATAATGAAATTGAAATCATAAAACCTTCAATTCTGTCATTAACTCGATTACTAAATACTAATTGACTTAAATACTTATACTATTCCTATTATTATAACTAAAGAAATTTAAATTTTTATTCTAAAGGTTGGCATCTATTTTTTTATCTTTCAACTCATTTTTCATAAAAAAAATAAAAGAAAAAAAAAGAAAAACAATTCATTAATAGTATAGAAATTTGTTGACACTTTTAATTTATGATCATTTAAACTCTTTTAAATTCAACTTTCTTTCAACTTTCTTTTAAATTATTAGTACATTTCTTAGTATATTTCTTAACTTTTTTATTTTATTTGAATTATGAGTAATTTTTAAGGTTGTTTTCATTTTTCTTAAAAAAATTATTATTATTATTATTATTATTATTATTATTATTATAATTATTAGTATTATTTTTATTGTTATTATTTTTATTGTTATTATTTTTATTTTTATCACTTATAGTATAGTATGATACCCTCCATTCTATTTAATTATTTTTCAGTTATCTTCTTTTATATTTTATTATATTGACTTTTCGGTTAATTTTTATTCTAATTTTTTCAAAAATCAAGAAAAAAAAAAAAAAAGGTTAAATTTTTCTAATGATATTGACAATTATAAAAATGAAAATAATTAATTCTACAATATATATATTTACATATATATAAGCTATCAAAGTCATTTATCTGACATTTATTGATTGGATATTATTAACTGAAATTGGTAATTGGAATTGATAATGGTTTTGAAGGTTTTTTGTATGTTTGTTGCTTCTTTGTTGAATGACATGACGGGTTTTTTCGTTGATTTTGTTTATCTTTAATATCTTAATAATAGTTCATAGTTACTTTTTATTGTTGTTTATTTTATCAGTCTGTTTAAAAGTTGTTTGAAAGTGCAAATGATTTTAACAAACACTCCGAAAAGTTAAATGATATTGTACTATTCGTTTACTCATATACTCCTCTACTCCCTACTCGTGCTCCTGATCGCTATATATCTCGTTTTTCTAACCCAAAGTTAATCGCTCTCCAATCTCCTGCTCGCTTAGCTTATCTTATCTTATCTTATCGTGCCGGGTCAGCGTCTGCAGCGCAGCAGCACAGCTGAGTGCGTATATTTCCGGTAAAGTGTGGCGCACGAACCTGGCTGAAACAGGCATGTTCAAGCACGAGTTCTCGACTTTCGAAGGACGGTTGCCCGTCGTCACCGGCCACCCGTTGCAGTGGTCACTGGCGCACAGAGCATTTTGAGTGTCAATCTCTTTGAGTGCTGAGGAAAACAGCTTCTAGAGTCTCAAGAGCAATGCCCGGGGAAACAAACAGCATATTCTAGTGCTTTTGCAACGTCTGTTAAAGAAGAAGTAGGGGACGTGGCTGGGCTAGCAGGCTGGTGCTTGCTGTGGTCGTTTTTGCAGACCAGCTCCGAATCTGCAGCCCAGATTCGGGTTTGTGTCTTATCTTTATGGCCGCTAATGAAAAGAAGTCTATTTGATTTAACAATCAAAGCCTATTCCAGACCCAATATCAAATGAACATGGAGCTGTAAAACTTCACAGAACCTAAACCTCAAACAGAAACGAATCCCATTCAACAAAGTGCAACAATGATCATTATCTGCAACCTGAATCAAACACATCAACAGCATATCTTTGGCTGTTGCAAATTTTCAACTATTTATACTCTTTCTTTTCCTTCTCTTTTCTTCTCACCCATTTTTCAAAACTTTTTTTTTTCTTTTTTTGGATTGTGTTTTTTGGGCTCGTTTAAAATCATAATATTTCTGTCAAACAATAATAGCAATAATTCATAATGGGTCTATCCATATTGATAGATAATTTTTTTAGGCTATTAGTCCTATTAAAAGTTTTATTGAAAAATCTTAATGTCTCTTTATTCTCTAAATTTTTTTGCAAAATTTTCCAAATTTCCAAATTTTCAAGAGATAAAAATAAAAATATTAATTCAATATCCTTTCTTTACTTGATTTTTTGGTTATTATATGATTTTTTTTCTTTATTTATATTCATTTTAACTTATAAATTGGATAGTATAAGCAAAAATATTCATAACTCCGATAGTCAGCTACTTTACAATAACCAATTTATAAATGATATAATATCTTTCAATAAAAATAAACACAAGGATAATGATCATAATGATGATAGAAATAAAAAATTCCATTTGTTTATCGATTTAGTTCTATTGTCTTACTACCTTGTACTAGACATTATCTTGGTATACCAATTCATATATTACAAGTATTGTTATATCCCAAAATACAAAACTAAAAATATTCCTAATAACCATATCAACAATAATCACTACAATAATAATAATAATAATAATAATAATAATGCTACCAATACCAATAACCAGAATAACAATTATAAAAAAAATTTTGAAATAAAAAAAAGCTTTTTAATACCTAATATCATAACTTTTTCAACTCTACCTACCATGTCAAATGCTTATCCAATACCCAAAGACTCCTTTGATTTGATTTCTCTTTTCAATAAAAAGAATAAACATGGTGATAATGATAATAGTAACGATGAATTATTTTATCAGTTGTATAAAAACATATTAATTCTTACTTATTTATCCATTTTTTCTTTCTTCATGGCAAGATTATTTCAAATTCTTAAGAATTATAATCAAAAAAATACAATTTCTCTTTCAAAGATCTTTTTATTTTTATCCATTTGTTCAAATTTATTCATCTCTTTATTCTCGTATAAAGATTTTACATTTAACATCAACCGTAACTTGACCTTTATTGATTATTATTATATCTCAATATCCGTTTTAGATTTAATTCTACTAGTACAGTTGATTTATTATAATTACCTTTCCAATTACATTACCAATTTTCTCAATAGCCATCGAGAAAATAACGAATTTTATGATGATTACATCTATGCAAACTCTGTGAATTCCAACCAAGACCCAAACTCAAACTCCTCCTCTGATCTAAATCCCACGACTTCTGTAGAATCAAAGGCTTATAACTCCCTAAGAAAAAACTTATTCAGTTTTATTCATACAAGAAATAATAGTGATACTCCTCCCATGAAAAAATACAACACTGCTGCTGTTCAATTTAGAAACCCTTTTAGTAATCATTCCAACAATAAAAACAACTCAAATACTCACTCCAATAACAACAACTATAACCATAACCATAACCATACAAATAGTCTCAACAGTATAACAACTTCAAACTATTACTCAAACTATAACCCAAGCACTCCTCCTTCTACTCCAAATCAATTCACTCCCCTAGCTCCAAGCGATTTTCTTGAGTATGGTGCAATTGATTCAAATAACACAATTTTAGATGGTTTAGACGACAAAAACTACTATAAAGACATCCTTAAAGAAAACAATATCAATCTCCCAAATAGCCTCCTAGATTTCAACACTTCTTCAGCTCTCAATCCTAAACCTATTATTCCCACTCCTGATAACATTGTGGTCTCTAGCTCATCTTGCAATACCTCCTTTGCTGACCAAATTAAAAACCAAAACCAAAATCAGGTCTCTGAATCCAAATATCCTTTAAATAAGAGTTTTGCTCCTTCTAATAACAAGACTCTATTGAATCCCATCATCTTTGAAGAAAACAGAAATCACAATCTTTTTCCCAACAGCATCAGCCCCAACACTAGTGTACCATATTTCTATGGTTTAATGGGCTCCAGAAATTGCAAAATTGACTCCTCCAAATAAATCGATTTGTAATTTGATCTTTTTTTTGGTATATTTTTATCTACTTTATCTATTTTTTGGTTTGCTTTTCTGTCCTTTCTGTTCTTTTCTATTGTGTTTTTTAGCCTGTTTTGTTAGAATTGTTGTTATTTTGTTGATTTTTATCTCGCTGCATGAATATTTCAATTTCTTATCTGTCTTAGTTCTGTGTGTTTTTTTTGTTTTATCATTTGATGTTTTCTATTTATGGTGTATTTTTATCATTTCTGTCGTTAATTCAAAGCTATTTACCTCATTTTACTTTATTTATGTTCATCTATATTATCTCATTTAGTTTACAGAGAATCTAATGCATTTCCATGAATTGTTGTCTTAGAATTACTTTGGAAAACACAAAATTTTGTAAAAAAAATTACATTTTTTATTGTAAAAAGCAAAATTCGTTCAATAATAGTCCATTTATAAGTTTTGTTTTGTATAAAGTTGACAAAAAGAGTTAAGAAATAAATTTAAAAAAGAAATTAGGTAAAGTAAAAATGTATAAAGACAATTTGTAATTTAAAAAGCAAAAAAAGCAGCCAAAAAAATAGAAAAAAAAAATTAAAAAAGTGAATAATAATAATACCCAAGTAAAAAATAATAAGATTTTTTTCCCATATCATTGATATTTCACAAAAAAAACGAACATTCAACTATATAAAACTTATATACATTAATCCCCCTTTTTTTATTACTATCAATGAGATAATTTTCTTTTTTTTTTATAAATTATTTTTCATCTAAATAAAAAGGTTAACCAAAAGTACAAAAGTGAGACAAAAAAAAAGTAAAAAAACGAGTGAATAGTATAATTTTCTAAATAAAATAGGGAACGCTATATAAATTTTTAGCATTTGTCACCAATATAAATTTAAAACTGGAAATAATAAAAGGAAATCCAAAAAAAAGGTCAATTACTTAAATAAAGGATTATTAGGTAAAAGAAAAAGAATTAAAAAGAAGCAAATGAGAAAATAAAATATAAAAAAAAAGAAAATACAGAAAAAATTGAGTTTGAATTTAAAATCAACCAGTAACTTCAATAAGAGGAGGAACAAAAGTTGTAGGAACTATTCCAAGTACTTTCAAGCCCTTTCTAGTTGTAGTTGGAGAAGTATTTGTAATTTTTTTATGAGGCTTTCCATGGTTATTTGTATTGGAATTAGAATTAGAATTATTGGAGTCATTTAAATCCTTAAAATTACTTGGGTTGTTTTTTTTATTATCGAGAATTGAGTTACTTTGTATTAATCTTGATAATAACATTTTTTCTTGTTCTAAATTCTTTTGTAAAGAAACGATTTTATTGAAGCTTTTATCAGCATGAGTTTGGAATTCTAATTTCAAATTATTTAAAGCCATTTTTAATAAATCTTCATTTGATAATTTGACTAGTTCATTCGTTGTAGTGATTTTCGATTTATTGACGTTAAGGTTGTGGTAAGGATTTGAAGTATGTTTCATGACATTTTCTTTGATATAAGACTTACCACGAACATTTGGAAGATCAATTGAATGATTAATTCTGGCATCGCCGACCTTTTGATTGATTGATCTTAATTTTGTATTAAAGTTAATAGAATAAGGAGAGGAAATAGTGTTGGTTGAAGTAGAGGAGATTGAAGTGAAAACCGAAGTGGAAGAAGAGCTTGAAGTAGTTGATGAAGCAGGACTTGATTGGTTTGAGCGAGATAATTCTGATATAGATAATACTTTTTTGACGATATTTGATAATCTTGGATCAAAGTTTATCATTGATATTTTTTTTTTCATTCTTTCAATTTGAGTATCAAGATCGTTTTCATGATCGTTATCGTTGTTTTCGTTGATGTTTGATATGCTGGTGATGTTGGTGATATTTGCGAGATTGACGAGACTACTATTACTCTTTGACATTATTTCGATAATTTTTGGAGCAGATAGTAAGTCAGAAATACTTTTAATAAAATCGTAGGGTAGATATTTTAAAGAATATTTCAAGAAGAATTCTATAAAATAAAAGATTTCGGATAATTTCTTTTCAATGTTGTTGTAATCGTCTAGGTTGATGTTGATGAAGGAAGATAGTTTATTTTCTAGGTTTTGAATCAAGAAATTTTTTGATTTACGATCTGCTTCAGCTGTATGCAAATCTATTTCATATTGGTTTAGGGAGATTTCGTTTTTGCTTAGTTTGATTTTATAGTTGTTAACATTGATTTTCATGTCGTTGATTTCATTAATCTTTTTAAGGATTTCTTTATTTTTATAGGACAAGTCAGTTTTTAGTAGTTTGTTGTGTTTTTCTAGGAGAGCGATTTTCTCGAGTAGTTCTTGGGAGGATTTATTTTCGTCATTTTTGTGTCTATTTGGTTCGATCATTGAGAAGGTTTGGGTTTTCATTCTTTTTAGTTTTGATTTTGTTGTGTTTGATAGGATTTCTTTGTTGAGTTTATCTATTTCTTTGTCTTTTAATTTTAGTTGGTTTTGGAAATCTGAGATTTTGTTGTCGAGATTTTCTTTAAAGTTTTTGTTTTTTTGGTCTAGGTTTAGTTTGAATTGTTTTTCCTTTTCAAGGAGATTGTTTTTATATTGGTCTTCTTGGGATTTGATTAGTTGGTCTTTATCGTTAAGGATTTGTTTTAGTTTGTCGATTTGTTTTGATAGTTCTTGTATTTCGTTATTGATTTGCTGAGGAGGAGGGCTTTTGTTGTTATTATTGTCGATATTGTTGGCAGAATTTTGATTTGAATGGGCGATTTGGTTTTGGTTAGGGTTGTTATTGATGTTATTGTTGATATTATTAAGGTTGTTATTGGAAAATTGTCTTCTGTTGTAATTATTTGGCAGGTAAGTTGGAGGAATAAAATGAGGATCAATTGGAGATCTTGCTGAAGATATTGGAGAGTTGACAAACTGATTTTGATGGTTATAGTTATGGGTATGGTTGAGGTTTATACTGAGATTGAGTTTTTGATTTGGAGTCGGATTTTGATTTTGGTTTTGGTTTTGGTTTTGTTTGGGAACCAGGCTTTGGTTTTGGTTTGGTAGTATAATACCCAAGGGAGGACCTGTATATCTTGTTATCGGAGGAGGTATTTTTGGTAATTGAGAAGTGTTGGAAGATATGCTGAAGGATCTTATGGATGGGGATGTGGCATAGGAGTTGGGGTTGTTCATGTTCATGTTCATGTTGACGTTATTCATGTTGATACCCATATTGTTCAGGTTGACGGTCATGTTATTCATGTTCATGTTGACGTTCATGTTCATGCTAGGGGGATTGTTATTTTGAGAAGCAATGGAGGATAAAGAACCAAGTGGTTTGTATCTTTTTCCAGGCAAAATGACTTTTTCCAAAGAGGTCTGTTTCAAACCAGATCTTTTAATAGAGCTATCATCAAAAGAGGATAGGTTGTTCTCCAAAGCAAGGGCAGGCTTCTTGGGAGTGTTGGGAGAGGAGTAGTTGGAGGAAGCAATGCTATGGGTGCTGTTGTTATTGGACAATGAAAAGGACCTTGATCTTGAGGAAACTGGCGAGGTGAGGGTGTTGAGCGAGTACAGTAGATCGTCCTGCTGGCTTTGGGAAATGGCAAAAATGTTGACAAAGCTGTGGTTGGCAGAGATACTATTTGTTCCAGTGCTGGTGTTGATATGAGAGTGAGAGTTGGAATTGGGCCTGGAATTGGAGCTGGAATTACTGGGAGAGGTGATGTGGGAAGAAAGAGCAGACATGACAGACCACAGTTCGCATTCATAAACAGTGTTCGAGCTGGAAAATTCTGGACTTGCAAGCGTCAGCCAGTGGTTGTAGTCGATTATATCCTCGTCCAATTATCCACGACGTAGAATGTTTTGTGGGAGTTTTTTCAACGACTTTCACTTCCTCAGAGGCTCTGAATGGCTCTGAATTGTCTTAATGGGTCACAATGGGCCGTAATGGCTGCTGTTGCTCTCCTCCACGAAAGCGCCCAAAAGCCCACAGACAGCCCTCCCGGTTACCCGCCCACGCCCGGTCTAGACCCACGCGCCGCAACCACACACAGGAGCACGCAGCGAGACACGCTCTGGGTGCAGCCGCAGCCGTGCGTGTTGTGCTGCAGAGGAGTGCACCCACACTGCTGGATCTACCTGCCGAGAGTATTCTATTGTTCTTTCTTTACGTCTGCGTCTTTGCGTCTTTACGTCTCGATGTCTTTACGTCTTTGTATTGTTATATGACTACTTATTCTGCTTCCACCCACTGCAGATCAGAGCTTGTCATTTTTGATGAGCGATCCCTCCCGGTACAACTCGTCAAGCTCAGGCTTGAAGAACACTCCACAGTTGTTTCTTCGGATCTTCAATGTGGGTGTCACCAATCCGTCCTCGAGCGTGAGAGGATTCACTGCGATCTTCATATTGTGCACCTTTTCAAAGCTCTGGAGCAACTTCTTGTTCATCTGCCGAGACAACTCCTCCACCTGCGAGTTCAAAAACACCACAAGGCTTCTCTTGATAAAGTAGCTCTCATTCACCAACTCCAATATCTTTTCTTCTTTCCCATTTTCCTCAACCAACTTGATCAATTTGTTCAATTGTCTCTCGTTGTTGTTTCCATAATTGCTGTTCCCACTGCCGCCTCGTATTTTTTCAAACTCGCTGATTGTCCCATTCAAAACATTTTTCTGAAAATTCTCAAAATCAATCCCAATAATACCAACCAAATAATTCTTCAATGAGTTCCCGTAAATAAACGCCTGCTGAACCATCGGACATGCCGATAAGTAAATCGTTTCAATCTTCTCCGGACTGATGTATTCTCCCTGACTTAACTTGAAGAAATTCTTAATTCTGTCAATTATAAACAACCTGTTATCGTTCATTGGTTCAATCATACAAATGTCCCCGGTATGGAAAAACCCATCTTTATCAAACGATTCCTTTGTCGCTTTCTCATTCTTGAAATACCTTGAAAAGATTTGTGGCCCTCTCAACATTAATTCTCCCTTGGGTTTTCCTTCTTTATTCTTGTTTTGGTAATTCATCTCAGGAACGTCTCTTAGTCGATAGTCAATAGTGATGCCCCCAACTCCACATGACCCAGGCTCTCTCTCGTATGCTTTGCTAATCGTAATAGCCGCCATCGACTCTGTTAACCCGTATCCTTGTCTAAATCCAACTTTCAATGCTGCTTTCAAAAATTTCACTGTTTCAACCGCAATTGGCGCCGATGCAGTCAAACAATATTGGACGTTTTCAAATCCAAATTCACCGTGGAGTCTTTTAATAAACGTTTCATCAAACAACCATTCTTCATCATCTTCATTTCTATCCTTATCCCCGTCTTTACTATCTCTAGCCTCAATCTCCAAAATTTTCTTTTCAATAATTTTGTGCGACGAATTTTTGATTATCAACTTGATAGCACTCTCAATCTTGGTGAATATTCTTGGAACCGCCGTCAAACTGTATGGCCTCAAGCTTTTTAAATCCTCAATCAACGTCACAACCGGATTTCTCGAGCTTGGAAACCCCAATGCACATCCGCAAATCATTTCAAACGCTGCAATTTGTCTTTCATATATATGTGCCAATGGTAAAAACACCAATACCCTTGCTTGTTTGTTCCGATACGCCAGTTTTTGTTCCTCACTTAAATAATCAATCTTGGGTCTCAATGGCTTCCCCAATTGACTATACGCCAAATTTATACCACAGGCTAGATTCAACTGACTGACTTCAACCCCCTTGGGCAATCCAGTTGTTCCTGATGTGAACGATATAGTGTACAACTCATCTTTCCTTGCGGGTCTTAAATTAATTGGAAACTTTTCTCCGATTTTCTCTAAACTGCTCAAATCATAAACTTGCAAATTGATAGACTCTGCAAACTTGATCAAATAATAATCTTCTTCAATATCTAGTTTGTCCATCGAAACAATAATCAATAAATATTTCAACTCGTCTTTATAGTCCTGTTGTTTTAGTCTTAATATCTTACTGATATTTCCCTTGGAGCAAAAGATTATTGGCGACCTTGTCAAGTTTAGTATATAACCAGACGTCTCTGACCCCAACGTATCATACAATGCTGTATTGGGCAATCCAAATGCCTGGCATGCCAAATCAGTCAACACCCATTCAATTCGATTTGAAGAGTAAAGAGTCAAAATAAACTCATAATTATAATTCTCATCGTCACTTGAATAAACTCGCGCATTTTCACTGGTAAATTTTCTATAATTGATATTATTTCGAACAACATTTAAAATACCAGACCCTAGTTTGTTCCTTCTTTCACAAACCTCTTTGAATGTTTGGAAACTAAAATAATTATTCAATTTATTGGTTTCGCGATTAACTAATCGTTCACCTAAACAATTTGCATCCGGATGTAAATTCGTTGCAACCTCAAAAAACTTGAAGTATGTATCCAAAAATGGTGTCAAGTATCTGGACAATTCACCCAAATTAACCAGTTTAACCGGCCTGTAAATCGACGAATAACCTTCAGCACCAGAATTGGCAACAGCAGCACCAACATCAACCTGGTTTGATGGCAATGGTAGATTGGAGTAAAAATCTCGAAATGAACTGATTTCCTTGTCAGTCAAAACATATCCCAAGGACTCGTCGAATTTGAAATCTTCCTTGGTTTGAACCATCGTCAGATATCTCGCAAATAGCCTCTAGTTATCCTGAATCTCCACTCTGCAGTGAATAGGATCAACAGAAAGGCTAATGCTGCAAACAGCCAAACACATTGCTATTTATATCAAAAAGCAAGCTCACATTATCACACTGATATCCTGAAAAGACCTATCGGTTGCTTGCACCTTCAATCTTCATATGGCAATTGTTTCTACTCCACACTCCAGAAGAGGAGGAGCCCAACACAACCCAAACATTTGCACGCTCTTTCCCCCGGCGTCTCGGCCTCTGCTTCTTCCCTTTCTTGCCCGAAATAGCTTCCTCTGCAGCAGCGTGCGGAAGAAGCTCCTTCACCATCGTCCCCATCTCCACCGGCTTCTGCTCGGTTTCCCAAACAGTGCCTCTCCCTTCCTCGCCCAGAAACCACTTCTGGACCGGATTCGCAGTGTGCACGTGATAATCACGCAACAACATGGGGTCTAAGAGCAGGTCCAGAGGAAGCACAGGAAGAAGGCAACCCATCGGCAGCAATGGCAGCAGAAGAAGACGACAAAGGCGACAGAGGCGACAACGATGGGGGCAGCAACAGCACAGCAGCTGGTTTTGCCATTGATGTCAAGCAATACTTTCTTGCCGCTGAGAACGAGGCATACAAGCTCTTTATCCTTTATGTGATGCACTATCATAGTAATGGTGATGGTGCTGGTGATGGTGTTGGTGCTGCTTGTGGGGAGTTTGATCCCAGATTGCTTAAGTACTCCTTGCGATTCATCATCCGGCAGTTGGAAGCTGACGAGAAAAGAGCTGCAAACGCCAACTTGGTCACTGATAACACTTTCAACAATGACAAAAACAATAACAAGCTTTTTATTGCTTATCTCGAGCAGAAAATTATTGAGATTGATGATCTTTTCAATCTACCAGCCGATTCAATTGATTTAGACAATGATATTTATTATTTGATTGACAAAACAGAAAAGTACTATTGCAAATGTTTGGAAATTATTGACCATTCAAACGAGATTAATCTCGATGCTGAAAATGAGCCAGATAACAAATATTTCGCTTTTTATCTTGAACTCATCAACGTCTTATTTAACTCGTTATTTTACGACTTCATTATATTGAAAATTTTTTCTCCAGATTCAACTTATAAAGAACAGATCCTTTCAAGATCTCTAGATTCCTCAAATTTTCTTATTGTCTATTTATCATTATTATTCAATTCTAATAGCGAAAACGATAACAAAAATAAAAATAAAAATAAAAATAACCATCAACATGATAAACAGGAAATCTTAGTTCTTTTCCAGCAAACTTATAAGGATTACTTATATCATTTAAATAACTTAAAACTATTATTAAATCTACTTAATTTTATTCAATCCGACTTACTGTCTTCATTTCCAGATTTCTTTTATATTGATAATTCCAATTTAAATATGTTTTTCATTATAAATCTATTAGACAGCTTGATAAATGATAATCAAGCTAACCAGGAAAACTTCATCCAAAATACAAACTCTCAAAATAATAATTCCAAGAAATCGAAAAAAAATTTAAAAAATGTGCTAAAAGAAAAATTTACCTATAAAACTAAAACTAAAACTAAAAATCAAAATCAAAACGAAAATCAAAATCAAAATCAAAATCAAAATCAAAATCAAAATCAAAATCAAAATCAAAATCAAAATCAAAATCAAAATCAAAATCAAAAAAATAAAATCAAAATTAAAATTAAAAATAAAATCAAAAATAAAATTAAAATTAAAAGTAAAAGTAAAAGTAAAAGTGATACTCAAGGCTCTGTTGAAAATAATGATAATCGTCCTAGTCCAACTAATAATTATAACAACTTTGATAACTATGATAATTATTATAAATCTGATGAAGAAATACCTTCCGATTATAATCTAAATGATGATGATGATAATAGTAATATTACTTATGACGATGACGACGATTATGATGACTATGATAACTATGATAACTATGATGACTATAATAACTATGATGACGAAAAACAAAATTTCGAAATTTATGATATAGACACAGATGACAATATTGAAAACAATGATATCTCGGAAAGTTCAAACGAAGATAAATATATTTACAAAACAGATGAAAATTTTAATGATGTTACTGAAAATACTGAATTCGCCGATATTACTAATCTTAATGAGATAAATGAAATAAATAATACTGAAATAGTTAATCAAAATCAATACAATACTGAACACCTGATTGATGGCAATTATCAGGATTTTGATTTGGAACCAAACAATAATCATAATCTAAACAATGACTTTGAAAATTTCGCCATTAATAACAACTCTGACACTAATAACAACCCAGATTATCTGCAATCTGCTGATAATGGAAATAATCTTGATGATATATACTATCTTGATATTAACAATAATGAAAACCTCAACTACACAGGAAAATACACTAAACATACCGGTAATGACTCCAAAACCAATGAAAATCAAAATTCAGATTACAGTAAAGAAGATCTAAATGAAAATGATTTTATTGAACAGGATAGTAATTTTACACATAATAATAATGATAAAGATTTGAATTCTACGTTAAATAAGAAAAAATTTCAAGATGCTTTATTGAATAAGAATACATACGATTCTAGTCCTAATAATTTCTACAATAGATCTACCAATACCAATTTTCGGTATAAAGATCATATCTGCTGCATGTGTGGTCAAAAATGGCATAAAATTTGTACTAATATCATTTTTTGCTATAATTGCTATAAAACTGGTCATTTCCAAACAAATTGCCCTTTGAAGGATATTATCAATCTTAAAAATGAAAATATACAGCGAAAGAAAACCTTTTATTGTGAAATTTGCAATTCAAATAATCATATGGAAAAAAACTGTCCTACAATATGGAGATCTTATATTTCTAAAGATGGACTTGATGAAAATGTTTCCCTACCTGAAAATATTTTTTGCACAAATTGTGGTAAAAGGGATCATTTTTGCGATGAGTGTCCGAAAAAGATAATGTCTAATATAAAACGTTATGAAAAAGATTATAAATTCATTGATTCAAATAATGAAGAAAATTACTCAAATAAACTGATCAAAATAGATTATTATACTTTTAATTCAGGATTTAATTTACCTTTTGAAAAAATGCAAAAACAATACTTTGAAAATTTCCAAAAGCAATTTGAAAAGTATTATGACGAAACAGTTAATACTCAAAAAAATTATTCTAAAGCATCTAATAATTTTCTGTATAAATCTTATAATATTAATGGAAAATTTAGTTTTAGAGATAGCAATGAGAAGGATCACGATTATCATAGTTTTACTTCTGGAAATAACAATACCCATAATTATTCTAAAGAAAGCTTTGGAAATCCAATGTATACAAATGAAGCCCATAAATTTAAGAATAGAAAAATATCTAAAGACCAAAATCAATTTCAGAGTCAGTTCAATTCTGATCCTAGCTCAACATCACATTCGAATTCTACTAGTTTGAATCAAAACTTTAATTTATATTCAAATTCATCAAAACGAGTAAATCAAAATCGGAAAGCATTTATTCAAAAACAGGGTGTATTAGATACAAATCCATCAAAAAAAGTTATTAATCCCATTTTCCACAACATATTTGATTTCGAATCCGCTCATATTTCAAAGAATTCTAATCCAGAGACTTCTCAAAAATCTAATCCATCGTCTCGTCGAAGTAGACAAATACCGATTTCAGGGAAACAACCAGCAACTCAAAAAACTAGAAGAAATTACAATAAAGCCTATTATGATTTAACAAATTTTGAAGTCAGAAATTAATAAGAGATAAAATGATTCAAATCAATTAATGAAAAAATCATAGTATTTGAATAGTTTAGAATAATATTTTAAATTGGTATTTATAAATTGGGGTATAATTGGATTTACGTAGAATAGAGTTTTATTGAATTAATCTATATAATTAACTGGATAATTGGTTCAAAGGTATATTTAAAATCAAGTAAAGGATAAAAGAGATTGGATTGCTTCAAAAATATAGGAAAAAGTAGTATAATTATTAAAAACAGGGATTAAATAAAGATTGTTAAAAAAAATCATAATAATCAAAAATAGTGTGGTTAAAAAATCTAAAATCAAGAAAAATATCAAAATACATCCTAAAAAAACAACCAAGGTGTATTGCAAAACTAGAAATAAAAATAACTAAAAATAAACAGGTATAATATTAGAATACAAAGAAAATTATTTTATTAAGTGACGTTAAGCTCTTCCTGATGTTTTTAAAATTTCTTTATCTTTTATATCAATTGCTTCCTTCAAAGTGAGTACATAATCTTTAAATTGATTGTGCTCATTTATCAAATAGCTATATTTATTATTCCAGTTTACCATAATCAGTTTGTACAATTTAGTACTATGAAGGGAGTAGGTGTTTGTTGTTGATCTGCTGCTTGTACTATAGATGGAGGTATTTTCGACTCTTTGGTTGCATGCTGAAGAGGCACTGAAAAACTTTTCTTTAAAAAATTTTTCAATGTCGGTTTTTATTTTAATATGATCCCCAATCAAATCTTCCAAAACCTGAACGTATTTATAGAGTTCAACTAATTGCTTTTTCATTGTATTATTAGATTGTGTCAAACTTTGTAGCATGGGCTCCCACTTATGGATTTTAGTTGATAGTATTTTGGTTATATCATTTTCTTTTAATATTGAGCCCCAGCCAAACTCTTTATTTGAAATAGCCTCAGACTCGATTGGTATAGCAGTTAGTCTTGCAGCCCAGAAGTTGCAGGTGAAAACATATTCTTCTGCAATTTCTTTAGTGCCCGCAGAAAATATCAAAATATTCTCATTGTATATTGTTAATAGATTGTGAGAGGCAAGTAGGGGATCTTTCATTCCATCAACAATTGAGTTTGTTAGATTAAAACAGTTGTTAGTTTGGTTATTTGTGCTAGGTAGCTTCAAAGCCCAAAACGTTTCTAGTTCATTTGTTTTGAATTTTTGGTCAGAAATATTGCCATCTGGAATAATCTTGGCATATGTTGAATATAAGCTATAAGAACCAGCTTCATTTGCGTTTTTCATCCAATTACCATCACCAATTTCGCCATCTACATTTTTATGTTTTTCAGATTTATCAGTTAGTCTTAATCTTGATAATTTTTTTTTCAATTTGTGTGGATGATTGGTCGAGTTGTTGTGACGATTGTTGTTGTGACCATTTGAACCACCATTTATATCAAACGAAAACAATTTCAATTCTCCTCTGGAAACAACAGAAAAATTAGTTTTCCATTTGATATTTGAAAAAGAGTGATGTACACTGTTGTATTTATGAGAAGATATTCTATTTCTGTTAGGATTATTTGGATTGGAATAAGAAGATGAAATGTCATTGGAACTTTTGCTATATTTATACAGAGAAAAAAATTTTGGTTTTTCAAATCTTTTAATCTTTAATAGGCCTTCTTTTGTCCAAGGAGGACCATATAATTCCAAATCCAAGTTATAGTCCTCTTCTTCTTCAAGGAGAATATCTGGATTGATACAAGGATCATTCAAGTAAAATGATTGATATTGGGGAGGAGTAAAATGCAAACTTGAATTATTATTTGACATATTATTGGAGCTACTTTTTTTTGAAATTATTAAAGAACTTTGGTTTGAGCTGGAAGAAATAGTGGTTAGAGTATTTGATGTATCCATTGTAGCTAGAGTGTTGTAGGTGTTTAATGAATTGATGCTATTCGAGGACTTTTTGCGATCCAAAGTTGTTGAAGAAATGTTTAAATGAGAATTCATCAAGGACAAACTGTTATTATCTTTGTTATTACTATGAGTACTGTTGTTGTTGTTGTTGTTGTTGTTGCTGTTGTTATTGCCACAGTTGTTGCTATTGTTGTTTGAGGTATTATTATTATAATGATTATAGTTAATGCTACCATTATTGAAATTAAAACTACTACTTGAGGGTGAATTAGTTGTTAATTTTTCTTTTTGTTGGATTAATAAACCAGCAAAGCCAATTGGTTTATTTTCAGTGAGAGCAGAAGTGGAATAAATACTATTGTTGCTTCCATTATGAAACATTGAAGAGTTTCTTGGATTTAGATCAAATAAACTTGAAGCGTTGTTATTATTATTATAAACCGGAGGGGCTAAAGGAGTATTGTAGGATTTTGTTTTTGCTAATGGAGATCCACTATTATAGTTAAAAGACATGCTTCTTCTGATGTTAAAGGTAGAGATTCTTTTATTTGCCGAGCATTTAGAGTAAGTTGGTGAGTTTACGGGAGAACTGTTGTTAGCGTTATGATTTGGTGTATTTATTAAAAGCTTTGAATTTGGAGTATGGTTGGTATCGTTGGTATCGTTGTTGATGTAATACTCATTGTTATTGTTATTGCGTTGACTATCATCATTATTATTGATATTAGTGGTGGTAGCGGTAGTAGTTGTGATATTATGATTACTGCTAAAAAGATGACTTGAGTTGTAGTCTGGGGAAAATTTACTGAATCTTCTTTTTTCATTATAAATCAAGTTTGTGCTATTGTTTGAGATTACATTTTGGTTTGTGGCAGTTAATAGTTTCAATTCGTTTAGTTCTATATTATCGTAAAAGACTTTTAATTGGTTGATTAGCCTTAATTCATTTTTGATATTTAGTTTTTCTGATTTTAAGGCGTTTAAAGTATTTTTGACAAACAAGTCCTTTGATATGTGTTTTTTGACGTTTTTGTTGTGTAGATCAGAGTTTAGTAAGATTAAAGAGTAGGCGACAAGATAAACGCCAAATTCATTGATGTAGAGATAGTTTTGAACTTTATATTGAAAGGAAGAGTTGTAGGTTATTGAAAAGCTTTCAATGATTCTTGCAATGTGTTGGGATTCGCCTCTAAAGTATAGTTTATTGCACAATAGTCTTAACGAGGAGAGCAAGTTTTTGGAGAAGTTAAAGTTGTTCATGTAATATTGGCGTAATTTTGTTGAGTTTTTATTTGAAGAACATAGGACGAGGATGTAATCTTGAATTGAAATGTCGTTGTAAGTCAAGTTGTAAAGAGAGGAGGCCAAACCTTTCAATTCGTCGATTTGAGATTGAGTTAGCTCAGGGTCAGACTCGTTATCATTATCTTTGTCGTTGTTTTTGTTTTTAGATTTATCTATTTCGTCTTTATTGGTGTCGGTAGATTTAGAGTGAATTTTATTTGGATCATTGTTATTAGCAGTAGATGTAGAGGTGGAGGAGGTATTATCGGTCTTCTTGTCAATGTTGGAAGTGGATATAATATTATTATTAATTTTGTCAGTAATTTTTTGATTTTTTGAGATAATGAGGTTCTTTGAAGAATTTTGGTTATTTATGGGGGTATTTATGGGATTGATTAAGGTATTGTTTATAATGTTTTTAGCGGTTAGAGTGTTTGAAGTTAAAGTAGTGGTAGTAGTTGAGTTTGTTGGAGAGGGAGATAAAATATTCAGATACTCATTATCTGATAGAATGTTTTGCGAGGGAGAAGAGTTTAAGAATTTACGAATTAGATCCAAGTCAGTATCGAGGTATTCTGTATTATCGTTATCGTTATCGTTGTTATCGTTATTATCATTGTTATCGTTATTAACAATATTATTATCGTTAAGAATAAAGTTGTTTAAATTTTTGGTTTTAGTTTTAGTTTTAGTTTTGTTATTGTTGTTATTTTTACTGAGTTCGTTTGGATTTTTAATGTTGATATTTTTAGACAATAGCAACTTTTCAGTTGATTGAGAATCATTGTAGGAGTGGTGTTTCCTGAAAAAGGTTTCGTTATTTAAAATGGAAGTATCATTGCTAACACTGACATCAATATTGGAGATAGTTGTGGTGATCTTTTGGGTTGAGGTGTAAGAGTTTCTCAAGTTACTGTTGTTGTTTGCAGTAAGAGAGTGGATTTCTAGTATAGAAGAGTTGGGAGTTGTGCTGAAGGGGGAGTAGAACTTGTCGTCGTTGCTTCCAATGGAGCTTGTGTCAATGTTGTTGTTGAAGCTGTTGTGCAAGCTGCTGTTGTTATTGCTGTTGATGTTGAGGTTGTGGGAGCCTTGGAGCTGAGACTGGGACTGCAATTTCAACGGATCCAAGGTGAGTAGGGAGGTGAAGTCGCTGGCGTTGAAATTGAGGGAGCTGGAGGGCGAGAGAGACATTGAACAACAGAACTGGAGACAGAAAGCGAGAGGAGGACCAGTGAGCAGCAGGGAACAAGGAGAGAAGAGCAGCAGAAAAAACCAATAAGTTGTCTGCAACCAGCGATGGATGCCAAAGCGATAATAATATTATTGCGAAGGAGCCCAAAAGAGCAAGAGAGGTCTAAAAGGTGTTGTCAACGCAAACGCGTGCCCCGGCAGAACCTGCAGATATGTGCAGCAGGAGCGGCAGAGGGCGGCTGTCTCGATTGGGCCGATGCGATATAATCACTAATCACTAACTACTGCGCTACTGGGGTATTGGGCTATTGGCCGACTAATACACCATTCGTACCCTTCTCTCGTCGGAGGACTGCATCTGCTCTATGTGCTCGTGCTTCTGGCTCTTGCTGACGTTGTTGGTGGGCCTCGTCTTCTGCTCCTCCCTGCCCTTCACCTTGGGCTTGTCGGTGTTAGAGTTGTCCTCACTATTGTTCTCCTCGTCCGAGTTGTCTTCGCTGTTGTCTTCGCTGTTCTCCGAGTTTTCCTCCTCCTCTTCTTCGTCTGAGTTGTCTGAGTTGTTGTTCGAGTTGTTGGGGTTCGAGCTGCTGGAGCCAGAGTTGCCGTCGTAGGGAATCAAGTACTCGCATCGGTTGAACTCTTCGATTTCCTCTTTGCTCTTGGGCTTTTGTCTCAACCACTTCATTCTGGGCCCGCTAACACTCAACTCGTTGATCTTGAAACCAAATATTTTCAAGCTGAAGCTGTCTTTGGATCGTAAATTACATTGTCTCTGGATCTCGGGGTATAATTTGATAAACAATCCAGGAAAGGTGGTGCCAAAACACGCCCCGTCGATGTTCAAGTATCTGGAGGAACTTGGAAAGTAGATATCTGAGCACGATGGACAGAACAATCGAACTGTATCCAACCCTGGCTGATCGTACAATCCAACCGGCAAAAGATACATACCCTCACAATTAACTCTTGAGCATGATCCAAAATTCCTGTTTTCGTATTTCTCTGCCATTAAGGTCAACCCAGGTTTCGTCAATATAAATCTGGCATGAATCAATCCATATAAAACCTCGGCACTGTGCTCGATCAATGGCATGGCGGGTATGTTTATCTCGCTTTCTGGTCCTATATCCAATATCAAATTTAATGATTCTCTATAGTACGACACCATGGATGATAAGCCAGATAGGTTGAAATCATCCTCAATGAATTCTGTAGATATTTCTACAAAATAATCATGTCCAAACAAAGAACAGAAATTGGAAATCCATGAGTCGTATTCTTCAGATAGTCCATCTTCATCATCATCGTCTTCTCCTGTAAATGGTGGATTGGTCCAATTTGACATTATTATTATTAGAGTTGTTGCTGTTTACTGCTGTTGCTGCTGCTCGTTTTTGGTGCTGATGCTAGTCTAAATGCTGATTTTGGTGCTGATGCTATTAGTACTATGGATATCCCCTTATATTTTCTATTTAGCACTTGTTCTATAACTATAATCCTCTATCACTGTTATCTCTCTCGTCTCCAACTCCACCTCAGGCCCCTTTTGGTTACAAATTTTTCTTTCCATAAAAACATGCACGTGTATTTACCATGTGTAAGTTCGGCAAGTTGTGAGATTTTTAGATTTGTCACTAGTTACGTAATTTGCGTCAGTTGCGTAAACTGCGTTATTCACGCAACTCACAACTCACACAACTCGCGTTACTTACGTAGCTCGTGTGTTTTATAGTGATTTTTTTTCTCTCCTTTTGATGAGTATTCACATTCTTATGGATATATCTTTTTTGAAAATATCAATTGAGAATCTCAATTGAAGGTGTTCATTTGTTTGATTTGTACATTTTGGAACAATAACAGTGAAAATAGCTTGATAGGGTGTTTATTCTGACTGTTTTGATTTCAAATTGGCTATGTGATAGATCTGAATGGGTGAAACTTGAAAACTTGACTTGAACTTGAACTTGAAATTCAAACTCAAATTTAATAAATCTTGATTTGTTACAATTATATTATTTTGTTGTGTTTACTGCATTTTAATTCTAATTTTTAATAGATAAATAAAGAGAAATAAAAATAAAAATAAAAATAAAAATAAAAATAAAAATAAAAATAAAAATAAAAATAAAAATAAAAATAAAAATAAAAATAAAAATAAAAATANAAAAATAAAAATAAAAATAAAAATAAAAATAAAAATAAAAATAAAAATAAAAATAAAAATAAAAATAAAAATAAAAATAAAAATAAAAATAAAAACAAAAACGGGTTGATAAGGATTATATAATCCCAGGGTGTATAGTATAATAATTAGCCGAGGTAGGTCAATAAATTAATGATTCAAGAATTGATTACTTCAAATAGATCTAATGGATTGTGCTGATTGTATTGAACATATTGACTAGATTTATTGTCGAGTTGAAATAACTTGTTATTTGATACATATATACTTTTGAGATTTGGTAAATTTGATAAGTTTGATAGGGTTGATAGGTTTTGAGTATCCGAAATCTCATTGAAGGACAAATCTAAATAGGATAGATTAGTTAGACTTGATAAGTTTTCGATCTTGGATATATTGTTATAACTCAAGTTCAAATGGACTAGGTTGGATAAGGATGATAAATTTTCGATTTTGGAGATTTGGCTATCGGACAATTTTAAAAAATGCAAATTAACCAAGTTGGATAAATTTTGAATTTTAAGATTGTTACTAAAGGACAAATTCAAACACTGTAGATTGACTAAATCGGACACATTTTCAATTGTGCTTATTTCATTATTTGATAGATCCAAGTAGAGTAGGTTATTTAAGGTGGATAGGTTTTCAATTCTGTGGATTTTGTTAATTGACAAGTCTAGATAATTCAAGTGAACTAGAGTAGATAGGTTTTCAATTTTTTCAATTGTATTGTAGGATAGATTCAAATGACGCAAGTGTGATAAGGAAGATATGTTTTCGATTTGGTATATCAGATTTAGAGCCAAATCTAAATGTTTTAGATTAGTCAAATGTGCTAAATTTTGGATCAGTGAGATATTGTTATCGGATAGATCTAAATGTTTTAAACGAGTCAAGTGTGATAAATTTTCAATAGATTGGATATTGTTTCTTGATAAATTCAAGTATTCCAAGTTGACCAAGGAAGATAAATTTTCAATTTTGCCGATGTTGTTATTTATTGACAAGTCCAAGTGTTTTAAATTGACCAAGTTTGATAGATTTTCAATTTTGCTAATGTTGTTTCTGGATAGATTCAAGTGTTTCAAGTTGTTTGAATCGAGGAGATTGAATAAAATTGATACGAATAAAACATCTTTGATAGAGTTCTGGGATATATCTAAGAAGGACAAGTTGATTTTAATCAATTTTGAAAGATTAAGTGTTATGAATTTTTTGAAATCGGTTAGTTTTAGTCTTAGTATTAAAAAATTTGAGTAAATCAAAGGATTTGAAGAGAATAAAACTAGGTCATTTGAATTGAGCACAATGCAATCTTGTTTGAATTTTTTCAAGCCAGGGTGATTGGAGGAGCTTTTCAATACAACTCTCTGAAATAAAAGGTTCCAGGATGCCTTCAGTATGAACTCGTTATCTATGAGAGTGAATAAACAAAGTATATTGGGAGGGAGATAAGAGAGTATGCTTTCAATGAGATAAAAGGGTAAGGTGGTTATCAAGCTGTACAAGTGAGGGCTGCTGTATATAAGTCTATTGTTGGCGATCCTAGTCTGATGATAAAGCCTTTCGAGATTCATTTTGGATGTGAATTGAAATTCGATAACCATGAAAAAAAAAACACTCAACCTTCGCTAAAAGTTAAAAAAACCAGTAGAAGATCCGGCTCATCCGGAATACGGCATTACACCACGGATATTACGTAATCCTGAAAGTGCTTTCAGCCGAGGCCCACGGGAATAGAGTTTAGTGTCTGGCACTGTCTTCAGAACACCAAGAATGGTCTGGCACATTGTTTGCACGTTGGCAGCAGCTCTGACCACAAACAGCCGCTGCACCATGATTTGCTGGATTCCCAACTGTAGCAGCTTTCTCTCTATCCACCTAGTGTCGCATCAATGTGAACTGAGCCCAAACGCGCACGTCTCTGGAGCGAGAGGTATGAAACACCATTCTAACGGGTCCGGTTTCCGCTTATATAAGCCGCCACTAGCGAGCACGTGCGCTTTTGCTTCTCTGCAGGGCCGTCCGAAGAGGAAGTGGGCACGGGAATGACGATAATCTCAGACACATTTGCGATATTTTCTGTCGGAGTGTGAATGCTGACAAGCAGGATTGCTCGTACTGTGATTGGTGCAAGGTGAGAAGCGGGCCGAGTTGGGACGGAATCAGTGGCGTGACCGCGCACCGAGCAATGGAAGGACGGCGGAGGGACGGGGCGCGGGGCTCGCAACGCAGAAGAGATTCCTCCGCGGGTGTTTTTTTTTTCGTGCACACGAGCGAGGAGAAAACAGAGCGAAACGCGCGGGCGAGACGCAGACGACGGACGAGAAGACGAAGCAGGGAAAGACACCAAGAAACGACAATAAACAGAAGCAGAAGAAGATCACCTCGAGAGGAAACATCGAGAAGAACGTCCACAGCCTCAGCACCTCGTTCTAGAGTTATAATGATTCTGCTGCTCTGCTCCTAGAGACACTGCCCAACCCATCGTCCTGCTCTGCTCTGTACTGTTTCTCCCTTCCCCATCCCACAACGACCCAGCTCTAAGACCTGGCTGAACCTAATACTCCCAACAATAACACTCTTGCCCTGAGGCCAACTGCTCTGCTCTTGCTTCACCACCATTTGCTGCTGCTATCTCTCCAGCCCAGTGCCTGCTCTCTTCTTTCTGCTTCCTGTCTGTCTGCCTGTTGTCCTTCAAAGGATTGGAAAGTCAGATGGTTATTTTAAGCTTCTCTTGCAGATTACATTAATGGTAAAATTCTAAAAGAAAATTCAAAAAAAATTCAAAAAAAAAGTTTCCCTCTCTTCACTTCCCTTTTCTCTGATTATTCAATAAATAATGAGCCAAGTTAATTACAACAACATCAAACCAAAGATACTGCACATTCAACCAAATCACAACAACAATATCAACAGTAATATCAACAATAATATCAATACTAATAACACCAACACTAACACTAACTGTATTGCTAGTAACAACATCAATAATAACCCTAGTAGTATCATTAATCCCAATACAAATCCAAATTCAATTTCAAACAGTCAAAACATGAATCTAAATTCAAACTCGAACTCAAACCAGTTTAATCCCCCAATACTACCTAATAACCAACAACTCCTGAATAACTCAAAGAACATCAACACTATAAATAATCTCAATAACTTAAATAACTTAAACTTAAATAACTTGGGCAATAACATAAATCATCTACACAACAATTTAAATACCATAGGTAATTTCAATAAACAAAAAAGGAAAAGAGATTCTGATCAAATTCAAAATATACACCAAAACTTAAATCAAAACACCTCCAACATGAACCAAAATCACTTTCAAAAATCGAAACAAAAACAAAAACCATCTTCTCTCATAAATAGCAACATCAACACCATCTCTCCAACCTCTTTATCCTCCCTATCCTCTCTCTCCTCTCTATCTTCAAAACCAACAAACATCGACATCAACTCCAACTCCAACCTACCTCTAAATCGCCAAATCATCAAACCAAAGCCTCCTCATCATCCCTCTGGCCATCGTCCCGTAACCTCCTGTACCCACTGTAGACAACACAAAATAAAATGTAATGCCTCTGAAAAATACCCTGCTCCTTGCCAGAGATGTGAAAGAATGGGTCTTCACTGTGAAATTGATCCTCAGTTCAGACCAAGAAAGGGCTCTCAAATGCAGACTTTAAGAAACGAAGTCGATGAACTAAAAGCAAAAATAGAATTCCTACAAAGAAATGAGTCGATAATCGCTCAGGTCCTATCAAACAAATCCTCCTCTACAAATACTAACAACACCACCACAACATCAAATAATATTCCCACAGATAATACTAATAATAATAATAACAACAATAACAATAACAATAACAATAACAATTACAATAATAATATTCATAACAATATTCAATCAAACCCAATCAAACTCAATCACAATAATACCTCTCTACTACCCGTAATAGAAGAAGAAAATCCAATCAAAAAACTCATAAACTCCAATAATCCTCATCAAAACACAAACCAAATTAATAACACCACTACTAACTCTACCACCACTACCACTACCACCAGCATCTCAATTAACCCATCAGCTACTCCTTTCATTGCTAAAACTTACTTGGAGAAAAACCCAAACTTATTAATCGATCGCACCTCAAACAGTAATTCCCCAATAACCTCCACTAATTCTCAAAACAATTCTTCCTCCTCAATAATTCAAACTAATCCAAATGATAAATTGTCTTTAATAACTTCAAACTTAACCTCTTCTTCAATCACTTCCTCAATGACTAATAACACCCCCAATAATAATATAATGAAATCTTCCATAACTGATAATGACCATGCTTCTCCAGAACTATTAAACGACTCAGCTCCTGCTAATAACGATGACAATAATGCTCTTCCTCCAAGTCTCCAACATGCAATCCTAGCCAGTAATCATTCTCCTGATTTCTCCTTGCACAGAACAACCAACGATTCAAGCCCCAATACTCCTATCAACATCATTTCCGATTCTGCATCAAACAATATCTCCAATAACGACTCCTCCAATGATGCCTCCAATAATAATGAAAACAATTCCAAAATAAAAATTGAAAACTCTCCTCCTCCAATAATAACTGCACCTCCAACTGAATTTAACCTTGGTGATGTTAGAATTCCCCTAGAAAAAGCAAACGAATTACACTCAAGATTTGTTAATCACTACTTGCCTTTCTTCCCAATTTTACACACAAATAATGCAATCGAATTATATACTCAATCACAATTGTTATTTTGGACCGTATGTTTAACCGCCTGCCTATCTGATCCAGAACCAACTCTATACAATAAATTGGCATCTTTAATTAAACAATTGGCAATAGAAACTTGCTGGATTAGAACTCCCAGATCAACTCACATTGTTCAGGCCTTATTAATACTAAGTTGTTGGCCACTACCAAATCAAAAAGTCCTTGATGACTGTTCATATAGATTTGTTGGTTTAGGCAGAAACTTGGCTTTCCAGTTAGGTTTACATAGGGGTAAATTTATTTCAGAGTTTTCAAGAACACAAGTTGCTCTACCAAATGCTGTTAAATGGAGAACAATGACTTGGTTAGGTGTTTTTTTTCATGAACAATTTTGGGCCTCGGTTTTAGGTTTACCTGCTTCATTACAAACTGATTTCTTAATTGAAAATGCTAGGTTAGATTATTCTTTACCCAAAAATTTTAGATGTTTAATATGCTTGGCCATATTTCAAGCTAAATTGGCTAATGTTATGGGCTCTTCTGTAACAAGTCCCGATGGTTTAATGGAAGGTCCAAATAGAGCTGGCGCTTTAAACATTTTACAAAGAGAATTAGAAAGATTGATTTTTAAATTAAAAATTGATGATCCAATATCTGAAATATACCACTTGTATGTCAAATTAATGATTTGCTGTTTTGCATTTTTACCCGAGACTCCAACCGAAGACCAAACAAAATACGTCACAATGGCCTATTTATCGGCTACAAGAATTATAACTACTTTTTCTAAATTGGTCGAAAATAAGCAATTAAGCGAATACCCAATATATGTCAGACATGCTGTTACCTATTCTGCTTTCATGTTATTTAGGTTACATTTAACACCATTATTGCTTGACAAATATATTGACTCAGCGAGACAAAGTATTGTCACAGTTCACAGATTATTTAGAAATATGTTGGCAGCATGGAAAGATGTTAACAATGATATATCAAGAACTGCAAAAGTTTTGGAAAATCTAAATTATGTTATAATTACTCAACCTGAAATCTTCCTTGAAGGTGAAGGAATCATAGTTAAAATGAGATCTCATTTAACAAATTCGTTATTTTATGATTTAGTTTGGTGTGTCCATGAAGGTAAGAGAAGAGCGATAGCTAGTGAAAAAACCGAGCAACTACATTTAGTAGAAAACAAAAAACCTGAAACTGAAATTGAAGATAAATCTAAAGACAAAGCTTCAAGTGATACTAAAACCGACAGTAATGATAAGAATAAAAGCGAAAACGAAAAATCAGACCAAGATAAAGATAAACCAAAAGATAAAAAAAATCAAAATAAAGATATAGATATTGAAGCTAATAAAAAACAGGACAAATCATCAAGTAGTAATAAAGATGGGGAGAAAGCATCTGAAAAAAGCCATAAGGATTCACATTATAAAATTAATGCAATAATGCCAAATGGTCAAAAAAGACCTATACCTTTGCCATTTTATAATCAAATCACCAAAGATAATTTTAAAACCATCACCACAACAACGCCAGGAGGTACAACAGTCACAACTTTAGTGCCAACTCAATCAGCAATATCCAATGCCAAAGCTAGTGCAACTGCTGCTGGATTATCTGGACCAACTGAAATTAATGGTATACCATTGATATTGTTAGAAGCTACTGGTAGTGTTGAAAAGGTTAAACATCATCATGAAGGTGTCAAAAAACAGAAACTTAATGACAACATGAGTAAATCCATACAACACAATAATATTAGTAGTCATGGTAATAGCAATCCAAAACTTAATAATAGCATAATTGGACCAAATTCACATAACCCACAAAGTTCACCAAATTCACATATGGTTAATATGGACCACCACCATCACCATCACCATCATCATAATAATAATAATAATAATAATAATAATAATAATAATAATAATAATAATATTGATAATAATAATATTAATATTAATAACAATAGTGACATAATTAATAAAAGCAAGCAAAACAATAACAATAATAATAAAAATATTAATTCAATTAATTCAATATCAACAAATCAAATTAATATTGGAAACAATAACTACAATAAAGATACTAATATGGGCGATAATACCAATAAAAATATAAACATTAATGCCATGTCTAATATATTGACTGTACCAAATACTAATAATATACCTAATAATAATATACCTGATAATAATATACCTAATAATAATGCATTGAATATAAATAGTATGAACAGTATGGGTAACATGTCTAATATTAACAATAAAAATGCAAGAAATTCAATGAATAATATGAATCAAATGGGCAATCCTAATAATAACAGTAACAATAATAACAATAAAAATAATAATTGGAACTTTAATAATAAGTCTATACCAACAATTCCTCCAAATAACAGTCCAGTTTTAAGCGCACAAGCAATGAATCATAATGGCAGTTTAAATAATATGAACAGTATAAAGAATAGTATGATTAATAACATTAGTAATAACATTAGTAATAACATGAATAATTACAGTAATAATAATAATAATAATAATAATAATAATAATGGCGTTATAAATACTAATATTTTACCGCACCACCATCAAACCAATAATTCTAATATAAGTTCTATTTCTATATCTAGTGACAATCAAATGACAAGATTTAACGGTACTAGTGGGAACAGTGTAAATAATAATTTTAGTGTTCTTAATGCGTTTATTGGAAATAATAGTCAACAATCAACACCTATGGCTAATAGCTATTCAACAAATAGCAACGCAAGTAATTTCCATAATTCATACCGTGGTGCTAATAATTGTAACAGCAATAATAATAACAATACTAATAATAGCAATAATTTGAATCCCATTAATATGACATCGCAAGGAGGCACACCAAACTCTGTTGGTAATGGAATGAATATAATGACACCACATCATAACCAATATCAACAACAAATGCAACAGCTGCAACTGCAACAGATAATTGGCGGTAACAATAATAACAACAACATAGAAACAGATTTTCAATTTGATAATTTTTTTCAAAATCAAAACTTCGATTGGATGGAAGGAACAGATGATTTTTTAGGATGGCTAGATATGAACATGAAACCCGAATTTTGATTAATGTTTTTTAAATGACATAATAGTATATTAATTTGTTCACTCAAGAGTCTAAGAATTAAGTAATTCAGGAATCAAGAATTTAAGAATTTAATTGTTAATGGATTTTTTTTTTTACATTTTTTTTTTATTTTGTTATTTTTTATATATTTTCAGACTTTAATTTTTATTTACTATGATTTTTTTTCCTTATAATTTTTTTTGTTCATTTCATTTTGTTTAATTAATAATTTAATAGTTTAACAGTTTAGTTGGTTTTATTTATTCTTTTTAGTTTTTTTATGTATAATGCGCATTTACTCATTTACTTTAATATATAAGATTGTGATAAGAATATTTATTATGGCTATTTAGGGGAATAATAAAAGTTGGAGAAAAAAAGTAGAAAATACGATATTGAAAAATAATATTAACTAATTATTTTCAATTATTCTTTTAAATTGGTGTAACGTAAATAAGGTTTGACAGCTGTGAAATCACCAAATTTCTTTTTAGCATCAGCATCAGATAAAGTTGGAGGAATAATAACTTTTTGACCCTTTTGCCAATTGACAGGAGTGGCCACGCCAAATTTGTCAGTTGTTTGCAAGGCTTCAAGAGCTCTTAAAACCTCGGAAGTGTTTCTACCAACGGATGGTGGATAGGTTATAATGGCTCTAATTTTCTTTGAGGGATCAATTATGTAAACTGATCTAATTGTTTGGACGATTGTGTTGGTTGGCAAATTTTCGAAAGATTCTTGGTCAATCATGTTATAAACATACGAAATCTTTTTATCCGAATCATCAATAATTGGGAATTGGAATTTTTTCTTTGAGATTTCTTCTAAATCCTTGATCCATTCCAAGTGACTTTTAACGTCGTCGGTGGATAAAGCAATCAACTTTGCATTTTTTTCGCCAAATTGCGAGAGTAGTGAGTTGAATTCGTTCAATTCAGTTGTGCAAACTGGCGTGAAATCAGCCGGATGAGAAAACAAAATGACCCAAGAATTGGACTTAGTAATAAAGTCGTGGAAATCAATTGCGCCTTCATTAGTAGTAGCGTTAAAATTTGGTGCAATTGAGTTAATACGAATAATCGGAGGATCTTTTGTGAAGTCAAAAGAGGAATTAAATCTTCGAAAGGGGAGATATTGAGCTTGAACCGAGGAAACTCTTAACAATCTCGAGGCAGCTGGAGCAATCGAAGAGGATAGTCTAGATAACATCGCAACAAAAATACAGACCAAAAAAAAGAAGAGAACAGCAGGAATTGAGTGAATTTAAGCACAAAAAATAAAAAAGTGCGATCAAAGAGCTAAAGTCACATCAAAGAGTGAGCTCTATTTATATTCTGTTGATATTGGGGAAGTGGATCAAATCATCATCGAAATCAGGAAAATCGCAACTGCACGTGATATTATTTACCACTGTTGAGGATTCAATGCACATACAGCAGGGAATAACAGCGTACTACATACAAGCGCGTGTAATCACTTTTGCAGGCATTGCATATTTTTCTGCAATGTTATACATGTACATGTGCATGCACGTGATAACAAAGTCTTTTGGTTCCGTCTGAATTCTGATCAGTTCCGACCAAATTCCGGGAAAGGGTGAAAAATGAAAAATGAAAAATAATTTTAAAGTGAAAAAATTTTGGTGCAGGAAAAAAAATTTTGAGAGTGGGTTTTTATTGGTTTGTTTATCTTTTCACAACAAAATAAGTTTTAAAAAATAAAAATAAAAGTAAAAATAACATAAATCTATACCAAATATTCTGAGCAGAATACTCAATAAGATTTGTAATATTAATAATACCTACTCTGATTATTCTAGTATCTATCTGCTCTACTCTTTACTTGTCATTGCTCTAGTGTTATTTACTGTTTACTGTTATTGTTTATGTTTCCACTCCTATAATCTATAATATGACGTTATACTCTCAGAATTTAAATCCTTCCAGCATCAACATGAACATGAACATCAATATGAACATCAACATTGATTCTCCAGCTGCCTCTTCTGCCTCTGCTGCTGCTGCTTCCTCTGTAGCAAAGTCTGGCAACAGCTCAATTATTCCTTCCTCCCTACCTGCAAATCTTCACCTCAATGGTACTGCGCAGTCCTTTTTAACCAGCAGCATTCTCAACAATAATGGCAGCACAAACACCACAACAAACACACACACTGTCAGTAATCTCAACAACAGCAGCCACCACAGATTGAACAGCTCTCTCGGCAAGAGCAACCATCTTAATGCCAACCACTCCTACCTCAATAACCATATTCATAACCACAACCCACCTAAAAGACGATCCTCTACTACTTCTCCCTATGCTATTCCAGCAAAACCAAGGGCAAACTCCTCATCTCTACCTTACTCTCTTCCTCCCTTGCGCCATTTGAATAACAGCTCAAATAGCATTAACAGCAACAACCCATTTTCTAGCGAGTATAAAATAGACACTAGCAATAGCATCAACAGCAATCCTCCTCTATTGACAAGGGAGTTTGTTATTAGAAGAATTTCAGAGGGTGAATCTGGCAGGTTAAAACATGATATCAAATGCGAGGCCTGTGGAAAGGGTTATAAACATATATCGAGTTTAGCTAAACATCTATGGGAACATACTCCTGAATGGAACTATACTAAAAAATTATTAATTTCAAAACATCAACAAGTCCAGTTATTAGAAGCTGCTAGTATATTGGTTTCGATGAATGAAAAATTTCCTCCAAATAAACCTTTAAAGAGTAAATTATCTCAACAGCCATCAAATGACAATAGCGATAAAGATATTAACATGGAGGTTGACAGCAACAATACTATCAATAATAATAATAATAATAATAATGATAATAATAATAGTATGAAAAATAATCTCAAAAATAATCCTAATAACAATCCTAATAAAAACCTTAATAATGAAAATTTTATATTGAAAAATGAAATTGAATATGAAAATTTAAATAATATCAATAATTCAAATAAATTTACAACTTATTTAGACAATGATAAAAATAATAACGGTTTTATTAACAAAACAAATGCTAATACTATTAAAAATTTTAATACCAACAACACCAAAAATATCAATAGTAATAATATAAATAACAATAATAAATTAAGAAGATTATCAATAGACTCAAATTTGACTTCATTGTCCTCTAGTTACAGAAATGATAATATAAATAAAAATAGTTTTAATGATTTAGATGATGAATATGAAGACAAGTATTTACTTCGTGATATTAATAACTGATAATTAACACTAAACACCTAGTACTTAATACTTAATACTCAACACTTGATAATTATTAAACTAACAGAATAAATTATGTGTATATCTGATGATTTCATTTTTTCTCATTTATTTTCTAATCCGTATTTTTTTATCAAACATAATAATCATTTCGTTAAATTGGTTTTAATTCATTTGCTTTCTTTTAGTTCAATATAAAAAATCAAACAAAAAAAATAAAAAATTAAGTAAAAACAATTATGAAATTTACTATTTTTCAATACTATTTTTACAATATCCAATATCATTTCACAATGCCATCTCACATTAGATTTAATTTTTTTATAAACAAATATTAAAGATAAACTAGAATCAAAATCAAAATTAAAATTAGAATTATAAAAATTGGAAAATTAAAAAATCATTTAAGGTTATATTCAAAATTTCCTAAAATCTTATCAAAATGATTTGTTTTTTTTTGTTATTTTTTTTTTTTTGTTTGTTTATTTGTTTGTTTTCCTTTTTTTTTATTTAACTTAATAGAGAACTTGGCTTGTTAATTGTGTTATTTTCAAAGTTCTCTATTTTATTTTATGTTTTAAATTTTTTTGGTTTTAGTTTTTAGTTTTGATTTCATTTATTATATAGTATATTATAATAATGGGTTTTAAAGATAATCTTTTGATTTTACAATGAAATTTAATTCAATTTAATTCAATTTAATTCAATTTGATTCAATTCAGTTAATTAGAGATTAGAATAAACATAAACATCATTTAAAATGCAAACAAAAAACTATAAGCTATAAACTAAGAGCAATAAATTAAGAGCTATAAACTATTAAATTTCTGGTATTTAAGTATTAGTATAATGATAGAAATAATCATAAGGTTATGGTTAAGAATAAGAATAAAAATAAGAATAAGAATAAGATATTTTGTATTGTTCTGTGTTATATTATATTATACGATATTATATTATACGATATTATATCATATAATATCATACTATATCATATTATAATTTTTAATTGTCAATTGTTAATTATTAGTTATTAGTTATTAGTTATTAGTAATGAATCAAATCATTGATTAAAAATCCAAAGGATTATCATTTTTATCGATAACTCTTTCAAAGCAATCTAGTGGTATGATGCCATCTTTATTACCTTCAGTTAATATAACGTTATTTAAGGATTTATGGAAAATGATGTTGTTGTCTAAACATTTTTTAATATTGATATAGATAAAGACATTTGACGAAGTTTTCATTCCAGAAATGACAAAATTATTTTCAGAATTTGGTAAATTTGTAGTTAAATGAATGTGGTTTCTGTTCATTTTTTTTAAACCACCGGATTCTTTAATTAAGGGCCATTTTGATTTGAAAGTTCCATGAATAATAAAATCTGGGAAATCATCTGGATAATTTTTTAGTTGGATCAAGTTTGAATTTTGGATTTTTTTAATTGAATGGCCTTGATTTGCACAGATTAAATATACTTTTTTGTCGTTATCAAACTTTAAATTAAATCTTTGTTTTTTATTTGTTTCAACTATTTTTTTCAAGTGTTCGAGATCAACGTTTAAAGATTTAAAAAAATTCATCTTTAGTATTAAATCAACGGGAACATAACCCTTTTCATCAATGGGTAGTTTTAGAGATTCAGCGTCATGTCTAAGAATTTTAGCCAATTTTTTTGAGATTTTCATTTCTCTAATTTCTTCAAAAGATAGCTTGGATAGCTTGGGAGAACGCGAGTATTTGTTACTGGTTTTTTTCTCATTGAGAAGGGAAAGATTTTCGTTAATTTGTTTTTGCAAAGATTGAAAAGAACGAAGATTCGAGTCAGAATCAGGATCTAGTTCAAGTGTTGTGTCAGGACTGGTGCCTGAAGATTCCTCAGCAGCGGCAAGAGAGTTTCTGTTTGATCTGTCAAGCAAAGGGGACTTGGGCTCAAACCTTATGGAGTCGTCTTTAAGAATCTCCATTTCCCTCCTCAATCGCTCTATTTCAGTCTGTCTTACAATTTTCAACTGGTCGAACTTGAGTTTGATCTGTTGCATCTCTTGCAAGGAGAGAGATTGGGAAGACTCTATCCGGGAGCTCATGGTGGATGGAGGTAACGAAGGTGATGGAGGAAATGGAGGTTATGGAGGCGATGAAAACAGCAAAGGTAGTATATCCAGCTGATGGATAAAGATAAAGATAAAGATAAATATCAAGAAAGAAACAGGAAAATGGACGTTTTATACCAGCCTTGCATTGTTTTCGGGTCCGTCACAGTGGTAAAAAGTCAACTCCGGGCTCGAAACTCGAATACGAGTCAAAAGTCGCAGAAGCAGAGGCACCAGAGGCACCAGAGGCCTCTCGTTTATTGATACTGGCTATTGGTCTATGTACAGGCAGAGCGAGGCTCTATATTTTGGCACTGGATCCACCACAGCACCCTTGGTTCTTGTCCATCAAGATCTTCTTCGCCTTCTTCACACTGTCGTTGTCTCCCAACTCAGTCTCCTCGTGGATGTTCAACTTGTACTTGGTGGGTGCGTTTTCAGGGTCCTCTAGCTTGCCCTGCACAACATTTCTTCTTAAAAACCTCGAGATCTCCTCGATGTGCTTGATTCGCTCTTCCACAGCTTTGCTGGTGTCGGGATTTCTGAATCCATTTCGAATTTGTTCTCGAGAAGCAGCTAGCGTAGCAGTGTCCTGGTTGAACGCGATTCTCGTGGCTCTAAGAGCGTTTCGGTATGCATTCAATGAAGCTGCTTTGCCGGACGACATGTTTCTCTTTTGTGTTTTAGCAAAACTGTCTAAATCTGACTGCAAACCTGGAGTCTCTTTATATATTTTCCAATGAAATCTCTCCCTACTTTTTTCGCCTTACTAATAATAAAAACACAGTTACCCGACTTGATTTTCGGAGAAAAAATCCTCTTTTGCAGCTTCAAATCATCACCAAAATGTATTGATAAAATATCAAAATAACAGCCAACAACTGAACAAAACACACAACAATGGCCCCTGGTGATTTGAATCTTAAGAAGTCCTGGCATCCAGGGTTAATGAAGAACCAGAAAAAGGTCTGGGAGAGAGAACAGGAAGCCTTGAACGAGCGAAGAAAGATAAAAGAGAAAGAGAAAGAACTTGCTATAGAAATTGAAAAGAAACGATTGAAATCTTTACAAAAACAAAATCGTTATTACAATCCAACTAATCCTAATAATAGTGCATCTAATGGTGACGATGATGTTGAAAGAATAGATTGGATGTATGATAATTCTCAGATACCGAAAAGCAGTATAAATAATGATAATGATAATGATAATGGCAATGAAGATTACTTGCTCGGCAAAAAAAGAGTAGACGATCTAATCTTAAATAAAGAAAAGAATAAAAAAAACACTAAAAAAAAGAGAACCGTAGCTTCAATAGATACACTATTGAATTTAGACTCTTATTCACCAGCTAATAAAAATCATATTGCTAACAATACTGCTAAAAATGACCAAAGTAATCAAAATAATGATGAAACTTTTAAAATAGATAAAAGTGACCCAATGTTTTTAATAAAACAGAAACAGTACAAAAGGCAACAAGTTTTGAAACTCAAAAATGCAAATAAAATATCAAAACCTTCAAAATCTCATAAAAAATCTAGTAATGATAAATCTGATTCAAGTCGGCACAAAAATAGTCACAAAGATACTTTATCATCTTCATCCAGTCATAATTCTTCAAAAGAACATTTTGATGATAAGTATGATAAGTATGATAAGTATGATAAGTATGATAAGTATGATAGATATGATAAGTATGATAGATATGATAGATATGATAAGCGTGATAACAAATACGATAAGCATCATAACAGATTTGATAGGTATGATAATAAGTATGATAATATAAGACACTAAATTTATCTCAGTTTATTCAAACGCCGGTTAAATCTTTAATCAATATATAAATATACTATATGTACACTAAATATAATTTTACTTTTGCTTCTAATCTTTCTTTTCTTTTTTAAAAGAAAAAAAAACTATTTTGAAGGACCAGAGACTTGATTAATCATAAAATCTTTGACAGAATCCAAGTTATTAACTATATTTAATCCAAAGCTTCTTAATTTAACAACTGGTAAAAAATCAATCGAGTAAATTTTATGCAATTTATCTGTAATACCCAAAGTCAAATGATTTAACGGATATCTATCGCTGTAATAAGGTTCTAAAACTAATAAATTTCCAATGTCCAATCCTCTTTTACAACCGGTCTCAATAAAATTAAATAACGATTTAACATCTGCTTGACCCATATTAAGTCCCTGTCCAGATAATGAATGAATAGTATGACAAGCATCGCCGACTAATGCAATTCTATTAGATACATATGAATCTGAATGTGATAATTTTAAAGGAAATTTGTTTACTGAATTATCAATTATATCGATAATCTCAACTGGATATGAGTCATTAAATTTTTCAATGCCAATTTTATTTTTATGAACATCAATTCTCCAATTAATCTCTTCAATTAGTTCATTTTCGTTATATTCATTTGAATTGATGAATTTGTATAAATAATTTAAATCAACTTGCGATAAAATGAACAATGAATTGAATAATGAAATTAGTGAATCTTTTGATAATTTTTTCAAAATTATATCTGAGATACTCGGATCGACTGACCAAACCATTGTTGCATTGTTCTCGGGTAATGGTAATAAAGCAATTGGGCCAGTAGTAAGAAATCTTTGCCATGCAATACTTCTGAAGTCTTCATATTTCAATTTAAGTGTTGCAACAAGTCCATTTTTATTATATGACCAACCTCTTGATTGAATTTGAGCAAACTTTCTTACGGGTGAATTTGAGCCATCTGCGCCAATTAATAATCTTGTTTTCAATAATGATCCATTTGATAATTGAACAATCGGCCATTCATTTTCTTGGTCTTTATAAATATTAAGGACTTTAGTGTTGTCAATAATATTTAACAAATTATCGTTATTAATATCATTATTAAGTTCTTGAATTCTTTGATATAAAGCAGATTGTAAATTGATGTTTTCACACATTGTTGCAATTTCTGAACGTTCAAAATCCAATCTTTCATCTGATATACCATCGATTACATTAATATTATCATAAGAACAAATTCTATCATTGTTAATAAATTTCCAAGCATCAATTTCAATCAAGTTATCAATTGATTGGGGAGTTAAGCTGCTAACTCTGTTTGTGTAATTGACTGGGGGATCCAAGTAAAAGTCATTTACAGGTTGAAGATTTGAGGATTCAATTACATTTATCTTTAAATTTGAGGTTATTCGAGAGCTTTTCAAGGAGGCAGCTAAGGTTAAACCAGCAGGGCCACCTCCCACAATAGTTATATCAGATAAAATGGGAGATAAGTTGTTGACAGTAGTTGCTAAGCATCTCCTTACTAAAAGATTAATTGGGCGGTTTGACCTGAAGATTTGGTCTGAAGACTTGAACATGTTGGAGAATATTGGATAAGAAAAGTGGGAGAAGAGAAGCAGGAGTTTCTCGATTTGATTGGTTGGAGATGGCTGTGTGCAGATCCCAGTCCGGACTGGGATGTTCTGTGTATTAGAGACTAGGGTCACATGCACCCGAAGAGGAAGAAGAAGGAAGAGAAGCACAGAGAGTGGATAGGGAAAGATTGAAGAAATGAGCAGGTTGCTGCTATTCTGAGGAATTTAGATATGGTTTGGAACAAAACAAAAGCGTATTACATCACAGAAAAAGACTAAAAGAGCAAGTTAGGTTATCTTGAGAAGGTTAATCGGAATAAGATTTGGGATATTACATGGACTAAAAAAATTTGTTATATATTATTAGATTTATATTCGTTTTATCTATTTTTGTCTATTTTTATCTATTTGTATTTATAAAAAATCATTGTAATATTTTAAATCAAAAACAAAAATTAAAAGTAATAATGGATAGAAAAATAAAGTAATCCATTCACATATCGCACCATATGGATCGAAATCATATAATGACAAAAAAACAAAGGTGACAAATAAACAAGAAACCAAAATAAACCAAACAACTTTTAATGCCGAAGTTATAGCAATTTGAGCAATAAAATTGAGACAAATTGAGATATAAGCAAAAATCCTTTCCTTTTGACTCTCGAGTTCCTTGGATTTTTATTTAAAGAGTCTTTTAAGCGCTAAAGTTAAAACAAAAAAAAATCGAATGAATTAGAATAAAAACAATATAAATTGGATTTAAATTTGTAGAAGCTATCTCATGTAAAAATGGTGGATTGTGGTGCTCATCGGGGGAATCATCATATGATGGATCCTGTTCCTGTTCTGCAGTGGAGAAGTAAAGAGTTGCTATCCTCCTGTTATTTTCTTATTTGACTGCTTCATCATATAAGCTTTCTTGAACAGCCCAACAGATTAGTAAAATGATTAAGAAAAGATTCCATGATATGTATGGAACCAGTGGAATAAACCAGATTCTAGTGCTAGGTAGATATTTCATTGCTAAACATAATAAATAAAACAAGATTTTGCAATTCAAGAAAGTGTCAATTTCAATGAGAAATGACACATTAATATAATAAAAAACTACAATATCAAACTAACAGCACCAAATTACAGCACCAATCTAAAGCTGGATCAGAATATTAAATACAAAAGATATAGCCTAGCTTCAAAACGCGTAAAAACATCAGAGATTACAAGTACCATTTCCAGCACAATAGTGAAGCTGAAATTGTCCTTCCAGTTCTTTATAAGGGTTTTCGTCTTAACAACATCCAAGCCAAAATAAGATTTTTCCTGCATCTGCATAAAAAGCTAATCTCAAGACGTTTATGCACGCGCATTACTGCAGAATAGGGTATCAAAGATGTTGACTGAGTACAAAAGACATAAAGAATGGTGTTGGAGATACACGTTGCAATCAATTGGAATACCAATTAGGAGCGTTTGATGATTCTTATCAGGGAGCAGTAAGAACGATAGTGTTCAAAAAACAAAAAGCAAGTAAGTCAAGAAAAACTGCTCCATTGCTCTCAAAGACTGAAGTGATAGGTGTTTCGGACGAGACAACAGATGCAATTACAGAGAATAACGATAACAGAAGAAGATGGCTTAGAAACAAGAGTATAAGAAGAAACACAACTGGTTTTTGAAGGATGCCCGTAAAGAATCATCACGCTTAAGATCGCTACTAGATGCTGAAATCAATCTACTTAAAGCATCGCTCTTCAAACCAAACTATCTCTTAGCATCTGTATTGTAATCAAATACAATATTACCACCTCTACTTGTGCCATTTAAGTAGAACCAGAACTATTCCACCCAGGATAATGATTTGATAACATAGGAGTGTTTTTTTTTCAATAGCATTAGATGGTGAAGTTCTTAATGCAAATCAAGAATCTATTCTTCATTTTATATTTTCACTTAGGAAGGGTTTATCCTTTTATCAAAAAAGAATAGACCCTGTCCAATTCTGAACAAAAGTATAATATGTCACAACGTCTATTCTTAGAAAGTTTTTATTCCTACACTAAAGTCTATAGAGTAGTTTATAATCGTTCTATTGTAAGAATAACCTTTCATTTCCCATAAAAACCCTGCATCAAATATAGGTTAAATATCAATTAGAGATATTAACAAAGAAAAAAAAGTGAATTAAAAAAATGAATTTGAAAATTGAAAAGTAACAAAATAGGAAAAATAAATAGAAAAAAAAAATATAATAAATTAATCAAACTAAATTAAACCGACCTAAAACAAATTGAATCAAATTATCTCTAAATTTGATTAGGAAACTGTAACATTTTCCCAATCCTCATTAGAATCAAAGTCAATTATATTGTAATTTACATTATTTGAAGTTGATGTTCCAAACTTATCTAATATGACATAATCATTTTGATCGATTATGTGAAGAATATTATCTAATTTTTCAGTTGTAATTAAATCTCTAAATTCTTTCCATTCATCCAAATTTCGAATTAAACAGCCTAATAACATTGAAGGATCCAATTGTGATAAATGCAATTTTCTGACGTTTTTAGTGTGAACAGACAATATTTCTTTATTTGACAATAATGTTAAACTGTTGTCAAAATTATCTTTCTTGAAATTATTAATGTTATTCAATTTTGATGAGTCGTATTTAAAATTTGATAAAATTGAGTCTTGACTTAGATCATAATTTGTTGAGTTTTTCAAAGCGGGTTGAGGGATATGAGGATCTAAATAAAATAGGTAATCAGCCTGGTATCCAAAAAAATAATGAGAAGCTGAGGGTCTACCACCGGCGATGCCTACAGAAAATTTTGAGGATAAGATTTTCTTCAAAGAAGTCCAATAAATTGGATTAACGTTGTCGATACCCAATCTTAACCCTAATAGGATTAGTATTGGAGATTGAGTTTTAACATGATTTGGTATTATAACTAAATCTTCATCTTTATCTTTAATGATTTTTTCAAATGCTTCATTATTATCAAAGCTCTCGTCTTTTTCTAGTAATTCAGTATGATATTTTCCATTGTTTAGAGAGTTGGCTGTTATGTTTATTGCGAAGTTTATACCGTTATTATTGTTATTGTTCTCATTTTTCACCTCATTATCATTATTATTATTATTATTATTATTATTATTATTATTATTATTATTATTATTATTATTATTATTATTATTATTATTATTATTATTATTGTTACTGATAGTATCATTATAATTATCATTATCATTATCATCATTAATATCGTCAATATCATCTTGATTATTGCTACCGTTAACATAAGTATTTATATTGATATTTTTATTAATATTTTTATTATTTATATATGAATTGTCGTGTTTTGTGTTGAAATCGTTACCCAGAACACTATCAATATTATTTATCTTAGAATTACTTGTAGTTGGGATTATATTTGAATTTGAATTTAAATCTGAGTTTGAATTTGAATTTGAATTACCAATTGCATAAGATTTAGTTTTTAAAAGTTCTTTATCTTCATCATTTAAATTTATAAGTTCGGGTATATCATTATCACCATTATTACTCGGGTTATTATTTGAAGATACTAAAGTCGGAGAAACTGTTGGACTGATTGAAATATAATCCTTTGAAGTTGTGATTAATTTGAAGATCTCATCATCATAGATATCACCATTGTCACTACTTATGTAGACTTTTAAATTGATTTGATGAAAATTGTTGACTAAAAATTGAATTGATCTTGAAGCAGCGGATGGACCAAACCATTCACCAGCGCTTTTTCCTGATAATAAATTACCTTGTTTGACAAAATTGTGGATTGAAAAAGGAGCAATTAAATCGTCTATAAACCAAGATATGATTCTTTCATGGATTAAATCCGAGATTTTTGGGGACTTGAAGGATTCAATTGAGTTGAATAACCAGGTTTTTTCGTTTGGTCTGTTGATATATAAATTAATAAAAGTATTTGCTAGTAGAGATTGAGAAGTTCGTATCATACAGCCCCATCCACAATCGTTTATAAAGCCGTTTGAATCAAAAGATGAAGTAGAAAATTTTGTTCTAAACAAAGAACTTAAAGATATTGGATATGGGGAGTTTTGGTCTCTTGGAATTAATGGGAAGTTCGTTCGATAAGTAAATATGATTTTAGTGTAAACGTCTTGAAGAAAATCGTCTGGCCAGGGGTATTTATCGTTTCTATTTTTGTTTTTGCTTTTGCTTTTGTTTTTGTTTTTGTTATAATTAAAGCCAGAATTGTAGATATTGCAGCTATTAGTGGTATTGGAGACAGAATTGGTAAGGGTATTGGCAAGGGTATTGGTATTGGTATTATTATTAGTATCGGAACAAGTTCTCTTCTTTTGGTTATTTTCATTAAATGGGACTATCAAAAAATCATTAAAACCAAGCTGGATCTTTTCCTTAAATGATAAGGACTTTCTGTTGTTTTTCTTATTGACATCGCCAACCTGCTCAATGGGAGCACAGTTTTCAGTGTCATTCACTCTGATATCGCCACCAGAAACATCGCAATTTGCATTTTCGTGAATGTTTATCACCACAGTATCGTCGAACATGTCATTGTAGTCCACATCGTTTGGGACTGGCGAATAAGTTTGGCCTCCAGTGATGACAAGAGGATGCGATAAGTCTGTTAAGAAGTCGTTGTTCAGACCAAATAAATGGGAGAAAATGTTGTCCATGCTGGAGTCAGAGAAAAGGGCTAAATAGAGTGTTCTGGAGCTCTTCTGCTGGAGTATCGCCCACTCGCTGAAGTTTGAAGATGCAAAAGAAGCTGGAGCTGGAGAAAGAGCTGCGTTATCAGCGAAATCAAACAAGAGCCGGCTTATGTAAGCCGTTTATGTAATAGATCACGTGGTTGAATGCGAACAGCAATTGCAACAGCGAACAGACGAACGGTGTTCGGCGCTTAGCGTTCGCTTATTTCTGATTTCAAATTAGCTGAAGATTTTTGTGGAAGAGGTCAAGAAGAAGCTAGAGATAGCAGGAAATGGTCAAACAACGAGGAGGACGAGGACAAGGACGAGGACAAGGACGAGGACGAGGACGAGGACGAGGTTCCTTTAGAGGAGGCTCCTTCAGAGGACGCAAGAAGCTGGGCAGAGGAAGACAGCACACCAATGGTGGTTTTGGCAGAAGCACTAGCAGCTTTGCTGAGTTGGACGACTTTGATCCCCAGATGAGCAGCGTATTTCCCACGATGAACAACCCCATTACATTTGCTGCTCCTACTTCTTTGATGCAAGAGGCAATAAACACAAGAAAGAGATACAGTCGATACAACAGCGAGTCGAATCATCCTAAAAACTACAGATCAAGGCCAATTGAGTTTATCAAAAGCGTTGAAGTTTACAATCCCTCGGATTTGACTAAAAATTTGGAAACATTGAAACAAAATAAAATAGAAATTGTGACTGGCGACATAAGTAACAATAAGATGGATATAGACACCATTGATATTATACTCAATACCAATATTGACAATTGTATTGATAATCATGTCGATAATGAACCAGAAGAATTGCCTGATATCCAGTTTGAATCCAAGTCTTACTACTTAGAAAGCCAAAGCCAACATCAAAATCAAATCATTGATATAGAAACTGATAAAACAGTGACAGAAAAAACAAATTCATTACATATTTCTGAAGCTACTCAACTCACCCAAGTTACTCAAATTAATCAAGTAACCCAAGTTACTCGTATTGATCAAAATTTCGAACAACAAGATGCTTTTATTAACGGCAAAGCCATTCATAAAGTAGATAATAGAGTAAATGATAAAGCTAAAAAAACTGAAACCAAAGAAAACAAAATATTGATTGATTCCTCATTATCAATGGTTCCTGATGAAAGCTTGTTTTTTGTTGATAACACAGGTGATGAAGTATTAATAATAAACGAAATTAATAAAGTTGATGATAATGAAAATTTAATTAATATTGATGACAATATACCCACTAACAGTATCCAACAAAATATTAAACAGACTAATAACAAGCCTATTATTAAACCAAAATTTTCAAATATTGAATTCAATTCAGAACTAAAAATTGGAAAAGTTTTGATGAAAATTGATAATAATATTAGCAATAATAACGGTATTAATTCATATGAAGTCTCTTTGCCAAAAATTAAAACTAAAAATAAAAGTAAAAGGCATAAAAATAAAATATCATTTGATTTTAATATACTTGATAATTTTAGTGAAGATGATATAAATGATGAATCGGAACTAGAAAACCAAATTTATGACGATTATATAAATAATATTAACTCAAATAACATGACTCGTGAAATTAATGGTTCTAATAATGTTCGCAAACAAATTTTAGCTTTATCAATTGGCGATCCAAATGATAAAATCAATTTAAAAATGACTGAAACCGATAATAGTATTGATATTGAGAATGATCCAGAATTTGGATTTTTACCTGAAGATTATACTGCTTTTGATTTTACAAATTTGGAAATTACAAACATTCGTTTTGGTTCTGACCTAGATCAATATTATATACAAACCTTTCCTCTAAATGGTGTTGAGGGATTCTATTGGTATCCAACACATCTTCTAGAAGAACTTTTGATAGAAAAGGGATTACCGTCTCATAGAGTCAATGCTTATTTTAGATATGTTAAAGAAAGTCTTTTTCCACCTGAAGAACTTGGTAATGGTATGGATGATGACGAGAAAAATTTTCAAGTTGGATTTTATAGTGATAAAGAGAATGAAAATGAAAATGAAAACGAAAATAAAAACGAAAATGACTATGGCAATGCTTATGATAATCTTGATGATGATGTATATCCAGATGATACTGATGATGAAGGGGGATTAGCAGAAATGATTAGATTTAGTAAAAATCAAAACTTCAAAAATTTGGATATTGATGTAAATACAAATTTTTCTCTAAGAACTAAGGGTAAAGGCAAAAAGAAAACTTTGGATTTGGATCATATCACAAATGAAACTCAGAAGGAAGAGTTATTAAAACAGTACTTTGCAAGAAAAAGAAGCAAAATAGAAAAAAAAAAAGAGAAAGAGCTAGAAAAACAAAAAAACCAGGAGAATTACGACCCATTGAAGAAAGAAAAATATCTTTGGCACATAAAAGAAATACGAGATGAATTTGAAAAATTCCTTGCAGGGAATAAAGCGACTTTGTCTTTTCCTCCTTTTGATCCTCATGGTTTGAAAGTTGTGATAAAGATAGCCGAATGCTATAATTTGAAATCTCGCAAAGTCGGAAGAGGACTTGAGACTCATGTTTGTGTACAAAAATCAAAACTGACCTACAGATACACCCCAGATTACAACAAAATTGGACAATTGCTCCACCAAAGAAGAGCATTTAACAGAATAGACGGAGCAGGAAAGGCAAAGGAAAGACTAGAGAGAGAGAAAAAACCCAAACCTGGGTTTGTCTATAAAAATGGTGAAGTTGTTGGTGAAAATGCACCAGCAATCGGCGATGCCAATATTGGCAAACAGTTACTTCTCAAACTAGGCTGGAGTGAAGGAGAAGGTTTGGGCGTGATAGGCAACAAGGGGATATTCGAGCCAATCCAGGCGACCTTCAAGAAGAACAAGATTGGAATCCAGTGAGCCTGAGCCATTTCATTCTCTTCTATTAGATCGCTATTATCTCCTTATCTGGACCTTAGGGCTGGAGTAGGGCTCCAACTGGAGGTTTGGAAAATAAACACCACTTTTTTCAAAACTGTAGAGACTTGTAGAGACTTGAAGAGACTGCTACAGTTGAGCAACTGCACCTCGCCCCGAAACCTCCCACCATGAGCAGCCAGAGCAGCAGCAGTAGCGGCAGCAGCGGCAGTGGAAGCAGCAAGACCAACAAGACCGACAAGAAGGCTGCAACAGACAATAACCCATTCAATCTTGAGTCGTACATTGGACGCTATCCTGATTCACAGCTCACTGATCCTGAGGAGTCTGAATCGTTCAACTATCTTTCTGATACCAACGACCAAACGTCTGCTGTGGACACATATTTGGCTAGCAAGAACAGTGCTTCTGCTTTGAACCACGAGTCTTTTGTGGACTATGGTGCACAGGTCCTCGATCGATGGGCAGACGAGGATCATCTTCATCAGCATTTCAACGAGAACAATATTGATAACCAGATTGATAACACCATCATTACAGGCTCAAGATCTTACAGTGATTCAAATCATTCTGCTGATTTATTGCAAAACTCATCTGTTTCAGACGAAACCCAAAAAAATACCATCAGAAACTCCATGATCTCGTCTGTCTCGAAACACATCACAAACAATAGTAGTATGAAACTGAACAGATCAAAGCAAAACACTTCGAACTCCAATGTGATATTAAACCAATCAAACATTTCTCTTTCTAATATTTCTGGCCACTCCACCCCAATATTCAGCCTGAAAGAAGATCCAACACTCAAAATAAATAGAAATACTAACAATACCAAAATCCGGTCTACGATGGGCAATCAAGATACCAATATCAATGATGACACCAATAACAACAACATAAACTACAATTCAAATGATACCAGAAATACCTATAAAAGCAACAACAACAACAATAATATTCCAGAGAAAAACATTAATCAACTACCATCCGTTGAATCTGAAGAATTTATAACCCCTTACAATCAAAAATCATATAAACAATTCAGCAATCCCTCCACAATTCCAACCCCAGCTATCCCTCTTCATCAATCTCAATCCCAATCAAAATATGAATTGAATTCATATCCTAATCATCAACAGAGCATTGATATAAATTCCTTGATAGCCAATGGGTTTTTAACTGGCTCTAATAATGAAAATGAAAACAGTGGTCATAAAAATAGTACAAATAATATGATTGACAAAGAAATATTAAAAAACATTGTCAGTGAGGTGTCAGATCAATTATTGAAAAATTTTAAAAATATTCTTAACGAGAAAAACATCAATTCTGAGTTTAATCAACAATCTGAAGAACTCAAACTTACCAACATAAACCAAAACAAAAATCCCAGATTATTCAACAATTACAACCATTTTAACTCAACTACCAACCATGATGCACCGGGCTCTGCAACCTATATTAAGCGGCTACAAGAAGCTGAAGCCAATGAAAGATACAAATTTAGCAATGATCATTCAAGTGATCATTCTGATCCACCTTCTCCTTCACCGGCGCCGTCAAGAGAATTATTAAAAGAAACCACTGGGGATAAAAACTTGGACAATCATTCCTCATCTAAAATATACAATAATAAAAGCACTATACACTCGGATTTTAATATAACTCACTCTCCTAAAAAGAAACAAATCAACCCAAATCAACTCAAATCAGATTTCCCTTTTGATACAGTTGAAAGTTTTAAAAGCAGTACACCATACCTGAATAACACAAACTCTCATTCCTCATCAAATCATTTTAGATCTACTTCAGAACCTGCCATAAAACCATCCAATAAAAATCAAAAAATACACTCTTCTAACGAAAAAAACCTTCCCTATAATCGTGAAAAAGAAATCTTAAATTATATAGAAAATGAAAGATTGTTAAAAAAAAATATAGAATCATTACAAAATGCTCTTTTTGAAAAAGAAGAAAAATACAAGACTTTGTTGGAAATCAAACAGATAGAGATTGATTCTTTAAAATTGGAAAATTCTGGTTTAAAAGAAAAATTAAAGCTGAAAACCAGTTTTTCAGAATCAAACAATGCTCAAAATCTCGAAAAGGAAAAACTCTCTTTAAAACTTAAACCTTCACAGCAGAAAGATGTTAATAATAAAGCGGGAATTCTGAAAAATTCAAATGAGTCCAAAAAAGTTTCTATAACTGCAAAGAAATCTCTGCAAACGCTGCAAAAAATAATCTCAAACAGAATCATATCCAAGTTTGATTCTTTTCTTGAGTTTTCTAAAATTGAAAAGTTAAATGAACTGCAATCAAAAGATGTTATAAAAAAAGTTTGTCTGTTAATGAAAGTCCCTTTTTCATCCCTATTTCAAGCTATAAGAGGATCCTTGGAAATTTGTGAAAATGAATCAATATTATTAAAATTTGTCAAAAATGTTCATACCATGCTTTACTTTGGCAAAAAAATGCATGTACCCTCGTTGCTTTCATCTATTCCTGTAACTGTTGAAGAAAATTCAACAAAAACCACAGTTTCCCGTAAAAAACAATTAACATTAAATCAAACAATTAAAAAAATTAATAATGAAAAAAACGCATTCAAAGAATGTTTAGAAGGAATGAAAGAAAAGGTAAGCATTTTGGTAACACTTGCAAACTACCATCTTGAATTAGCCAGTCAATCCAAAGACGAATCAAATCAAAAGCAAAAAGCAATGGTAGAAGAACTCAAAAAAGAATTTGATATTATTTCTAATTGGCCCGTGAAACAGTAAATAAAATTTTCTAAAACATTGGTATTAAATTAACTAATTGTGGAAAAAATATAAACTGATTGGAGGGTATAAATAATAAAACATGAATGAAAATACATTTTATGAAACACTTACAACTGATGTTCCATCTTGAAATCTAGTTTTGAAGACTCTGTTGGCATTATTAAACATTCCTTCTTTCAATGAAACAATGATAAATTGAGAACCTTTAAACCGCGTTTTTATGATATGTCCAATATTCTGTGTGTGTTGCAAATCCAAAGCAGCATCCACTTCATCTAGAATATACATTGGGGCTGGTTTGAATTGTAGCAACGCCAAAATTAAAGATAAAGCAATCAACGACCTCTGTCCTCCTGATAATTCAATCAAACTTTCTTTCCAAACTTTTCCTAGCATAACTTTCACTTCTAAACCAGCAGTTATATCTCTACCCTCTAACCTTACTAATTTAGCAAAGGATCCAGGTAATAAATCTCCAAATATCTGGCCAAAGTCTTCAGAAACTTTGATCCAAGTTTTTTCTAATGTTTCTTTTTTGTGTTTGTCGAGTGTGTTGACAGTTTCTTCTATTTTTTTCTTATCCTTCTTAATAGTTTTCATCATTGATTTCAAAGAATTTTCTTTTTTTTCCACGTTGTCTATCATACTCATAATGTTGGGATTTACCTTTCTTCTCATTTCTTGGAATGATGATGAAAGATGCGTAACACGTTTTCTACAATCTTCAAAATTGATGTTTGGGTGGCTTGATTTAATTTGATTTACCATTTTTTCATCAATGACCCATTCATTTTTTTCAACAATTTCATCAACACGTTTTTTCATTGTAGTTGTTGTCTGCTCAACCTTTTCAAGTTCATGAGCTAACTTTTGATTTTCTAATTTCTTCGAATTCAAAGTTTTAGTTTTTATGCTCAATACTTTTTCAAGATCTTTTATTTCATCGTTTATTCCTAACATCTTTGATCTTTCATTTTCTAATTTTGTATGAACTTTTTCGGTTTTCTCCTTTACAAAGTTTAACTCATTTTCAGTTTCGTTTCTTTCAGAATTTGTATCTTTAATTGTGGAGTCAATATCTGATATTTGGGATTCTAAAGATTGCAAATCGCTTGTTAATTGTTCAGTCTCAATTTGTAAATTTTGGTAATTTTCAAATTTTGAACTTAAATCGGAAGACATTTTGGGAATTTTACTTTTCAATTCTTTAATTTCATTTTGCAATTCTTTTAATTTTGAACCTTTATCATTAGAAAACTCTTTCATATCAATCTCGATTTTATTAACTTCTTGTTTTAATTTGTTTTTCTCTAGTTTTTTTTCTTCAATTTGATTTTGTATTTCAACAATATCCCTTTCACTTTGCTCTACTTTTCGTAACAACTGAGAAGATGGATTTGATTCCAAATTATTTTCAGCCAATTTTAACTGATGTTCTTTTAGTGCAAGATCCTTTTGTAATGTTTTGGTTTGACTACTTATTTTGTATTCATTTTGCAATTGAAATTGCATTACTGATAGATTTTTTTTAAGTGTATTTAGTTCAGCACTTAGATGATTATATTTTTGAATGTTAACCAAAACAGAACCAGTATTTCTTCTACTACCTCCTGATAGTGTACCATGAGGGTCATAAACGTCCCCTTGTAACGTTATACTTCTAGTTTTGATTTGAGGATGAAATGTTACTTGTTTAGCGGTATCAGCATCCTGACAGATCAAATTAGTTCCAAAAATAAATTCCATTGCTTTTGCTATTTCTGAATCATATCCAATTAAATTTAAAGCTAGTTCAACTTTATTTGGACATAGCTCTTTTGCTAATTGAAGCGTTCTTTCGTTTAAAGTTCTAGCAGCAATTTTGTTCAAAGGGATTATTGTTACTCTTTTTCTTAATTGTCCTTTTTCTAATAGTAAAGAACCAGTGACTTCATTATCAACAACGACATTATATAATCTTCCGCCCGCACATACTTCTAGTGCAGTAGCAGACAAAAAATCGTTTTCATTTAAAGTGAATAACCTTGCCGCAACACCTTTTATTGAACTTGGATCAAAATTTGGAGTTGGTTTAGAGTAAGAGAATTCTATATATGATATTCTTCTTTTGAGTAACTCTGCTTCGTTATTTAGTTGATTGATTTGTTTTTGTAATTCATTTTCTTGTGATTTTAAATCACGCAATTTATCTGGTTGAAAACCCAATTCATTTAAATGATTTAATAAATTAGTTCTCTCTTGATTTAATGAATTAATTTCATTTAAAAACTCTGCGTGTTTTTTTTGGGCTTGAATTAGTTTTGGTTTACTTGTGGTAATTAAATCATTCAAATTTCTAATTTTGAGATTAAATTGTTGAATTTGAACATCAATGTCGGATAAATCCTGTTTAGCCTTGTGTAGCTGACCAGTATAACCACCGTTAATGTTACCCTTGGAAGAAACACCAGTTTGCAAAGTGGATAATAAGTCTTCCTTTTTAACCAAATTGTTTTTAAATAATTGGAGGTTTTCCTTAGCGTCATTGTATTTTTTTTGTAGATTTTCAAAAAATTTTGATTTTTCAGACAATTCTGATTTAAGATTCATTATTTGGTTTGATATATTGATTTTTTTATTTTTTTCTTCATTGATATTCTCGCTTTTTAAGGATAAAAGTGTGTTTAGTCTTGTTACTTCTTTTAATAATGAGTTTTCCTGAGTTTCTAGAGTTTGTATGGCATTATCCTTTTTCAATTCTAGGGTTTTTTTTTCTTTGGTTATTTTTAAATCCTCATTAAGATTTAAGATTTCTTGATTTAATTTTTCAATATTTTTCTCTAAATTTGATAAATAGTCCTTTTGTTCAGACAAATGATTTTGGTACTGCTGGTATTTTTGATTTAAATAATAATAGTCGTGAGCATTTAAAATTCTGTTCAACTTATCTAATTCAGTTTGAGTTTGTTGAAATTCTAAAAATATTCTCTTTTGATTTCGTAGTTTATCCAATTTTGGTTCAATAACTTCATTTAACAAGTTGGTGATTTCAGTTATTTTAGTTTCCTTTTTTGCCATTGTTTTCTCAGCTTTGATTCTTCTGTCTTCAAACATTTTGGTTCCTGCAGCTTCTTCAATTAATGATAAGATTTCTCTGGGTTTCATATTTAAAACTTTAGTGATTTTACCCTGCATAATCAAAAAGTTTGGGTTATTGATATTTAATTGAACCGACTGGAATAATTGCAAAACAGCCTGTTGCTGTGCTCGATGACCATTTATTAGATATTTCGAGGTTCCATTCAACATGATTTGTCTTGTAACGGAGATTTTCAAATTTGATTCAAAGCCAATTGGAGACGATTTCTTGTCAGAATTATTGAAGACTATTGTCACTGAGGCCTTGGTAACGCCTGCCTGACCTCTTTTGTAGATCAAGTCCTTCAAGTTGGAGGCCCTTACTGTTGACATTGAGGAAATCCCCAAAACAAAACAGATAGCATCTAGAATATTGGACTTTCCAGAACCATTCAAGCCAGTGATGGCATTGAACAAAGGGTCCCAACCAGATATAACAGTTCTGGAGGCATAGGACTTGAAGCCATCGATAATCAATTCCTCGACCTTCATTGCAACGTGCTGAGCTACCAATACGACACCAAGCTGTTCGAACTACAATAGAAATCAGCATCAATAAAAAAAGCCAAAACGACTCCAGAAAACAACCGAAAAGTAAACAAAGTCAGGTGCCAGAGAAAAAAAAATTCAAACTTTGACAGAGCAAAAGTGGAAATATAATTTGAAATCATTGTTTTGCAGACACTTGAAACCTTCTCCAACTGGTTGAATATTCAGTTACGAGTTAAAAGTAGCAGTGCTTTGTTTTGTTGGTGATTGAGCTGTTTCAGAACAAAGATCTTGTTTTTAAGCTGATTGGCGAGCAAATTAGGGCGAAAAGTGTCTAACGGGCAGATATTGTATGGGGAAATCACCCTTGCTTATATTATAACTGTGGTATATTTTTTATATTTTTAAATTTTTAAACTTTTTAGATTTTCAGGGTTTTGCATTTTTATTTTTCTGCATTTTATATTATATTTGTTTTTGTATTATTTCATTTGCTGAATTTTTCAAGAGAAAATGAAACAATGTTATTATGAGGTGTTGGGAGTTTCTCCAGATGCCACTGAATTAGATTTGAAAAAGGCCTACAGAAAGAAAGCATTGCTATATCATCCTGATAAAAATAGAGACAATATTGAGTCTGCGACTGAGCAGTTTACATTGATCAAGGCAGCATATGAGGTTCTATCAGATCCACAAGAGAGGGCGTTTTATGACTCGCACAAAAGTCAAATCTTACGAGATGATAATGACGAGATGGTGAACGAGGGAGACGATTACTATTACAGTGATAACTATGAAGATGCTGGAGTGAGTGTGAGCGATTTATTGAGATTTTTCGATCCGTCGTTATATGTTAGAAAGGACGACACACCAGCAGGATTGTATCAAATCGCAAGCAAAGTGTTTGCTAAATTGGCAGCAGAAGAGGTGTCAAGTGGGAAAAAGCAGAATCTTGAGAATTTTGAAAAGTATAAAGATGATTATTATTCATTGAGTGTTGATAGCAATAGTTATGATGATGAAAGTTTTTTGTTTCCTAGATTTGGTGATTCTAAGAGTGATTATTCCACCAGTATTCGAAATTTTTATTTCAAGTGGTCCAATTTCCAAACGGTGAAGACGTTTAATTGGAAGGAGAAGTATGCATATTCAGCAGCGATGGATAGAAGAACTAGACGAGCCACTATAAAGGAGAATAACAAGTTGAAAAACGAGGGTAAAAAGGAGTACAATGAAACAGTACGAGATTTTGTATCGTTTATTAAAAAGCGGGATCCACGGGTTAAGATTGGGATAAAGCAGTTTGAAAGAGAGAAGAGAAGACAAAAGTTGAATGATTTGCAAAAGCAGGTCGAAAAGGAGAAAATCAAGCAGAAAAAAGATGAGATAGAACAATTTAATTTACAGAATTGGCAGAAGTATGATATGGATGAATTCAATGAAATTGAGAGTCATTTTTCTGATAATTATTATAAAAGTAATAACAAGAAGGGAGTGTATGGAAAAAAAGAAGTATTAGTAGAGGTAGAAGAAGAAGAAAATGTTGATATTGATGATGATGATGATGAAGAGGAAGAGGAAATTATTGAGGAAAATATATTTGAATGTGTTATTTGTAATAAGTTTTTCAAAAGTGAAAAGCAGTTTCAAAGCCATGAAAAGAGTAAAAAACACAAGAAATTGTTGTCACAGTTAAAATGGCAAATGAAGAAGGAAGGATTAGAATTGGGATTTGATTCTGTTGGGGAAAATGTTTTTGTTAGTGGTGATAAAAATAATAAAGAGGAATCTTATAGCGGAAATGGTATTAATGAGGATAATAATGAGGGCAATAATGAGGGTAATAATGAGGGCAATAATGAAAATAATAATGAAAATAATAACGAAAATAATAATGGTGCATATGAATATGCATATGCATATGCGTCTAATGAAAATGAACTCAATTACAATGACAGTTTTGAGAACAAGAAGAATAAGAATTTCAGCAGTAAAGACTCATTATTTGAAACCGAGAAAGATACTGAAGTTGATGATATCATTGATACTGATTTGGAGAATGATATTGAAATAGAAAGAGAGATGCCCTCGATTTATAAAAGTAGTCGAAAATCTAAGAAAAAAAGCAAGCAGATGAAGAAAAACTTAAACAAGCTAAATTCCGAGTATAGCAAATACTCAGCAGAGAAGGATTTAGAGTTGGAGTTGGAGTTGGAGTTGGAGTTGGGATCGATAAATTCTGATTTAACCGAGCTTTCGTCGATTCTTAACAGCAAATTATCGCTAAATGGCAAGACTAACAGTGAAGAAGATACCGAAGACGACTGGTCAAGAAAGGGCAAGAAAGGGAAGAAAAAGGTTCGGAGAAGCAAGAGAACACAGGCCGCACCGGCGGGTGGTGGTGCTGCTGTTGGTACTGCTGCTGCTGCTACTGATGGTGCAGTTGGCAGCACAAACCACAGCAGTTCTGGGACAATGTACCAGAAATGCGCAACCTGTCACGAAAAGTTCTCGTCGAGAAACAAGCTCTTCCAGCACGTCAAGTCGTCGGGACACGCAGCAAGAAAGACCAAATAGCTGGAAGACAGAGGAGCTGTGGTTCCGGTGCAGCACAGAAAGCAGAGCGCGCGTGACACGCACGTGCGGCACTCAAAGTAGCCATCGTGGCGGTGTTTGTGGCTGCGCACAGGGTGGTTTTTCGGGGACGGCTCTGATTTGCTGCGGCGGCGACGCGGTCATTGGTCGGCAGCCCGTGCGCGTTTTCCTCTTCCGTCTGCAAATCTCGCCAACTCTATCAGTGTTGCACAATTATTATTCCCGGCTTTCTTCAGCTGGGCATTTGAAGCGCACTCATTTCTGGTTCTGCTTTTACCCAAATATACTTCCAAGAGCCTGCTTTTCTGCTCTTTCTCACTGGAGGCCTGTTTTGTTTCAATGAGCTATCGCTTCTGATCTCTGGCTGATTCCTTTGTCGTTTCAATATTCTGTCCTTGTTCTCCTTCACTTCAGCTCACCCTACTGTTTTTCTGTTTCCTCTTTTATTTGTAATTTATATTCAACTGTACCTAACCATATTCAGCTTCCGATCACTGTTTAATCCAAATGAACTCGTACGAGCCCAGAGAAGAAAGCGTTGCCATTATCGGTGCAGGTTTGGTTGGCTGTTTAGCTGCTTTGAATTTTGCGAAACTTGGTTACTATGTTACACTATTCGAATTGCGAGATGATCCACGTCTAAGAGATACCACTGACAAAAACTTGAGATCAATCAACTTGGCTGTCTCCGAACGTGGCATCAAATCTCTAAACTATGTCGACTTGGAAATGTCCCTAAGAGTTCTATCCAAAATTGTCCCAATGAGAGCAAGAATGGTCCACGATCTTGAAGGCAACCAAAAATCCATACCCTATGGTTTGCATGGCGAAACCATTAACTCGATCGACAGAGGTTTCCTAAACGTCGAACTACTCAATGAAATCGACATGAACAACAACATCCAGATCCTATTTGGTTTGAAACTCGTCAAATTGGATTTCAACAAGAAAAATAATGACAACCCTATCGTTTATTTCCAATCAAACAAAAAGAAAGACGACGACATATCCAACCCTATCCAGTCCTATGAATTCGATTTCGTTGTAGGCGCTGATGGCGCCTACAGCCAGACTAGATTCCAGCTACAAAAATTCATCAGAATGAACTTTGAACAAGAATACATTGACACTGCTTATATAGAGTTGGTTATTCCTCCAGGAAAGAAAAACTCATACCAACTAGATCCACAACACTTGCACATCTGGCCCAGAGAAAATTTCATGTTAATGGCAATGCCCAACCACGATGGCTCCTTCACCTCCACCTTTTTCGGTCCCTGGGACCTATTAAAAAATCTAAATAACGACGAAAAGGTCCTTGGTTTTTTTCAAACAAACTTTCCTGACTCAATCAATCTAATTGGCCTCCAAAAACTACTATACGCCTTTAAATACCACCCAAAGGGCGCACTAGTTTGCACCTTTTGCGATCCTTACAACTACAAAGGAAAATGTATCATAATCGGCGATGCTGCCCATTCAATGGTTCCATTCTACGGTCAGGGAATGAACTGTGGTTTCGAGGACGTCAGGGTCTTGACTGATCTATTGAAAAAACACAACTTCACCACTGAATTGGCCTTCCAAGAATACAGCGAAACAAGAAACAAAGACCTAATCGCCATCATCAACCTCGCAAAGGAAAACTACAAAGAAATGTCCCAAAGAGTCAACACACAACAGTTCCAAATTAGAAAAACCATCGACAACCTCCTCTACAGAATACTAGGCGACAAATGGTTGCCCTTGTACACCATGGTCTCCTTCAGAAACGACATCCCCTACTCTGAAGCTATTCGAAGAGGCAGAAAACAGTACAATATCATCACTGGTATACAAATTGGCGTCGCCACTGTTGGCATTCTCGCTGGTTATAAATACTCTCGTTCTCTATTCTCTTCCTTCACAAACATGATAATAAAAAGCTTGAAATAGCACCAGCGCTAACCAGTAGCCAGTAACCAGTAATCACTAACCACTAACTAGTAATACCTACCACAAACCCTTCTCTATCTATATATATATTCCCCCTGTGTATATCTCCCCCATATCTTTATCAACTTCGAGATACTGCTCATCTCATCGCCTTCGACTGCCTCTCTTTTCGTGGTCGAAACTTTTTTACTTCATAAGGAAGGTCCCGCTCTCGTTTTTATCTCTTCATTTCCTCTTTCCAATCACAAAAAAACGCACCCACTTTCTCTATCATCTATATAAAGCAAGATGGGTCTCCCCTAACCTCTCCCTTTCCATCCACAACTCCTTAGTTGCTCTATATTTGCTTCAGCACGACAACATGTCTTCCACCATCACTACTACTCAACAAGATTCCTCAAAGTTGCTCTTGCAAAATCAGTCTTCAAAGCAACAAATTGTTTTCGGCCAGGCTGATTTGCCTCCATATCTTCATGAAAGACCAACTTTCACTGACCCATATCAAGAAAGAAAACACCTCTTGGAACACACTGCTGCTGCCTTCAGGTTCTTCGAAAGGCATGGTTATAACGAAGGTGTCTCGGGTCATATCTCCGTTAGAGACCCGGTGGATCCATCAACTTTTTGGATTAACCCATTGGGAAAACACTTTGCTATGATGAAGGCATCTGATATGGTTCAAGTTGATGAAGATGGAAACGTTATTGGCGGAAACAAACACGTAGTCAATGCCGCTGGTTTTAAAATTCACTCTGTTATTCACAAGGCCAGACCTGACGTTAACGCTGCTTGTCATGCTCATAGTATCTATGGTAAGGCCTATAGCTGTTTTGGTAAACCTTTACAAATGCTAAGTCAAGATTCCTGTCTTTTTTATAATGCCCATGGTGTTTATAAAGACTTTGGTGGAGTTGTCCTCGAACAAAAAGAAAGCAACCAAATCGCTCAGGCTTTAGGCAATGGAAAGGCCGTAATCTTGCAAAATCATGGTAATTTAACTACTGGTTCCACCGTCGATGAAGCTGCTATTCTCTTCTTTATAATGGAAAGAACTTCTCAAGCTCAACTATTAGCTGATTCCTGCACAAACAATACAAAAAGACCAATTTCAGATAAGGCCGCTAAATTCACCTTTGATGCTTTAGCTGATTCGGATTCATTATACTCTGAATTTCAACCTGAATATGACTATGAGGTCTATAGAAATGACGACTTCTTATTCAAAGATAACTTTCCTTTTGGTCCTGATTCTCAAAATTAATTGATCAACTATAATATGTCGTGACCATATTAATTCTAATCTGAAGTTAATAAAATTGGTCATTAAGAGAGTCAAAATATCAACCAGACAGAGAGAAAAAAAAAATAATTACCCAAAAAAAAACAGAAATATCAGACAAAAAAAAAAAAAAAGTATAAATGGTATTTCAAAACTTGACTATATTCCAATGAACTTTACGTTTATTAAAAAAATGATGATGATTATATTCTATTAAACTATCCTAAGTGGCGAAATTGTGGCTATTCCTTTTTTTTTTTTTAATTATATTTTATATATTTTTCTAATAAATTAATAAAATAAAATTAATTACTTAAAAATATATCTAAATTTCATATCGTTTAATATTTTCACTTTTAAATTTATTAGAATTACATAAATTGTTTATCAAGACAAATAATGTCCAATTGCATTAAGTCATGTACTTTTAGTTCATCTAGTAATTTCTAATCACTTCTGCTCCCTCACTAAAATATCAGAACGCATTTGACTAGTTTATTTTACTTGGTAATGGTTATTGATGTGCAGCCTTTTGTTGGTTTTTTTTTTCTAATCCTATCCAATAGCAATCAAGTGCAAGTGCAGATTGATAAATATTAGATTTTTCCGGTTATTGTTAATCACAAATACTAAAAAATGAAATGAAATGAAATGAAATGAAATGGGATAAAGAAAGAGAAAAAAAAATAAACGAAATAGTTTAATACAATTGAACAATTTACGAATTCTTATACAAAAATTTATTTGGACAAAAATTTATTTTGTTTAATTGGATTCATTATTGAAATTGGATTTTAAATTTGAACACGTTTTTTGATAATGATTTATCTTAGCAATTTGTAAATAAAATAGAATAAAATAGAATAAAATAGAATAAATTAAATTAAATTAAATTAAATTAAGATGAAATTATATTTTACTTTAATTCAATTCAATCCGATTTAATCCAATTCAATTTAGCTTTAGTATGGAAGTATCCTTTTTATTCTAACATTTAACAAATAAATTTTATCAATAAAATGTGGCATTTTTAAGAGTTTAAAATAAAAAAAAGAGAAAGAAAAGGTAATCAATTTGAAAGAAAAAAAAATTAATGCTTTTTGTTTTTTGATTTTTGATTTTGTTCTTATTAATATTCTTATTGATTTTATTGTTATTGTTACTATTCTCTTTTAGTTAGCAACTAGATCATTTTCAATGGCGAAATTGTTAAGAAAACTCTGAGAATTTCTTTAGTTTTATATAAAATCATAAAAAACTATTAAACTGGATAGATTGGCAAAACCAAATGAAATTGATGAATTTATCCATATTGAAAATATTTTTAAAGATATTAGTGATATTTTTGGAATCCAAATTATGTTGGTTTATGTTTGATTTATTTTAATGTGTAAAGACATAAACCGTTGGAAATAATAATAAAAAATTTAGTTGTTGATGCAAGTTACAAATTAGGAGAAAACCGACATTTACATAAAATCCGAGAAGCACTTTAAAAGCGTTTAAAAACCCACCAGATCGTAAGATTAGATTCTTAAAACTGTTGGAAATTAACGTAAATTCAAAAAATTGAGGTTTTTGGTATAAGCAATTATCGCCTATTGCTCGGAGTTTCAATGTTAAGTAAAAAAAATTTGTCTAAAAGCAACGGTCAGGAAATTGACACAAGATTCAAATGCAATAACATATCATTTCCATTCGCAGATGTTAAACAGTTGGACATTTTGAGTGATTAGAACAACGATGTGTAGCTTCAATAGGAAGGCTCGTGCAACAGAAATGCTCAAGAGTCAAGTGGTGCCGTGAACAGAAGAACTAAGAAATGGCACATTTCTGGAATTTGGTATTGAGTGGCACTTTATATGAGGTTATAACAGACTATCAAAAAAGCAGCCGGCGGAGATGGTATAATAGGCAGGCTCAACTGCAACAAATGGCTATCTTCCATATTTTATATCAAGCAGATGTCTCAGACTCCCGGTTCATAGATAAAGCAGCTGAAATGGTTGCCAACAGAAGCTGCTCGTCGGAAATAAATGCTCAATGAGCTGGAGTTGGTGAAACCTCAAAGGTGTAGGCTGTTATATGTTCACCAGAACGGGTCTAATCAGGATAGGAATTTGATAGTTGCGTGTTTCTGCAAAGACGTGCAGGTATGCCTATGCAGCGAAAGTGAAATGCAGAAAGGGGACACAAAGAGGAAATGCTGGTAACGTGTTTGGAGGGGCTGGAGACTGCTTTGTCTGTTGTTTGTGTGGGTGTTTGGGAGCCAGTTTTTTGGCGATGGTACTGCTTCTTCTTCTTCTGCGATACATCGAATTAGCATATTTGCGTGTGTTGTTTTAGTTTTTGACATGTCTGAAAATTGTAAAATAATTATTTCAGGGTTTGAAAAATCTGAGACTAACTAGCTTAATGAGTTCAATCTAAACACATAAAACAGTGATAAGTACAAATATCCGTTACAAAAAGGCAGATGAACATACAGGAAAATGTGTGATTGGCAGATCAATCAAAATGGTCAACTAACTATTGCCCTTGGTGCTTAGTAATAGCTTGGCCATAATTCATCAGAACTCTGTAATTGAATTGTTTACTTTTTTATTCTGTTTTACTTATTTGCTTATGGTTTTTGAAATTATAAAATTTGAAGTTACTTTTGGAGAAAACATTTTATTTTGGTTTCAATTTTCATTTCTGATCTTTCAAACACATCATTTCCACTCAACATAGATTTAATTTGAATCTTAAGCGAGTAATTTAAAACTTAAACCGAAGGCTAAAGGAGATTAAAAGAAATCAAATTGTCAGAATATTCCATACTTTTATAATAAAACAGTTTAATAACTTTTTACAATTTTTAATAACTTGTTAAACAAATTGAATCAAAACAAATTTTAAATAAATTTATTTTCCGTTTAATGAATAACTTTTATGTAAATCAATCTTGAAAAGCCCAATGCAATTAATGCAATCAATGCAATAATAATCTAAATATTATCAAATAAAAATATATTGGAAAAGGAACTCAAAATGGAAATAGCCTAATAACACACTTTTAATACTAGATTACTGTTTTTTGAAAAATAACAAAACAAAATTTAGTCAACAAAAACAAAAACTCAAATGACGCTTTTTTCTCTCATTGATTTTCTTTCCTTTTTTTTTTTTTGTTTCTTAAGGCATTACTAGAATTTTGTAACAAATCACTGCTTGTATTGGTTTTTTTACATTACTTTTGTTATTTTCAAGTTGTATATTGGCAATTTTCATATGGGTAAGATAAATTTAGATTATAATGACAAATAATCTTTGTTTTTAGTTCTCATACAAGCGTCAATGCAATTCTTTTATACTGAAGTTTTAAAGATCAGTAAGAAGTGATCAATTATAATAAACAAAGAGCAAGGAAGGGAGGAAGAAACAGAACAAATAATCAGTGAGTGGTGATTGGTGATTGGAACAAGTTAACACCAACCATAATAATCTCTATAAGGAAGATCTTTTCCCAATTAAAAGGTATGGTTGGACGCAATGTTTGTAGCTGTTATCCGCTCGTAAAATTTGCATAAACAAACATATAATTGCATATTTAAAGCCATATCTTTACGCGTATCAACGCATGCCAGAAAAACCGTTGAAAGTTTTGCATAATTGTGCCGCTTCAGTTTATCAGATTTTTGTTTCTTTAGAACAAGACGCAAAAATAAATAATAAATTAAATAATTAAGAAAGAAAATTGTTTAATAAATTTTAATTCAATATAATGAGTTAGGAAGTTGCATGTATAAAAAAGAAATCTACTAAAAACATTCTTTTATTCTTTTTCATTGAATCAAATTACTAGTCTGAATCGAGACTCTTTCTTACAGAGTTTTAGTCTTTTTTAACTCTTTTTCTTTCTTTCTTGAAATTTGATGTGTTTTGGTAAAATATTTTATTAATTTATATTAATAAGTTTATTATTATTATTGATTAAATTATTATATTATTATATTATTATATTATTATATTATTATATTATTATATTATTATATTATTATGTTATTATGTTATTATGTTATTATGTTATTTTAATTGCTTACTAAGATTAATTTACCAGAACTATTGAAATCTGTGGGTGATTGAATTTATTTTTGAATTGATGGTAGACTCTTGTCAAAATTATAGTAAAGTAGTTTTTAATGAAAATAGGTAATAAATTGTGAAAATTGAGAATACATTCTTGAAATAAAATTTTGTTTTGTCTAAGACGATTATATCAATTTTAAATGTTAAAATTTATTTATTTACTTAATGGTGAACGGTTAATGGAAATTTTCTACTGATTCCCATAAAAAAAAGATTGGCAAACAACCTGATTTTTTGATTAAAGAATAATCATTAAAATCCAAACTAGGGACAATAAAAAAAAATGAAAATAACCAGAATATTAATTTGAAATAAATTATTTAAGTATTTAGGTAAGATATAGTTATTAGTTGGGAAAAATTAAAGTAAAATAGCCAATAAAATTGTTTGTATTATATAAAAAAACATATCAATATTCAATTATTATTGAATATTAATTGAATAATAATTGAATAAATTAAAAGAATTTTCTCAACTTGAAATTGATTTGAGATTTGTTTTACTCTTTTGTATTTTGTATTTTGTATTTTTTTTTTTAATTAGTTATCAAACGGCTGTTTTTTTTATATAGAATTTATTTTATTAATAGTTTATGGGTTTTGCCAGCCAATAAATTCTAAAATTGAAAGTTAATAAGATTTTCTAATAAATATTTGCAACTTTGTGACTCATGATTGATGCATAAGTTTTTTGTTAACATCGATTTGAAATCAAAGCTGGGTTTTTTAAGAAATAAACTGATTGTTGATTGTTGATTATCGATTGTTGATTATTGATTCTAGATTATGAATTATGGATTGTTAACTAAAGATTGGGAGTGGATTGAATTACCATTTTTGTTCTGTTGAAATAATTAGTGTACTTTGATAGTTTAGTTTGCTTTGATAACAGATTTCCTTTAGGCTCATGCTCTTTTTAACTGGGTTGGATAAGGAATTATCAATCTCAGCCTAAAATATTCAATCTATAACTTTTATTGAGTGCTGTGCTAAAAGCAAAATGAGTTGAACATGGCGACCGTTTTGAGGGAATGCATTGAAACATTTCCTTTGATGCCAAAGTAGTGTGGGCCTTTGGGGAGATTGAAACAGTGGTTGATGATTGTTAAGTTTTAACGAACTAGCGAATCATAGAAAATATCATGGGAGGAGTCCCAGCTGATTATATCGTTGTGGGAGAGGGTTGGATAGTGTTGGTCATTCTATATATAGCTTCCATTTAGCCATTTTCTCATCTTCTAACTAGCGATGGAGCTGCTAGCTCCAGAAGTGTGTAGAGGTCTCTAGACAGTGGGATCCTAGTGCGTTGTGGGTTTATCTGTAAGATCTCCAAACAACTGGTGAAGATAACAAGAGCAGCACAGGCTGTTTCAACATCTTTCGCAGAACCCATTTCAGACACCATATAGGACTCTCTGGATAAGGCATCTCAAACAGGTTAAGATAAAACTGTCTCTCCTGGAACACAGAGGCCTAGCAGTCAGACAACGAAACCTGTACTTTCAGAGGATGCAAAGTTGTGGTTTTCAAAGATTTTGTGAGCATAGGAAGGGTTTGTTAGGGCAATCCAGTCTACGTTTTATACAAGTAATAGATTTTACGCGTTGTGTCCAGATAAAGCTACAGTCTAGTAACGAATATGAGGCACAATAATCTATGTAGGAGCCAAAATACTAAAGCCAAAGCAGCTGATTACAACCCAACTTCATTTCAAACTGAAGTGGATGGTAACTTGCTGATTTACACACATGGTGAGGACAAATTTGTGAGATTATAGGCAATTCAGAAATAAGGTTTAGTAGATTAAGATTTAGAGTTTTGAAGTTAACCTAAAAGTCTAATTATTTTTTTTTGTCGTTGTAAAACAACCTTAAACATATTGTTTAACAATACAATTATATTAGCTATTGTAATGAGAATTTTGCATTATCCAATTTTCACGTTGCAAATAACAACTACATTATTCTTTCTGTTGTAGAAAACAGTATATAAGTCTACTTTTTTTCCTATTTACTTATCACCTTTCTCCTGTCCACTAGTCTCTCAACAGTTGAATATCCATCTGATCTTCAAACCATACCAGCACCACTGTACTATTATATACCACTGCATCTATTTCTCAATTGTTAATCGCTATTTGTTAATTTCCTAAATTTTTTCTCTGTTTCTACTTCTTCAAAATGTCTTTCAACACAAACCACTATCCTTATTCTTATGAGTCCTCAGGATCTCAAATGAAATTGGGATCTCCAATTCCTAGATCAATGTCACAAAGTTTCCAAAACCTCCAGACAATTAACAACTCAACAGCTCAATTTCAATACCAACATCAAAACCAACAGGTTCAACCACAATTTTTCCATCATCACTCTCACAATGTTCACACACACTCCCAATCCCAGTCCTTTTCTTCATCACAATCACAACAGACTCAACAACAACAACAGCAACAACCACACCAATTCCAAAAACCACAGCCAGTACAACTTCAATATCACCAAAACCAACAACCTCATTTGCAAATGCAACAGTTGCCCAACCATACAAATTTACAGCTTCAAAAGTTGGCCAACCCATCCCAATTACAATTGCCAAGTTTACATAACCCAACTCAATTCAATTACCACCAACGCTCTCAATCTGTCCAAAATTTACCATCTTTAACTATACCTTTGAATTCCCCTCCACCAACTCTTGCGAGTAATGGTTATTCAAAGCCTCACCACGAACCACAGGTTGTTGGTTATTCTATTTACGAAGCCTTGAATAATGATAGAAACATGATCTCTGATAAGATTACAAAGCCCAAAAAGGGTGGGTGTGTTTGTGCTTATTGCGATAAGAAAACCAAAACTTTTTTGGAATTGGCCATTCATAACGATTATGAACATAAAAATGTCTTTAGATATTTATGTACCTATGATGACTGTCCTTACAAATACTTTGGTTTTAAGGATAAGCAGGGCTTGGATAAACATATCAAAAATTTTCATAATTCTCCATTGTTTTGGTGCACTTGTTGCAACAGATCCTTTAAAAGAAAAGATTTATTAAAACGTCACTATTCTGGAAGGAAACATGAAGAACTTTATGATTCAGTGATTTTAAAAAAGAGTTCAATTGGTTACATTCTTAACTAATTCATCAAACAATAAATTGATTGATTAAATTAAATTAAATCAAATCAAATCAAATCAAATCAAATCAAATCAAATCAAATCAAATCAAATAAAATAAAATAAAATAAAATAAAATTAAAAAAAATAAAATAAAATAAAATAAAAACTGTTAACTATTGAATATTTATCATAGCATCTAAAGCATTTAAAGCATTAACTAAAATTCTTTTCCTGTGTAATTAAAAATTAAATTTTTTTTCTATCTAAAAACTCATTTTTTTTTATCCCTAGATTTTTTTTTTGCTTTTTTTTTAATTTTTTTTACTTTTTTTTTTTTGGAAAGTTAAAGATTTACTTTATATTATTTTGAGTTATATTTTATTAATTATTTTTGTTTTATTAATTTTTACCAAGTTTTATCAAGGTTTAGGTCATAGTTGTGTCCTTTGCTTTGTTTTACCTTTTTTTTATTACAATCTATACTATTATCATTAAACTTATTTTATCATCACTATTTTTGTTGTTGTTTTGTTGAGCTATTAGCATTTCCCCTTCAATTCTCTTTCGTGTTAGCTGGTAAGTAGTTGGCATTGTTTTTATTAATCTACTAGACTATTTGATTGTTGATATTAGAATTCCTTAAGAGCTTTATTCCTTTATGTACTATATAAAACTCAATATATTTTATTTATAACTAAAACTCTCACTCTCTCAAAAGTGTTTGAAAAGCAGCCCTATTTCGGTTTAATTCGCAACTTAGTGCTATATCCAATATATCCAATGAGGAACCAACAGAGGATAAATCATCCAACAAATCGAACAAGCCTAACAAAACAGCTCAGCATCACCAGCAGATAATGTCTAAGACTGTATCGCACTCTTGCTCTTGATCTTGGACCCACAATGCCTTATTGGCTCTCTGTTTCCTTCCACTTATCGACAACCTTCCTCTTATCTGCTGCTTTCGGGGAACCGTAACCAAACCCACTACAGATCACTCAAGATGCCTCTTGAGCATTCATCACAGTTACAATTTGGAACTGAATATATTTCCCAGATATCCCCTTAACTGTTTTTTCTGCTGCATCTACACTCTGTGATCAATCCTGAAATCAGTTTTGCGATTGCTTCAAATTGTTTTTGAGATTAGTTTTGAGGACTTGTGTTGGTTGTGCTTTTTCTTAAAACGAAAATTTTTATTAGTTTAGTTTAGTTTAGTTTGATTTGATTTGATTTGCTTTTACACTTCACTTTTTTCCAATGTCAGCATACACTTTGCCTCCAATTTCTTCTATCAGTGGGCTCTCAAACAACTCAAAAATTGAATTGCTAAATCATTTATTCGAGCCCTGTGAAGTTCTTCAGAAAATTTTACTAACCAACGTTCTTGGTAGCGAAAATGCCAAATTTTACTCAACGTATAAACAGTTTATTGAGGTTTCGAGAAAGGAATTATTAGAGTATTTAAAACTAGAAAAGAGTTCTCCCCAATATGATGAAAATATTTCTAAAATTATATCTGCTCATCCAAGATTAGGCGCTAATAAATCAAAGATTGGAAATTTATCCATTCATTCTCAAAAAGAACAACAAAGTTTATTACAAGCTTCAAGGGAGGAATCAGAAAAACTAAGTGACTTGAATAATTTGTACGAGTCGAAATTTCCTGGTTTGAGATATGTTGTGTTTGTTAATGGAAGATCTAGAGAAGTTATAATGGCAAATATGGTTGAGAGAATCCGTAGAAACAATATTGGATTAGAGAAAGTTGACTCAATTAATGTAAGTACAAATATCATTTGAAACCGTTAAAAACAAATATGAAACAACGAAACTTGTTGAACCAAGTACTAATTTTCATTTAAAACTAGGCAATGTGTGATATTGCTTTGGATAGAGCCAAAAAGTTAGGTGCAAAGCTATAAGTTGGGAGTTACAGGTTAGAAAAAAAATAAAAAAATAAAAAAATTAAAAATTATAAGATATATATTAAATGGATATAGGGTATAGAGAAATGATTAATTGAAGTTTGAATTAGAAATAATTTCCATTTTTTATTTAAAAAAATTGAATAAGGTGATATTTATATAATAATAAAACGAAGTATTGTTTTTTTTTTTTTTTAATTAGATTTCAAGTATGTAATGTAGAAAGTATAATTGATACTAGTTATGAGATTTGATTTTGAATTTGATTATTTGTTTTGAAAAGAAATAAAGGATTATTTTTGAAAGAGACAAAATTAAAAGTGAAGATTGTATAAAAAGGAGAAAAATTGGAGTATTGTGAATTGAGTGTGATTATATGTTTTTTTTTCTCTTTCAATTGATTGAGTTATAGTTTATATATATATAAATTATATATTTATATTTATATATATTAGAGAGAAAGAATTCAATATATATATATAGAAATAGAAGAGGAAGAGGAAGAGAAAAAGATTACAAAAAGTAATCTGGGGTCTTTCTTGTAACGGTTGGTTCACCAGGTCTTACGGATGGATCGTATTGTAGGAATTGTCTATTATGCTGTTCATCGACTTCCATAATGGCAGCTTGGTTACCACATCTATAGCAATAGTTGGGAGCCGAAAAGATGGTTACTACCGATTCTGAATGGGACCAAGAGTAACCTTCCATGACCAATTGGTGAGCTCTTGCAATGAGAGAGAGGTTGTTTGTGTGGTTGAACTGTTCAGAAATGTCTTGACCAAAGGTAAAACCAGCACCTCTTGGACTTATGCCCCAACCACTTCTGTCGTCAGGATCGGACCACAAGAGGTCGCACATAGGGCCTTCATGGGGAACTTCTTGGACTCTTTGTAGAGATTTGACCTGATCGATTGTTTCTAGCATTGGGGAGAGACCGCCATGGAGACAGAATATCCTGTTATCCACAAGAGCAGTGATGGGAAAGTAGTCAAAGAGGTCAGTGAAGAGTTTCCAGACGTCAGCGGAGCCATATTTTCGTAAGCATTCATCGTAGAAGCCGTAGACCTGTGTTATTTGTCTTGATTCGTGGTTGCCTCTTAGTATAGTGATTCTGTTGGGGTATCTGACTTTCATGGCGACTAGGAAGCTGACGGTTTCGACGGAGTAGTAGCCTCTATCGACGTAATCACCCATAAAAAGATAGTTTGTGTCAGGGCATGGGCCACCTATTTTGAAGAGTTCCATTAAGTCGTGGAATTGGCCATGGACGTCACCACAGATGGTTACGGGGACGTGGACTGGTTGAACGTTATCCTCGAATTGAAGGACATCAGCAGCCATTTTGCATAATTTAGCGACGTTGTCTTGGGAGAGAGGTTGGCAGTTTGATAGTTGGGAGATCCATTGGTCGAGTTGGTTGATGTTGGAGAAGGATAGTTCAGGTCTGGAGCCGGAGGGATGATGGAAAGTTTGGTTGAAGGAGTACTCGTTGTTTGAGGATACGTCTTGAGGATCGTCTTCATCTAGAGTTGGGTCCAAACGTTGGTCATTCTGGTCTTGCATTAGGATATCGCCATCCATGTCGATAGGTTCCATAATTTGTGAGGAAGAGAGAAGGTATTAGTTATTATTGAGGGAGGAAAGGGGAAAATTAGAATGAAATTAGAGTAAAATTAGTATAAAATTAGAGTAAAATTAGTGTTGATGCTGGTAACTGTGATATTAAATTAGAGATTTAATTGAATGAAAAAATCAAAGAAAAATCAGAAAAAACTAAAAAAAAGAGAGTTAGTAAATCAGTCTAATTTGATAATGATAATGACAATAATAATAAATATGATAATGAGTATGACAATGGGAAGAAGAGGAGAATGATGAATGAATTAGAAATAGAGTTCAAATAAGATTAATGAGTAATGGTTGATTTGATTTCAGTATCAATCTAGGGAAATGTGATTGGAGTGTTGAGTGAATGAGATTGTTGAGAAGTGGATTTACTGGGTGTGAGATTGAGGTATAGGGGAAACAACCAAGTGAATAAGTTGTATTTTCTATTGTATCAAGGTATTGAAATGGCAATTTGACTGCTTTTTTTGTTGATTTGATTAGATTTGATTAGATTTGATGTTGTTTTGGTATCTGTTGTTGATGGAAAAGGGACTTGCTTTGAGTTTGGAATATTTGGTATTTGGATGAAGATAGAATGAACTGGCGGAAGCTTGGATTGTTTGTTGACAAGTTTAATCAGGGCTGCTTGAGGAATGCCACAGTGGCTGTTGTTGAGCGAGAGACTGGAGAGAAGCGAGCGAATAGTGAAGGAGGATGGAGAAGAAAGACAGCCACTAAGCGCTGAAGAGTACGTACCGGAAGCAGAGGCAGCAGAGGCAGCAGAGGAAGCACAGGCAGCAGAAGCAGAAGAAGCACCACCCCAACAGCAAAAAGAGCCCGTTCTGCTGGTCTGTCCGCGCTGTCAGGTGACCGGGCTGGCTTTTGTTCTTGTGCTGCCGCTGCTTCTTCTGCTTCTGCTGCCTGTGCTTCCTCTGCTGCCTCTGCTTCTGCTTCTTCTGCACCAATGGCTGCTGCTGTCTCCCGAGAGGACGTTCTCAACTGCTCCTTCAGCTGCTGGCACGCGTTGTTCAGGCCCCACTCCATCCCAGCCTGGGTGCTCGTGTTGCCTCCCTCCTTCGTGGCCTATCTTCTCGCCGACGGTATCATCTTGCCCGAGGCCCACTACAACCACCAGCAGTACCACTCTGTCCACACCCAAGACTCTGAAGGCGACTCTGGCGACGACTCCAGTCCCTGGCTCTTCATTGCCGACGCTCCTGCTTCTGATGTCACTGCTCCCTTCAGCGACTTCCACGCACAGTTGTCCAATATTATGGCCCTCCATGCCCCTGTCTTCCCTAAGTTGAACTGGTCTGCCCCCAAAGACGCCAACTGGCTCCTCCCCGACGCCACCATCAAGTGCTACACCACCTCTGATGTCTACTTGCTACTCAAGTCCTCCGACCACATTCTCTTCGATCTCACCCAAATGCTCCCTCTAGCTGCTCAAGACGACCCAGATGCCCCCCATGACGAAAAGTTCGAACTTGTGCTCAAACAGTGGTTCAACATCAACCCATCCTTGGAGTTCAGGGTTTTTGTAAGGGATAACCACATTATCGCCATCTCACAAAAGGATCCAAACTACTATCTGTTTTTACATTCCATGTCTCACGCCATCACTTCCAAAATATCCTTCTTTTTTGATTCAACAATTAAAAACGTCTTTCCAAGCAAAAATTACGTTCTAGATTTATATCTACCTACTTCAAATAATAAAATTTACATCATCGATATCAACCCATTTTTCTCTCATACTGACTCGCTATTATTTACTTGGGATGAATTATTATCCTTGTCTTCATCCTCTTCAGCCTCATCTACGCAAGATTTTCCCTTTGAATTAAGATTGGTCGAAAAATTTAACACTTCCACCTTTTCCTCAAAAAAATACTCAGAAAGTCAACTACCAAAAGATGTATTAGACTCCTCAACTGATACTCAATCAATGGTTGATCTAATCAAAAATTGGCAATCTCTAATGGAAAATGATCAATCTTCGGATTCAGACTCAGATTCAAACTCAGATTCAAATTTAAATAATCAAAAGAAATAATATATATTAAAAAACTACACTTTTTTTTATGCCTCATAACTCGCTCGTTCCATGATACATCCGATTTTCTTCAATATTAGCCAACGATCGAATATGCTTGTCAATGTTATTGGGCCCCGGAAACTCCTCTTCTTCTCCCTTCAATCTTCCCTCTGTATAATAAAGTTTCGGTCTATACCCAGGTTCTTGATTCATAACACTTGAATTTCGAAATTTCTCAATCAACTTCTCTTTACCTTGAATATTAGCATACGAAATATCACATATCTTCTCGGAATTAAATCGGTTCCATTTATTTCCTGCTCTCGCTTTAGCAAACGTAATAATATGCTCAGCTTTTGTAAACGAAATAAACGCATATCCAACACTATTGTTTTTCATTTTTAAAAAAAAAAATTATCTTGTTAATATTCATAATTTCTCTTTTTTCCTTAATATTTAACTACAATTTCAATATTGGTATAAACAAACTTGCAATGATTCAAAAAATCAATTCTCAAATCTTTAATCCATATTCATTTCAAATGTTAGTAATCCATTTTCATTTCTATTTTCATTTCTATTTTCATTTCCATTTTCATTTTTCACATACAAAGAAAATCATAAGTATACTTATTAGTCACATCAATATATTGTTTCAACATCTCTTGGTCAACCTTATTTGGAATGTTCTTTATCATTAATGTCACCCTCTTATCAATTCCTCGAGCAATCTTATCAAGGTTAACAACATTCTTTCTAGGAACACTTCCAATCGTCATTTCAAAGCAATTTTCATCTTCTTTATTTCTCCCATTAATATAATTATTATAATTATTATTATAATTATTATTATTATTATTATTATTATTATTATAATTATTATTATTATTATTATTATTATTATAATTATTATTATTATTATAATTATTATTATTATTATAATTATTATTATTATTATAATTATTATTATTATTATAATTATTATTATTATTATAATTATTATTATTATTATTATGATCCTGATTCTGATTACAATCCTGATTATGATTATAATTACTACTATTAACATAATTATTCCCAAAAAAATTCACATTTCTCTTATTAAAATGCGCTGATGCCAATACCCTGGGTTTTTTGGTTGCAACATTAATCAATTCTGGCGAATACTCATTTTGAATTTGATTCATTTTATTCATTTTATACAAACTGTAATTCTTATTGTAACTTTCTTCTTTTATTTGCCTTCTCTTTTCACTAACAAATTCTATCAATGACTTTGAATCATTCGACAAATAAACTGTTGCGCTATCAATAACCGTCTCATTGATTTCACATATAGCATTTTGCGCTGATAAAACATTAAAAAAATTGCAAAAAAATAATATATTCGGGTTACAATTCAATTTCGTGAAAAATTTTAAATCCCCATAACTTAATAATTTTGTTCTAATTGAAAAATGCAACTTACTAGTCATTCCATTTAAAACTTGAATATAAACATTAGATTTACATTCATCAAGACATGTCAACGTTAATCCATTTTGCAAACTAATACTTTTCAAATCATACAAATATTCAACATTAATTAATCCTCCAGTTTTATTATAGTAATCTTGGTTAAAATTTTTAAATGCTGATTGAGAATGTCTAATATCAAACCACCCAACAATTATTTCAAAGTTGTTAATAGAACAATCAGAAAACTCAATCACTGCAACATTTCCATATTTTGAACATAAACAACGAAATAACTCAATGTTTGAATCAACTGGCACATTTCTAATTTTTAATACCCTACTAATCAAGGAATCGTTAATATTATCATTTTCCGAATTATAAAATGCTTTATGAACAAAAGTACAATTTTCCTTCTTAATATTTTGATTGGTAGCAGGAATCGGTAATGTTTTTGAGAATCTTCGAATTGTTGGTTGAGGATAATCAGTAAAAAGATTATTTAAATGTTTTGTTGTTGGCAATTTATTATAATGAGTATAAATGTTGTTGAAATTATTCTTATTTGAATTCAATAATTGATTTTTATTATTGCAGTTTTCATTTTTTTTAAAATCAAAACTAGTACTCAGTTTATTTAATTTATCGTTGATATCGGTTGTACTTGGTTGATGATTGTTTTTCATTGTTGCATTAAGATTTGACTTGCCATGATTTTCAAAGTCAAGAAAATTACTGGAAACACTAACATTATTGAAATTAATACCATTATTAAAATTTTTTAAATCATTGAAGTTAAAATCATTAAAATTTTTAAAGTCAAGAAGATTATCGGCATCATTATTATCAATCTCGTTGTTATTACTGATAAGATTATTTTTGATCTTCCAATTGTTAATGTTATTAATCTGATTACTGATAGCATTTGTAAAATTGATGGTATTATTATTACTATCATTGACACTCATATTATTATTATTTGCAATAATATTTTTATTGTTTATTTCATTGTCCATATTATTACTATAATTAATGATTTTATTATCAAGATTATTGGGAATTCCTTTGGAATCTCTTGAATTAATTTGATTAAAATCATTATTTATACCATTTTCATTTATATTGGTTATTGATTGATTGTGTTTAATTTTTGAATTTTCTTTTTTAAGATTGTGTTGGTAACTATTTTCATTTGGAGAATTATTCCAAATATTATTATTTGCAAAGGTTTTATTTAGATCTTTATTAATTGGCACTAAGTTATTAAAATAATTATTTTTAGATTGAACATCATTAGTGATTGGAACTTTATTTAAATTATTAAAGTCATTAATTTGACCAAAATTTAAATTTCCTTTTGGAATGTTGGAATTGAATAGTAAATTATTGGATTGAAATGTGTCTTTTAATTTTGAATTATGCAAGAAGTTTTGAGTAGCATAATTCTCTAAAATCGTTGGTTTAAATAATTCACGTAAATTTGAATTTGCATTTTCTTTATAATTATTTAAAGGATTTTGGTTTTCTAGATTTTCAATGGCAGGAGAAGAGTTGAAGCGATTTTCATTTAAATTAAATTGATTGCTTTTTTGAACTAAGCTGTTGTTCAAATTTAAGTTTAAATTTAAGTTTAAATTTGCTTGATCGATATTAAAGTCATTGAAGCTTGAGTTTTTTAAAGGGATTTTTTTTAATTTGTGGGGATTTAGATTATTATCATTTGTTTTTTTGGTTTCAAGAGAATCGATTGAGTTTTTTGATTCATTGTTTTTTCCTAATTTTGAGTCAATATTATAATATTTATTTTCTTCTTTAGATTGTTGGAATAAAGGTACCAAAGTGTCCATGACTGGTCAATAAAATTTATTAGGGGAATAGTTATCAAAATGACTTTGTGATTGTTCTTGATGTTAATTAACTGTCTTTAATTACTTTTAACTGTTTAAAAAATACCTAATAAAAATCTGGTTTTCAAAATAAGCTATAATTAGAGAAGGAAAAAAAACAGCCTCGAAAATTAGAAGAAAAAAAAAGCTAGAGATCAGAATAAAACTGTTTCTATAACAAAAAATATAACAAAATTACTAAAACAAAACGAAACCTAAAAAATAATCAGCAAACTACTTAACACGAAAATAAAAAAACCGACAAAAATTAGATTAAAACAGCTGCTTTTGAAAAAAAAAGATTATGAAAAGGTTATATATGTTTTCTTGAAAAAAAACAAGATAAAAGATATATTGTATTTTCCAATAATGAGGAAAGAAATATAAGAAGAGGAAGAAGCAATAGTTTGATTGAATATTACTTTTTTTTTTTGAATTTTGTTGATTTTGTTGATTTTGTTGCCTTTTGTGTTTTTCAAGTAAATGGTACCTTTTAAGACCCATTCTGCTGGTAAAATATGCTTTTTGTGTCGATTTGAAGAACATTTTTTTGTGACAAAGATAAAGTATATCAGGTAAAGACTTTCTACTTATTCTTTTTGGATTGAATTTCTGAGACAGGCCTTTCTCACTATGTTTTGCTGCAATGTAGATTTGTACTTGTGAGTTCAGATCTTCATTCAATTTTCATCTGTTAGCAATATGATTATCAATGAATAATCATCAAAGTGTGCGAATTGAATTGCAATCCACTAACTAATCAGTGTTATATTCCATTTTGCTCAACATCGGTTACTGCTTATCTAACACAAGTCGTTATATATAAGACAACTTATATCTCTACTGAACCGACACGAAATACTATCCCAATTTGGACAGTTTTCCGGCTTTGTCCAAACGATCTGATAAAAAATAGAACCAAGATGCGATTCCAGCAGTGGTCAATGATAAGAAAATATGTTTGCTCACTATTTTATTTGCAAATTATCAATTCCCTCGCATAAATAAACGGAAAATAAAAGCTATCTGGCTACTTAAATTATTTTATTGATCATTTTTTTGATTGTTTGGAAAAACCTGGGAATTTAAACTACTTTTTAGAAATTTAATTGGCTCAAGGTGCATCAATCTGGTTGTGTTATAATTTTTTTCGGGTAATTTTCCTTTTGTATAGAGAGATATCTGATTAATATAGCATTTCTTAAAGAGGAATACAATTCGAGAATGACAAAACAAAACAATAATGGAGTTTTGAACAAAAAATTCTAGTAGGGTGTGTATTGGTAATTTTTAATCTTTTGTTTTTATAAAACTTGTAGTGGTTACAAGAAATAATATAAAATGCTTGATGAATTTCCAGTTAATTGAATCAAAAAAAGTTTCTTTATAATATAACTATTGAAATAATAATTCAAGATTAATAGCTTTTATTTTTTAATATTGTTTTATACAATTCAATCTACAATATGTCTACTCAAATTGAACCAAAAGTTACATTGCCTGCTTCCTGGTATACCAGCGATAAAATCGTCGAAATCATCAATAAAGAGGTATTGCACAAAGAATGGTTATATTTAGCGCCAATCACAAGATTTTTTAAAGAAAACGATGAAACTTATGTCCAGTATTGCTATGGTAATAAACCCTTCTTTATTTTATCAAAATATACTGCTCAAGACACTTTTATTGATGGATACCTAGGTGATTATCAGCAACAAGTTATGCCATATTCTCATAATAAAGACTTATTAAATGAAAAGCTTCAAGCGCTTTCCAAAATCTCGACCCATGTCACTAAAACGGGATTAGTCTTTATAAATTACCAACAAAGCCCTAAAAGTACGTTTTCTGATCATTTTGGAAAAGAATTGGATCCTCTTATTAATTCAGTTGATTTTACAAAGTTAAAACATAAGAGAACGCTAACTTATAAAGCTAATTATAATGTTTTAACCTTTTTAGACGGTTATCAAGAATGTCTCCACTGTGATTACACACATCCTGGGTTATCTAGGAATTATAACATGAATAGCTATAAAGTTGATAACTATAAAAATTTTTCTCATCATTTAACTTGCTCTAAAACCAATATACTGAAAACTGAAGGTGATGGTCTATTTTTATACTTCTTTCCAATTTCAACTTTAAGTATTTATGCAGGTGGGATGAATTGTTTTAGAGTTATTCCAATTGATAGGAAAACATCAAGAATGGAAATCGACTATTATTTTAATGATGACAATCTTCAAAGTAAACTATCAGATGATTTAATTGAAAAAGAGTTCGAAAATTATTTTAAATTTACCAGACAGGTTCAAATTGAGGATTTGGATTTATGTGAAGCAACACAAGAAAATTTAGAACATGGATTTTATAAAGGTGGCTTTTTAAATCCAGAAAAGGAAAGTGGTGTTATCTTTTATCAAGACCTCATTCGTGATAGAGTTACTAACTTTGCGAGATCTATACTCTTCAAATAGTTATCTGTGAAAAAATATATAGTTTACGCAAAACACATTCCAGTAGTCGATTCTATAAAATTTAATACATTCCATTTAATACACTCCATAAACCCAGAAGAAACCATTCATGTTAGAAAACTAACGCACAACGCATGCACATGCACAGCACTCCTACAGCTTTCCTGTGTATAAAGACAATTTCCGATTTCCAGTTATAAATCATTTCTTCACCATCAGCAGAAAATAGCCATGGAAGAAACAAACCACCCAAACACAGCTAAAGCTCAGTTCAATGGAGAGTCAGTTAAATACAACCAAGAAGATAATTCAGACCATGATGCAGTTGATGAAAACAACAATGAAGAGGACGACTCCTTTATTTCTTTCACTTCAAGCACTATCTTGTCAATTGATATCAAAGAAAACAAGTTGGGCGCTTGTGTATTAGACATTGCCAACAAGAATCTATTGGTATTCGAAGACTTTCGCTTGATCTCTTCATCCAATGATGAGCTTGAACTGACTTCATCNATAATTGAATCAATTCTATTCCAAACAAAGCCTTCTTCGGTTATTGCTTCATCCAGACTAGATATGAAGATCAACAGTATCTTAAAATCAAATGGTAAGTTGAGCA